CAGCACACTGGCTTTGCTCCAGCATGCCCACAGAGACCAGGCGATATTCCCCAAATGAACGCATGCTAGTTCAATTCATCAGGGAGAGCTGATGACTTCCTTTCCAGCAACACAGCTTCCTTGTGCATGATTTTCTTTGTGTGTAAGTAGTTGGGTTTTGGGTTTTTTTTGTTTCATGGTGGGGGAACAGGAGGAAGTAGTTGTGTTCCTCACTTCCTCTCCTGCTGATGTTTTTGCCTACAAAGAGAATTTATTCCTTTTCAGTTCTAAGGACAAATGGATGTGTATCTAGCCTGTAACAGCTCTTTATTGTTTCTTTTGAAGGCAAAACCCCCATCCTTTTTATTAGTGCGTATGATCATCTTTGGAATATTAGTATTAACCACATGGGTAGAGAATCCTAAAATCAGGAAAGATCAGATGTAATGCGGAGGGAAATAAAAGGTGTGGGATTTATTTATCGTAGTGAACTTCTGTGATTCATTGTAGCAACAAGACTTATCTTAAGTTTAATTTTCCTGAGATAATTGGTGTACGCTGGTGTTCCATTATAATCTGCAAAGAAAGAAATTGATTCCTGTTTCACTGCTAAGCTGCTGATATAATACCAATAGAGTGCCTGGAGAAACACTTGTGACTGTAATTACAAAGCAGATAATTACCTAGCTGCTTATTTAAATAACACCCTTTTGGAACTAGATGCACAGCTTGGACCTGCAATAGCTATTGTGAAAATAAGTGTGTCTCATGCAGCTTCTGTCCGTCTACTTTGTTTTCTTCACAAATGTTTTGATAGCTCTAGTAGTATTACCCATACATTGTCATACCCTAACTTGTGTTAATGATTATATGTGTGTGTTGTTTTTCTTGCAGTATCTGTCTTTGAGCTTTGTAAGTTGTTGTTATTTTATGCAATGTAGTTTATGATCATTTGTCCAACAGCTTCCACTAACAGTAGAAAACACTTTAAAATAATATTTTAAAAGGTAGAAGTTACCTCTTGCACTAACTCCAGCGAAACTTCTCAAGAATCCCATGGGTTCATCTTGTAGGATTCCCATATAAATAGAAAAGAAAAACGAAGAACTTGATGAATGGGTTTATATCAGAGCTGCTCTAATGAATCAGCTCCACTTACACTCGTGTGAAAATGTGCAGCCATCTGACAGCCAGTGGAAGAAAACGAAGGGCTTCTTTAAGTAAAGGCTCATGCTGTGCCTTTACTGCTTGCTTCGTGTGGAGAAGCATCTCTTCGTATGGAGGCTTTTCTACTTCTACCGCTAGGAGAAAACACCAATGTGTTTTACAAGAGCAGCAATTTTATTGTTGCTGTCTTTGTGCATGTTTGAAATCTACTCATCTTTCTTTCTGCCCTTTCTTTGAGGGTAGAATTTACAAGATTCTGAAGACTGAGAATGAGCAGAAAATACTGCCAGAAAAAGCTGATCCAGAGGGTAGGTAACATGGTCAAAAAAAGCAGCATATATTGCAAAGATTTCCATGCGTAAATGTCAGTGTTACTATCCACATCTTCACTTTGTACAGTGCAACACAGACTGTGTATCTGTGAAAAACATTAAGGAAGTGAATGCTTCGTAGTAAGGGACATTCCCAAATCAGTGTCTTCTAGAAAGATTTTATTGAGCATTGCAGGGGTGTCTTTGGGACAGAAATCTGAAATTCTGTAGCATTGTGGTGTTTAAGTGTGGTTGGGTTTTGGGTTGAGCTTTTTTTTGAAGGGTTGGAGTTCCAGCTGAGTTAAGTACACACATGGAATATAAAAATTTTGTAATGTCTTTTGTGTTACCTATAGGAAAAAAAAACACAAAATGAAGTTAATAATTTGGCTATTATTTACACTATGTTACATCCGTTCTGCCCTCCTCTCTGCCCCATCTCTTACATTGAGGTTGAATATGTGATTGTACTGGGGAATAGTCATGACAGACCATGACTGTGTTGAGAAAGTGAGGACTACTTTAATTGTTCTCTGCATTTGTGATCCCTCTGGGTTACAACTGTCCCAGTAGAGCTAAATGGATGACGTCTTGGAGAAGCTGCCCTGGTAGGCTCCTACTACACTGGGAAAATAGCATGTAGCATTTATTTGGACTTCTCTGACTGTAAGAAAATTGCCAGATCTAGAACTACAACTGTGTGGCTGAACCAGTGCAAATTCTTGTTCTAGGTGTGTGCTTAGGCTGAATGAAGCAACAGGATTTAAAAGAAAAATTGGCTGTGCTAGCAAAAGTCTTACAGCAGTGGTGGATTCCATGACAACATGCATTTTGGGTGTTGGATTTAGAGTTCTCAGCATTTAGTGAATCGTAAAGAGAAATTTATAATATTACCTTTAAAAGATTTTATGAAAAAGAAAATGCAGACTTTGCTGCTTAGGCAGTGAAGTTTTGGCTCATTGAGCTCAGATATGGTATTCTGTTTTGCGTTTTGGTTAGTTTACATGTTATTACAGCAAGAAGAGTTCCTAAACTGAAGAGTTAATGAAAAGGTGTGGGTTTTTGGAGGAAACACATCCAGAAACTGTACTGTTTAATGTTTAACTGTGTGAATCATATAAACTTGAAGTCTGGTACCTGTGTTATTTCTTAGGGATAATATACTAAAAGATGACATCCACTTCTGTCTCATTTTTCTTCAAATGTGAAAAAGCCACTGCAGATTTCCAGCATGGGCTGACAGTTGCTGGCTTGTACTTCATGTTTCATAAATTGATTTTTTGCATTGTACCAAAACGTTTGTAGTGTCAGCTCCTAATTTTTCTTGCACGTTAATAAAATGCTGTTCCAGAAAGGTATTTTGTTCTTGGGTTAGAGAGCGAACAAGTTTCTTCTGTTAATGCTTCTTACTAGTGTTTAATCATCTTCAGTTTTAAAAGTGTGTAGTCCTTGTTTGTAGCTGGTGTTACTTTCCTGGCTTTAGGACCCAACTACTGTCTTTCCTCACAACTTAATCTCTGGGTTTGATTTCTTTGGTAATGGGTATTTTCCCTCCATTGCTCTAATCACAGCACCTTTGGAATCATCACTTCTTTTAATAATTGACCTTTCATGGTAACCTCTCTTTTTGTTAATTTAAATAATTAAAGTTCTTTAAGTTTCTTGCTGTGAGGCATTTTCTGCCTTTGAACAATTTTTATAGCTGTTACTGAGCTTCGCCTTTAAGCAGCAAGAGGTAGACATTACAATTCTGTGGAGTATTTAATTGTTGGTCTCCTTAACTTCGTGTATGGAGCTGAAACTGTTTTCCCATTTCCCTCTTACTCCTTTCCTTACTTGAATGTAGTTATGAGAATAGTCCCTTATGCCGCAGTGTCCAGTTGGCTATGTCTGAGGGATTTATCTGCTCTGATCCTCTCAACCCTTGTGCAAGGTCCTGCTTGATAGTCTTCAGTCTCACATTCAGAAGATTGTCCATGTTGTTTTGAAGACTAATACAGGGCTATGTATAGATGGTATGTTATACCTGTGAGATGTTTTAAAAGATGTGGGCACCAATGATATGGTAGAAGAAGAACCTGGGCAAGATCAAGCAGTACTTCAAAGCCCTGGAGGGCATGAATGAAGAGGACAGGAGCCCAAGTGATCTTCTACTTTGTTGCCAATAAGAGCAGTGCAGGCAGAGGTCGACACAACATGCAGATCAACACCTGGCTTTGTGGCTGGTGTCATCACCTGAGCTTTAGTTTTTGTGATCAGAGGACATTCTGTGATGAATACAGATTGCTGGGGAGAGATGGGGTCCACCTACCTAGAAGAGGAAAGGGAATCGTTGGGGGCAGATTGGTTGTTTTAGGGAATCACGCTCTAAACTAATGAGCTTGGGCGATGGGGTTCAAAGCCAGGACACTTGTGTGCTCACCACATGTGATGAATGTGCTGCTACCCTACAAAAAGGTTCCACCAGAAAAGTGAGAGAGTTGATAGTCCAACTGAAATGCTTCTGTACCAATGCATCTAGCATGGGTAGCAACCAGGAGGAGCTGGAAAGCAGTCATGTGACCAGTATCAGTTAAACTTGGCATGCTGAATCACAATTGGAGCACTGCAATTGATGACTAAAAACTGTTCAGAGGCACAGGCAACGAAGGAAAGGTGGGGTGTTGCCCTCTACATTAAAAAATTGATTGATTGCACAGTGGTTTTGGGTTTTTTTTGAAAAACAGCAGTGCATGGATCGAGAGCTTATGGGTGAAAATCAGAGACCAGTGCATGGATCGAGAGCTTATGGGTGGAAAAAAAAGCCACCAAAGGAAACCTGGTGGGTGGTGTTTACTACAGACCGCATACCAAGGGGAGGACATTGATGAAAGCACTCTGACTTGAACTACAGGAAGCATCACACTTGCAGGCCCTGATTCTGCAAGAGGATTTCAGCCACTGGAAATGATGATCTTTAAAAGTCCCTTCCAATGCAAACCATTCTGTGATTCCAAAACAACTTTCTTGTGCTTCAAGGGGCAGAAGACTGAGCTGTTCTTCTGCAGACCCAACAGCTGAGGTGTGAGGCAAACAGTTGCTCAGTGTGATAAAGCCAACGTCGGAGAGAGTTTGAAGATCTTGTTTGATTAGATATATAACTGGTACTGATTTTATTCTAGAATTATTTTGAGAATACTTTGCAATACGTAGATAACGGCTGTAAATGCTGTGGAATGTGAACCAAAGAATCATAAAAATCATCTTATAAAAAGTACCAAAGAGTTTTGGGGTGTTTGAAGCCTGGTCACTTGTGCTTTGTGCTGAAGGGTATGAGGTGTTTTCCTGTTTCAAGCTGTTGACTTTAAATTCTCCAGGCATGTACTAATCAATGCCTAGCATATACAATTAGCTAATGCTCTTATCTGCAGTGTGGTACTTATCATGAGAGAGTGTGCTATATATTTAAAGGCTTTGATGGAATAATGCCTCTATCTGTTGTACTCAGTAAGTTTGTTTTTCTTTCTGAACAGGATACAAGGGAGCTTCCAGAAGTCAGTCAAGATGAATATGGTGAAGAGGATCATGGGCCGGCCACGGCAGGAGGAGTGTAGCCCCCAGGATAATGCGCTGGGCTTGATGCATCTGCGTCGCCTCTTCACAGAGCTCTGTCATCCTCCACGGCACATGACCCAGAAAGAACAAGAAGAAAAACTTTACATGATGTTGCCGGTTTTTAACAGGGTAAGATAGAGAATCTGCAAGAGGTGTTTTCTTCATTTGAACTGACTGCTCATATTTTTTATTCCCAAGACCTTTGGTTCTAGCACAACAGAAGCTTTTCTTTTCAGTTTTCCTCTTCTCCTCACATAGTGTTGTGTTAGTGGATAAACCTGCTGTTGGAGATTTCCTTCTATTACCTCTTTTTCTGAAGTACAATCCACAGTTGCATGTAGACCATCACAGAGTTTTTCTGCAGAGCTTGCTATTTCAGTCATCTGATTTCCAACCTAAACCTACTTGTAGCAAGTTTATACCCATTTGTTTGTGTGACGGCAATGTCCTTGAGTCTAAATAACTCTTCTCCCTTCTTTGCATTTATTGTACTGATGCATATTTAGAGATAACAATCATAATATCTCCTGTCAGACTTGGTTTTGCTAGGCTACAAGCTGAACAGTTTTAATCTCCTCTTGTGATTAATTCTCTGTATTCTCATCGCCCTTGTTATCCCTTTTCCTATGTATTGAGTATGAATTCCTCTTCTTGGACAAGGGGGATTTTGAACAAGCAATGTGGAGGGAAGATGTAATAGCCACTTGTACAATGCCATTCATATTTCACTACACCTTTGTGCTCAGGCACTGGGGTTTTGTTTGGAGGCAGGACTGTGACAACTGTCACTGGAACTAATAGGAGCTAAATCCTCCTGAGGTCTTATGTCACTCAGTTACTTTTGCCACTTCATTGTGAAAAGTAACTTTGGTAATTTTAGGGTCTTGAAAGAGCAGTAGGTACAGATCTAGCTTTCCTTTTTTTTTTTTGCCCCTGCTGTGACCTGAACCCTTGCTCCTGAAGCTCCTCTTGGGTGATGGATTATGGTATACGCGACTGTGGAGAACTGGAATCATCAAAAAACTAAAATGCAAAACATTGATAGGAAAATCACCTCAGCTTTCTCTTTTTCAGATTGTTGTTTTGTTGAAAGTATGGCTTATGATGGTGTTAGACATTGAACTGCTTACATGCTGTGTAGAAAAATTAATCCTAGTCAAGGTATAGTATTAATAGGATTTCCAGTCTACTAGGTAGCATACTTAGTGAATAGATCCCCTAAATGTCATTCCATTGCCCTAGGTCTTATTCCTAGTTCTACTGGTAACCTGTTGTGTGGGTTTGGGAGAAGAAAGATCAGTTCATCTGCTTCCTTGTTAATTTATCTGCTTGGATTGTATGCCCTTTAGTTATGGATTTTCTTAATTGTTTTTACAAATTAGCACAATGGAATCTTAATCTTGTCTTGAGCCTGTGAGGGTTATTTTGGTGCACTTATGCTTAGAAATCTCCCTCTGGTGGTTACAGGTGGCTGATGCTTCTGGAAAAGGGAACGTACCCACTACAGCTGCTTCTGCACTTAGTTGTAATCTGCGAGTGGAGAAGAAATTTTTTCCTGGCCCTTGTGGTAGTTACTTGCAGTAGCATTGTATCTATAGAAATAACAATTGGTGATATAACTGGGATTAAGAAAAACTAATGGAGCAATGCATATCCTATTTCTGTACAGTAGTCTTTTCTTAGACTTTGATTAGACTTCTGAGATAAAAAAGAACAGTTAAGTTTTAATTTCTCTGTTGTTTTTCCCCCTTTCTTTCTTACTACACTTTTTCCTCTACAACACTTGCTGACTTCTTCCTATTTCTTGGTCCCTCCACTTCACTCTTTTTGAAGCCTAGTTGCAGTTGCCTCATGTCTTTGCACCATTTGTTCTCTCTCACTGTCCTTGATTCAGCTTGTGTGTGGAAGCATTCTGAAAAATGAACCAGTTTTCTTCTTACTCTGTCAAAAACAGCTCTTGCGTAATTACTCTCAGGTACCATTTAGATTTCTTGAGAAGATAAAGTGTTTCTGCGATTTCCATCTGTGTGAATACATCTTGGCTGCTCTTTTCTCCTAGATCCCAGTTTTTCCCTTGTTTATTCTGTTCTTTACAGAATCTATCTAACTTTGTGGATAAACTCTTTTCCCTTCTCTAAATCCTAGAGACTCTTTTGTTCTCTTCTTTACTGAGGTGAACTTGATGCTAAAGACACACATTTTTCTGTGCTTGCCAAATGTTTTGCTTTTGGATCTCACCTGTGGTTGTGTCTTTTCCTCTTCCCTTGTTTCCTTGTCTGGTTTTAACATCGCTATCCTCAAATTCTGGCTGTTTTTAATCTGTGACCTTCTTGCAGTTGTCCTCCTTTCCACAAATACAGACTGTTGCCAGATGTTGTCACTTCAGTTCCCTACCCCTGTAAAATCTGAATCGTAGTCTGGCACATTGAGGGAAGCATGTATTGTTTGTGCTCTTCCACCTTGTTTCTTGCAGTCCTTGATAACCATTATCAGTCATCAACAAACTGTTAGTGTAGCACAAATAAAACTGTTTTCTCTTGGTCAGTCAGGTCTCATCTGTCCTGGCCTGAGACAGGGATTTTTTTCCTTGCATTTCATGTAGATGTGTTCTTGTCTTCCTGCATTCAAGAGGCAATTGTGATGTCGTCTATTTATTTCTACTTCCACAGTTTACCTTTTTAGGTTCCTGGTTAATGCCACCTTCTTCTTTTGATGCTTACATATAGACCCTGTTGTGGCTTCCTTGGGTTATCTAGTTTTGTGTCTTCTAGAGCGTCAACTGTCTGTGGTATAGCTTGTTTTGGAACAATCCTGCTGGCTAAGTAAATCTGCGAGTTAGAGTAAGAAAAACTCTGAAATCGATTGGAATAAAAAATGGAATGGGAGAAATATTTTGTTTTCTGAAGGGTCTTATATGAGATTTTCCGTGGGAGATATGGTAAATCTTGGTTCATTCTAAATTCTGAGATGACTTTACTCTAAGACCTGCTTTTGCTCACAGGAAACACTATAGCATTGCTAGAAGTTCCTTTTTAATAATTTTGTTGTTTCTCAAACATAGCCCTTAACTTAGCCTTAAAGACAGGGAACTGCTGGAGAGGGTCCAGCAAAGGGCAACAAAGATGATTAGGGGACTGGAGCACCTTTCTTATGAGGAAAGGCTGAGGGACTTGGGTCTCTTTAGTCTAGAGAAAAGAAGATTGAGGGGGGATCTTATTAATACATACAAATACTTAATGGGAGGATGCCAGGGGGATGGGAGTAGTCTTTTTTCAGTGGCGCCCAGTGATAGGATGAGGGGTAATGGGCATAAACTTGAACATAGGAAGTTCCATCTTAACATGAGAAGGAACTTCTTTACTTTGAGGGTAGTGGAGCACTGGAACAGGCTGCCCAGAGAGGTGGTGGAGTCTCCCACTCTGGAGACATTCAAAACCCGCCTGGACGCTGTCCTGTGTAACGTGCTGTAGGTGACCCTGCTCTGGCAGGGGGGTTGGACTAGATGATCTCCAGAGGTCCCTTCCAACCCTAACAATTCTGTGAATTCTGTGAACTGAGAACTTGAAACATTTGCAGCTAATAACTGGATTCAAATTTAGACGCTGAATCCCTCAGTTACTTTGCATAATTATCTGTATTCTGTTTAAGTCAGATTGAGTACTTTTTGTGTTACTGCCTTATGCAAAGTCCATGAATGGTGTACCATAGAAGCATTATCTGTTACAAGATTAGGATGTCTGTGTTGGGAGAAGAAAATTCAGAATAAATTGTGGAGCTCAGATGAAGAGTTCCGTACCACACCTTGATTTGTACTTCAGAATGTCTGTTGTACAGAGTAGTGAGCTGTTGGAAGTGGGAGCTGCATGTGTTTGACTGGAAGCAGGAGGCGGGGGGGAGTTAGTTTTGGGGTGGGGTGAGGGGGGTGTGTGTGTGTGTGTCTTCCGGAAGAAGCATGATTTTTACTGAATGCGGAGTGAGGAAGGTAAGCCTTCCCGTAGGCACCCAAGTGGCCAGCAACAGGCAAACAGTTAAATAACCAGTGTATCCAGGAGCTCTTCTGAGGCTTTCTTGCTTAACCATGCATGAGGGTGGGGTTTGGAGTTTTTTTTGTTGTTGTTGTTTTTCTCTTCAGAGGTATCTGAATTTTGTGTGAAATGCAGTTCCATTTTCTTTCTGATATTTTGAGGATTGTTAATCAGTAAATGCAGAGGAACTAAAGCATTCTTAACTTTGGTTTATAAATACAGCATATCTCAAACATGCTGTAGTTTAAACCATCTTGCTAGTTCTGGTAATGAATGGGTTTACAGACCATTTCTGTTTCCTCATTGTTCAGGGAGGCTTATGAAATGATGAATCACATAGTAATGAAAAGCTAAATCGGTGCATAATTAACAAAAGATTGGCCTTCTGGAAGAGTACTCAAAAGGCTCCTTTTAGAGTTCAGCGCATTCGTGGAAGCATTGCTCTACTGGCACAGTAGTAACGCTTTTGCAGTATATGAAAAAAGTGCATGGAATGATGAAGAGGCTCGTCTTGAATAAATGGTACATTGTTTACATTTTCTTGAGAGAGCCTTGCTTTTCCTTATTGAAAAGATGATTTATCAGTAAAATGTTTTCATATCTTATTCCTGGTTTTTACTACCATCTTTAGTCAAAGAGTATATCAATATCCAATGTAGATGCTTGTTCTGCATAGTGCGTAGTTGATTATGGGGCAACTAATTAAAAAACAGTTCACCTCATTCAGCTTTGAGCTTGCTGCATTCCCTGGGATCTGCTGACAACTCTAGGCAAGCTCAGGACAGGTAACAGGGCTATTAGTTTTTCCTCTTTCCTTGGTCTGAGTCAAAGAGCTTTAAACAGTTAATGATGGCAAGATGCTCTGCCAATGTGCGTTCCAGTCTAGCTAATCTTGCTTAGGTTGTACCAGTGAACACGCAAGCCTCGAGGCCCTCTTCCCTTCTTATAGTCTTGTGGAGGCTCTCGGATGCACCAGGAGCTGATGCAGACAACTGCAATAGGAGGCCTTGTGAAGGGTTTAGGGAAATTTGGATAGTCTGTACTGGGACTGTTGCTCTGTAACCCAGATGAGGGGTGTTTTCTCGGTCTGTCAAAAACAGTTGTCTGCCTGTAATGGCTGGGCTCCTGATTGCTTTCTTTATTGATAAAGGTGGTTGAAATTTCCTGTATGAGAAATGCTTACGTTTCTGGTGAAAAATATTTTTATTGTGAGGAAACTGAGTGTTCAATTTCAATGTTGTATTTCTGGCTCTATTTCATTAGGACTTTGCAGTGCAAGTAGGCAGGAAAAATATTTTTGGCTGTTCTGTAATGTGCCAGAGCAACTAATACTAAGGGGAGCAAGAAGTCAAACTTAGACAAAGGTTATTCTTGTCTTCTGCCTTTTAAGTTTTCTTCAGTAACGTTGGAGTTCCAAGGTAAGTTGGTACCACAGTTATCTTGCATCCCTGTTGGCTGTAATATTGTGGATTTCATTAGATGTCCCTAGACTTGAGTCACCTCAGTCAAGTATGTCAGCAGCTCAGCTGAAAAAGTGTAACTGGGTCACCCAGGGAAAGGAGACAAGGGTGAAGCAGCTGTTGAGTCCAAATCAATTGTACTGCTGTAGATCGCATCCTTTTTCTGAGAGGCAAATATAACATGTTGAACTAAAGTTCTATTAGAAAAATACTGTAATCTTATATGCTTCCTGGCTCATTGGTGACACTCCTGCAAGTTATGTAAATAGCCATGAAGGAGAAAAATGTAAACAAGCGGAGAAGTATTGAGACTGTTCAGGTGCTTAGCGGGCTAAACAGTGCTGACATGTACCAGAATTTGGATTGCATGCTGTGTTAGATAATGAATATCGTGGTTTCACTATGACCATTTCAGTGTAAGGTTTACATCAGAAGTGTGGATGGAGATGTCTTTTTGTGTGCAGTCTTGAATGACAAGTAAATTACCTCAACAACTGGCAAATCCATTTTGAGATAATGTTGTGTTCCACAGCTTAGTGCAGTACCACAGAGTTAATGCATTTCTCCCTGTTAAATGTGAGTCAATAAAGGATTTAATAACCAAATTAATCATGAAGAATAAGTTACTAGAATAAAGTGACAATTTATAAAAAAAAATCCGTAGTAACTACTGCTGTTAGGTTCAGGAGGATCTCGAGAGTAAGGCCTTGGGATGCCAGCAACGTGGGAGGCTTCCTGGTATCATCAGTTAATTGAAGGAAGGCTTAGCAGGGCAGTTCTCCTTCTTAGTCCCCTCTAGAAGATTTTACACGCATTGTTCTATACATGCAGTTTACCGCTGTGGGATGTTTAGGTCCAGCAGATAGTAAAGGAGTTGATCTGAAAAACGGAAGTCATGTTGGAGAATTTGCTCTGGTATCTGGTCTTTACCCCATTATGTGTGATCTCAGTCTTTTGGGGCTCTCCAGGGTTTTCATCTTGCAAGAAATCTTGTGGTTCCCCTTCTCCCCTTCATTTATCAGATCTTACCTCCCTGAATGCAAACACTGTGAAAGCCAGTACAGTGATGGATAGTGCAGCAGGAAAACAAAAACTTGTAATCTCCATAGTAATACTCCTTCTTCACAAAGGAAGGTGGTAGTTTGTAGTGATCCTTGTAAACTGAATGACTTTTTGATGCATCCATTTTTCTCTTGTTTTAGGTGTTTGGAAATGCTCCTCCAAGTACAATGACAGAAAAATTTTCTGACCTGCTGCAGTTTACCACTCAAGTGTCACGATTGATGGTGACTGAAATTCGACGGAGAGCATCAAATAAGTCCACAGGTATTGCACGGGGCACAAGTTTGGGCTTTGTGAGATGTGCATCATGAATTTCAGATCAGTCAGAATACCATGAGCTGCCATCCACAGCAACTGTGCAGGCTCAGAAAATGAAGTCTTCACAGTGAAAAGGCATTGTCTTCTGTTTCTTTGGGCTTAGAGAGAGAAGGAGGAGGCTAGGGTTTTCTTCCCTTGGTTATGGAGAAAGCTGAGTTCCACAAACTTGACAACACATCAAAGAGAAAGGAGTAAGCTAAGTTGCGTCACCTACTAGTAGAAGCAGACCAAGAACATGCATGTGGACAGCTGCTGTATCTTGCCTGAGGTGCTTGTTGGTGGTGTGTTTTGTCCCTCGGATATGTTAACATTCCAAAAACATGCATTTTAAATTAGCTGTTGGTCTGGAAGCTAGTAAGATGTGAAAGTACAGTGAGTCCCACATAAGGACCAACACTGCCAGCCCTAGAAATATGGTAGTAGACCCTTATTTTGCTCTGTTAATTAAATGTCAAGGGGAAACCTGGGTCTGTTGAACCCTGAATGTGTCAGAACCTGACCATATATTGGGGGTTGCATAACTAAGGACAGTGCGCCAAGAAGGCATGTTTCATTAACTTTCCTCCTTGATTTCCTCTTCTGAAGAGGAGTGCTTCTGAGAAATGCCAAGTTTTTGTCGAGTTAATTTTAAGACCTGTGCTGGCTTCTTGGTTTGGATTTGGTGGTAAATAAGGAAATAGCGGGCTGGAAAAGGCTGTGCAAATTATTACGCATGAAGTCAGGAGTCACAAACTGTGCCAATTACAATTTCTTTCCATTTTAAGTAGAGTGACTAACAGGGAAACATTCCAGATGGCTAAACAGATACCGTAGACAAAACCTGTTCTCTATGGATAAGCAGGCGCAAAGTGTCTTTTCTTCGGGTATGTAGGGGAAATGAATGTCCAACAGTCGTGCTGGCAGAATGGTGGTGTTCGTTTGACCTTTTTTTTCTGGGGAACATCTGTTATGCCTGCTAGTCAGTTGGATTCTGCTAAGGATGGCCATTTTTGTGTGTTTATTACTTTAAGTCATACTTCTGCTTGTTGCTCCAAGACAATGCAGTTGTCATCCTTGAAACCTCACAAGTCAGAGGTAGATTTAGTTGTTGTCGCTCTTGGTTTTTGGAGGTTTTCTTATTTTTTACCTCACTTGGAAACTTAACTACAATGACTTAAAAGACAGTTAGGTACTCTTCTAAGCTTTAATGTAATGAGTACCAGTGTTTTTAATAAAACAGAAAGCAGTCATTTTTCCTCTGTTATCAAAATTGCTGTTACTTCGATGAGTAAACCCTTTTCAGACTTCAGTAAGACAGCCTGAGAGGTCTGTGTTCTGCAATTGCATTGTGACTCTTGGCAGGATCAGGGAGTTGCAGTTTGCTCTCCAGAAATGACCAATTAACAAGCTGTTAAAACTCATAGTTTGCAGACTTCTGTGTTAAACTGTTTAGAGCTATGTACATGTTTTGTGCGCTAGTGAAAAAAGTAATAGAAATTCTTGGCTTTTCAGAGTACGCTTTATGTTAAAAACAAAAACTTCCGTTCTTTTTGTGTACCAAAGAAAAAGATACATCATACCTTAATCGCTATTAACAGGTAATTATATCTCTTAGCACTTTTTTAAGAGTGAAAATCTTCAGTAACAACTATATGCAGGAAATGTCTCTGGTAATATCCAAGTGCAAATTGCCAATGGTGTGAAGCACTCCATTTAAGTCAACAAAATCGCTGAGCTTGTTTTAGAGACAAGCTTTCCATGTAGATGTTATTAAAAGTCAACTTTAGATAGTTAACAAAAGGGAAGAAATTTTACAAGAACACACTTTCTATCTATAAAATGTAAATTGTTGGCAGTATTTTACAGTTGAGAATGTAGTATGTTGAAATCGTACTTGTTGGTGTGTGTTTTGTTTGGGTGGTTGGTGGTTTTGGTTGGGTTTTTTTTCCCCCCTTTCTCTTTCCTTTCCTGCATCTCATAATAGAGCACAGGGCAACTTTTTTCATCAGGCTTTTGAGTATTTATGCTAATAGCTATGTGAGTAATGCCCGCCATTGTGGAGGCGTATCTCAGTTATTCTTGGCAGACTGTAGTAGTTTTCTCAGAACAGCGTTTCGTGATTCAGTAGTAACTGTGCCAGCACCCTATCTTAAGTAGTCTCTGAACATTGCCATTGTAGTTATGTGTTCAACTACAGTTTCAACTGTCTTGTTTCTCTAGTATGGATGTAACCTTGGAGTAAGAAAAACAAAGCAGTTAGAATTGAGTTAAATTATCTTGTACATTTAAGTCTTTGCTGTACAACAGTGATAACTTGCAGGTGACAGCGGCAACCCTACCTATGAGGCTTAGTGCATGGTTTCCCTTTTCCTGGGATATCTAGTCTGTTTTAGAAGATGGTGAGGTCATGGTTGAGATAGCTTTATATACTTGAGGTTGTTAGCTGCCAAATTTTCCACAAATAAATCCAATTTCATGTCTGAATTGATCAAAAAAGTTGTGGTAGTACTATGCTAAAATAGATGTCCAAACATCTATTTCTAGCTTAGTCTCAGTTCTGAAATGAACCTTTCTTTTGGGAGCTAGTCCATCTGGCTCAGGGCTGAAAAAGACTTCTTAAAATAGGGACAGGGAGAGCTGGAATCTTGGTAGAATAAATGTGGCTACTAATGGCTACTTCAGCTATTGAGGCTGGAGCAGAAGCAACAGTTTTACTTCATGTATTTTTCAAAAGTCTTTTTTTTTTTATGACTTCGTGTGTGCTGCTCTGTGTACATCACTCTTATTTTATATTCAGTTTACTTCTGTCTTGCTTCATTGATTTCAGTCAATATTTCTGTATTTCAATCAATATTTCCATATTTGCAAAATTCTCTGTATTTATTTGTCTCAGTATTTACTATTTAATGCTAAATTTATTTTTACCATACCAACAGTCTAGAGAGACTGTTTGGCTAATCCTTCCTACCTCCAGAAGCAACATTTTCAGTTACTGTTTATACCCTTTGAATCTTGTGGTGGTTTGGTTTTTTTGGGGTGGTTTTTTTGTTTGTTTGTTTGATTATTTTTTTCTCCCTCCCTTTCTTTTTCTTCCACTTAATGCCACTGATTTACTCAAACTCTTTCACCATTGAAAATGCTTTTAACATCTTTAGGTGTTTCTCGAACAGATCTGCTGAAACGCTATCATTGTCTCATCTTCATACCACTTTTGGAGATCAAATTGATAAACATTCATCGTCATAACATTTAACCATTGCAGAAAACTGCATCAGGGGGCTGTATTTGGCCTCTGACAATGCCTACCTTTATTCTTTTTAAAATTCCATTGATCTGCAAACTCTTATTGTTTGTTTTTACTGCAGTTTGCCTCTGTCACATCAGCAGAACTAATTTTATGTTTCTCTTAAATACGCAAGAGTTAAGTGTTACTTGTTCAAGTGCATCTTGCTTTTGGGGTAAGTTACAGGAAGCTTCTGATCTTCTACTAATAAGTAGCCTTTTGAGCTTTTCCCATAATGAAGTCTGACGTTTTCCTGATAGTGTTACTTTTGTCTCCTTCTCTTTGGAGATTTGAGGATCTTTCTTGCTAAAACAAGTGGACTTAGGGGCTGCTTTCATACTTTTTTTGTATGTTAGTTAACTTCTTTTGAGAAGAGAGTATATTGGAAGTGATCTCACATGCTGTGCCTACGTGTGTCTCATTTTTTTTGTTATATGTATGTTTTTCCCTGTCCTGTGGGTGACTTTGCTTTACAAGGTGATTCTGTTTTGAATTTATTGAAATCGCTCTGAAAGGGAAGCAGTGTCCTGTCAGCTACTCATCAGGAGTCAGTTCTGATCAATGGCTGCTATGTCTTGTTACTTTCGGTTAACCTTCACGTCATTTTTGATACTCTTTACCAGATCTTATGTAAGGCAAGCGTAGGGCAATATAGTGCCTTTCCAAGAGATCCTAGAAAGCCCACTCTTTTGTTGGCTTGGTTAGTGAGGCTAAATGCTGGCACAGTTTGAGTTGTTTATCTGTGGATGAGCAGCCCTCTGTTTCTGTACACTGCAAAGGCATCAGCCACTTCATATCTGCGGCTTGTGACGACAGCACTGCACTGTTCCTGATGATTGAAGGAAGACTTTTTGCCATCTCTTTTTTTGTTTGGGTTGATACTTCTCTCTTACTGTCTAGGCTGTTGGAACAATTCATATTGTTTAACTATAAGTTAAAGAATTTTAAACTCTAGGTTTGAAGACTAGAGACTGTATTTTCAGGCATTCCCTGTGAGAAGTAGTAGATACTTCTTGCAGGCTAGATTAGAGAAGGGGTCCTTGAGCTTGCTCCCCACCAACCCCTGACGCACCCACCCACCCATACTTCCCACTTGCACGCCTGCTCCTTTGGCATACACTGATATTTTTTCATTAATATTCCACTCTAGGATAAGAATAATCTATACAAAAGTCTGATGACACTATTATATGCTGTTTATGGTACTAGAACATCTAACTAAAACCATCGTGTCCTGAATTGGTCCCTAGTACTATTGCTATAGGCAATAGCGTTGCTTGTAACGCAGTGCTGCTTTTTGCTAGCAACCCGAATGGGTCTAATCCCATTGCTTTACATCTGCTTTTCTGAAGTCCGGGACGCAAAGCATCCATGTCCTCTCTTGCATACGAAGCGAGTTCTGGTGTGTTATTCAACCAAGTCTCTATCCCATATATACTGAATCCATACTGAAAAATCTGACTACTATGTGTAATCATGGTCATACTTATCCGTACATGCTTGACCAGTTGTCAAGATATGTGTGCTTACATTTTATTTTATAGGTTTTTCTCTTTGCTCTTTTGCCACTTTTACTAGCTGGCACATCCAAATCCTAGGTTTAGTGGTCTGTTCCGCAGAAGTTGAAGGGCTAAGGATGTCTGGGTGGGGCATACAGAGCATGTTACATTAAAAAGATGACTTGAGCACTTCAAAACCAGGGAAAAGGTACAAGAAATAAATTAAGATTAGTGCCAATGATAGAAATTAATCTTAAATGATAGTGCTATCAAATTTGCTCAGAGCAGATGACAAGAGAACTTCTTCCTGCACTTAAAATGCTGTCTGTGTTTTAGGTAATGCTTAATTAAGACTGACAGTTTTGAAACTGCTATTTATAGTGTTCAACTGCTATGCCATTTAGGATGCAAGCAGCATGACAGCTTTTTCAGAAGTGTATATTTAACCCTTGAGTCTCACTTTCAAAGATGGCTACAAGAGCCCCTGTTCCACAGGTGGATTTTGGAGACTATGCCCAAAGGAGGCTGTGCGCACCCTGTTTGGTACCAGTTTTACCTGTGTACAGTCAGAGGCTGATTGCCCAGCTCTGTCTGTGGTCAGACAGAAAGATAATGGGCCTACTAAATGGCACCTCATGCTGGGCTGGTTGGGGCACTGTCATTGTAGCAGCAATGTGTGCTTTAGACATGCTTGACACTCAGAATTTAGGAAAGTGACTTTTGCCAGGAATTCTGGCATTTTGCATATGCCTCTAGTGTAGGAACTATGGCTGTGGCATGGCTGTTGTGCTTTCGAAGTTGGTCTGCTCATACGTGCAACCATCCAGCCAATGTCGTCTTCTGATGGTTTTGGGAAACTAAGTGCCGGTTGGGTACTTCAGGTCAGCATGCTGGGAAGCTGCTGTATGTCTGCATTTGCGTGAGTTTTAAAAATTGCCTTACCTTTCATCTTGGTATTTCAGGCTTTGTTTTATCTCAGTCAGTCTCATGCAGGGATTTGGTAGGTGCCTCTCCTTACTTCAGCACCGGAATTGGAAAAGCCAGTGGTTTGTACAAATCCTGTTATGGGAATAAGGCTGCAAAACAAAACATAGGAAAATAGCCATTACACAACTGAACCAAATCTGGATTTTTACCTTAAATCTGTTTCTCCTTCATCTTTTTTCTAGGATTACGACTATAAAAGGGTTTCTGGGCTTTAGGGAAAAACACACCCTCTTTGCACTGGAAGGGAATGAAACTAACACCAGCATGAGTGATGTGAAATCCCTCTGAGTGAGACATCAAATAGATCTTTTTCTGTGTGAGAGAAAATCATAGAATAAGAGAGGTTTCTTGTCTGACTACCTGCTCACAGTCAAACTGACTGTGAGGTGGGACTAGGTTGTGCAGGGCTCAATCCTGTGTCTCTTGAAAACCTCCAAGGCTGGAGACAACACAGCCTCTCTGGGTCTTTTCAGTGCGTCTCTGTCCTCGGGGTGGGGGGAAAATTCAGCTTATATGCAGTCTGAAGCTCTCTTGGTTGTTGCCTTTCACCCTCCAGACATGTAGGGCTGTGAAGAGTCCTGCTCTGACTTCTCAGTAGCTCCCCTCATCTGAAAACTGCTGTTTGGTGCCCCTGAGGCTGTCCCCTCTCCCGTCTGAGCCAGCCCTGGTTCCTCAGTCTCTCCTCACAGGGCTGGTACTCCAGCCTACAAACATCTTGGTGGCCCTCGGATAAACTCCTGTTGATCATTGTCTTCCCTCTATTGGTTTGGGACAAACTGAACTCAGCATTCCACATGTGATGTAATGAGCATTCTGCGGAGGGGGGCATTCACTACTCCTCATGTACCAGCTGTCCTCCTATTGATAAAAGTGTTTCTTTACACCTTGATTTTTGTTACGTTGATTCACCAATATGCATTGTGGCTGATGGCTTTGGCTCGATCTGGTGGTAGTCTCTCTTGGAAAAAGTTAATGTAAGAAATGTAAAGCAGACAACTGTAGACATCTTCTAGGATCATCTACTTCATAGGTTTACTAGTCCGGCTCAGCGTACAGTTTTGTGCTCCAGAAAACTGTTTTTTCAGTGTAGTCAATGCTAGAAGTTTGATAAGTACTTTGCCATATAAAATGTGTTTACTTTAGAACAAACTCGGTCGCAGGTATGTGCTGGGGAATCTTGACAGCAGATGAAGTAAACAAACCAAGGTTAAAATTGGATTCTTCTGCTGATTTACTCCTCCATTAGTAATTCTTTTGTAATTCCTTTTTTAAACAATATTATGCACCTTCCTTTTCTGTCCTACTTTGACATTAAAAGCACAGAAGATGATTGATATGCAGTTATTAATGAAAAATGGCTTTCAATTTCCCTTAAGGGTAATGGACAGTCATCATGACTGGAGTTATAGATTTCTTAACATAAGTGTGTATTTAGACAGCAGTGAAATACAATTGCATTTTCTGTTGATTTATTTATTGAGGCTGATAGCTTGTTTATTAGGTTGAATGTTTATCTTTGGCTCTGACTGATATAGAGTAGCATCTTATTTCAGAAGTGGTCCCTGGATCATAAGAATTAGCCATAAGTTGTTAGCGTTTTCATTTTCAAAAAAATCTAGAATGGGGATGTGGTAATTGCTGATCTTAGTCTTAATTTTGCTTTTTATTCCTCTTTTATTCTTTTTGTCTTTCTGCACCTCTCCTTCCTTCCAGTCTTTTCCCGTTATCCTCTGTACTGTTGTTTCAGTGTAGTGCTTTTTTTCAGAGATTGAATATCATCTTTTCCCACTGAGACCACTAAGTGATGGTGATTTCATGTCTCTGGAAAAGAATATGTTGTATTTGATGAAGCCAAAATACTCAAAAGTTGTGGCATGTTACTGAAATCTGTCTGCTGGTTTAAAGGATGATGCGTGTCCTAAAAAAGTACTTCTTGCAGCCTTGCTAGTGTCAAAGCTAAGTGCGTGTGGAAGACTGGAATGTGTGTCTGGAGAGTGTAGGCCTAAGCCTACTTTTTTCGAGCAGTGCTGCAGAAGTGAATTCATGCTCGGCACTCGGGACTGCTGAGAGGACATGTTTCCTTCTGCAGACTGTCAGATTGAATTCTTACTGCATTTTTTTTTTTTTAACTGTTCCCCTACAGAGGCTGCAAGTCGTGCCATAGTCCAGTTTCTGGAGGTCAATCAAAGTGAAGAAGCAAGTAGAGGTTGGATGCTGCTTACCACAATCAATTTACTAGCTTCATCAGGACAGGTTAGTCTTGAAACAGCAAGGCTAAAAATAAATTCTGGGGTGGGAGAGACAAAAGCAATAAAATAATGAGCTTCATGAACATGCACTAAAAGATGTAACTGTGTTCTGCTTTCCGTGCTAAGATCCTTTTCCTGTTATACTGCCACAGAACTTCTGCTTTAGCTCCTTATGGTTTCAGTTGCCTAAAAAAAATCATCATTTTGGGACTCTAATTTATAACGTTCTTTTGAATTATGCAAGCAACTTTCATTGTTCCCCGAAGGCTTCTCTTGCATGCTGCTGCTTAGTGCTCCATGACATGCACACACGTTCAGCACCTAAATCACTCAAACTTGGGCTCCCCGTTCAAGGAGGGCAGCAGCAGTTGTGAAAACAGAAGCCAACAGCAGTGATGAGTGGGTGACATTGTGAATCTTTACTGCCTCGCTTCTGGTGCTGCCCTCCATCAGAGAGTCAGTCTCTGGCAATGTACTGGACAGCTGCGTGGTTTGTTCTTTCTCTCTAATTTGCCTTTATAATTTAGCACATCGTCCTATCTGTGTTTAGTATGTCACCAGCCTCCACCCCAGTTTGTCTTTTCTTCCCACTGATGCTTTCGTGCTTTCTACTACCTTGCTCCTTATGCCTGCTTTTACCTTCTTGCCAAGTGAGAGTATAAATTGAAGTCCTCCTCCCACTCCCATTTCTACTGCTACAAAGAATCTACAAAGAATAGATAGCTAATGAAGGCTTGGTTGAAGGTCTCATAATTAACTTGTTAAGCTTCTGTTGGCAGAGACTGCCAGGTTTTGTTTGTCCCGTGCAGTGACTGCTCTGAACTGTGGCTGTTAGTTGCTGTTGTCATGTAAATAAATTATGATCCTATTTTTAAGGTTACTGTTTAGGTAGGCATTCAGGAATAGATGGTGTATCTGTACTGCTGTGTGGACACTTCACCAAAGGTGTGACAAAGGAAAAAAACAACATTTGAGTCAACTGTGCTATAGGAGCGTGACTTTTTGAATATAGTCATATGCTGAACTGTTTTTTTGCTGTTTTCTTTTTCCCCAGAAAACTGTGGACTGCATGACTACAATGTCAGTGCCTTCCACACTTGTTAAATGTCTATATCTGTTTTTTGACCTTCCACATGTGCCTGAGGTAGTTGGAGGAGCACAGAATGAACTACCTCTCGCAGAGCGCCGAGCGCTACTACAGAAAGTCTTTGTACAGGTAAGAAAGGTAAAATAGGTCACGGAATTTGCAACAGAAATGGAAATGTTTCATGTGAGAAAAGTCCAGAAACTTTACTTGAACCAGGTTTTGCTCTTCCTTGATTCTTCACAAACTGATGGCTAAGAGTAAGGTGGATTTTCCTGCAAAGCACAGTTGAGGTGCTTTCCACTCCCCCTGTGGTTTTTGTCCTTGGCAAATATCTCCTCCACAAAAATGCATATAACTCTTCTATGCAGCCTCTTAAAAGGAGCAACATGTTGACTATTACTCTGTTTTAATCTAACTGGTCCTGGTCTTTGGTATCTTTGGCCATTACTGATTGAAATAGACGTAGTAAAAATGTCTATTAATCTTTGAATTAATTTAATGTATGCTATTTTCACTTTAATTCTGGAAATAAACCATTAATATGAAAACAAATAATTTAAATATGGGAACCATCAGAGCTTGCAGTTACTATTACAATTATCTCCCAGATTTCCCAGGGAGACCAGGGACTCTATCTGACCTGCTCCTGCTTTCTGAAGTTTCAGTTGGATATCTTGCAAAGTAATTCCCATACGTTCTCCTGATGAAACTTTTAGAAGGCGCTGAGAATTACTGTTAGAAAGAGTCAGTGGTCATACTAACAGTTCCCACGTGCAAATTGGATGCATCTGTGTAGGGCTATTGTAGGCATGTATGCAAAACCATAGAGGCCTGACGGCAATCACATCCTTCAGGGCTTTGAAGGCAATGCTAAGATTTGTAAGTATAACACTTGAGAGGCATTTTGGTACACTATAGAAATAAAGATGAGCCTTATTCCCACAATTACTAGCCACAATGTCTGCCCAGTAACAGTCACTATATGCGAATGTATCCATCTGCCTCTTTTTTGTCTTAGTACTGTAGGCTGTCTTCCAAAGCAGAAATCATGATGTGCTGTGAGCTATTTTTCAGAAATTGCTTTGCTGTGTTTCAGTTAGCAGAGTTAATGAATGATCAATGTTACCGCATAGGTTTTCCCCCAGTACATCACCACTCAGCAATTTTTCTGTCCCTCTTCAAGGGCTGTAAAGTGAATGGTGCTCTCAAATGAGCTGACTGGAATGGATGAGGTTTCAGATAGCTTCCAAACCTCCTCCTCCGATGCAGACAGCCTTGCAAAGTCTTCCTCCAGTTTTCTGAGGGGTAGCCTCAGTTTTTCCTGCATAAGACACAAAATGGACATTAGATGTCCTCAAAACATGTAGAAAAGGGAAAGCAGCGTAGTAACTTCAGTTGTGTGGCTGCGTTTTGTCTTGTTTATGATAACCTGGAAATTCAGATCCAGGTGCCAGTTATCCAGGTAGGTCTACACAGTTGCTGTAGCCTTTCCTCCCATGCTGTTTTGGCTGTTTTCGTTGGGCCAAGGTGTCTATGGATGCTGCTCTGCCGACAAACCAGCCTTTTCCTGCATTAGGAAGGCATACAACAGTTTGCTTCACAGAGCCTCTGCCCCACTGCAGCACTTAGGGAACTGGCAGATTCTCCAAGAATGGAATAATCTGGTATCCACACAAGTATGCTGTGTCAGCCTAAGAGATTTAAACTCTGCTGCTAATCTTTTGCTGGTCATTTTAAACTGAACTGGGACTTGAAATAATCATGTGTTGAATAACTTTGTCTTCAATTCAAATTCCAGAAACAAAGGGAAAACGACATGTTTCCTTTTTTAATGTATATGCTAAATGGAAGAATGTTTTTCCTGTTACTAAGTCTGGGCAAAACCAGCAATGATCAGGGTATTAATGCTAGATGTTTAATGACATTTCAGATCCTAGTAAAATTGTGCAGTTTCGTGTCCCCGGCGGAAGAACTGGCTCAAAAGGATGATCTTCAGCTTCTATTCAGTGCAATAACCTCATGGTGCCCTCCCTATAATCTGCCTTGGAGGAAGAGTGCAGGGGAAGTACTAATGACCATATCGCGTCACGGCCTTAGTGTCAATGTAGTGAAATACATTCACGGTATGTGTCTTTATCCAATATTATTTATTGGGCTTTTTTCTGATCATCTTTCACAGTTTTCTTAGTTAGGAAATAGGCACGAAAATAATAGATCAAGGAAAGCTTCCAGGCTTTTTGTTTGGACATGTAAGTATTTACATACAGGTAAAAGTTCAGAGCACTTGTTTAATGAGACATGTCTTTGTAGCTGAGTCTGCCTCATCTACATTTCAATTTAACATTGGAGGATACAGTTTCCCCTCGTGTTTTGATGTGGACTTTATGATGACCAAAAGGGAAGGCTTTAAGTACCATTGGTAACTGCCTTATTGAAAAATATTCACTGGGAAGATGCATAAGTTTGCAATTCTGGCTGTGAGCATTATTTTTTAACAGGTGTCAGTTTGTTTTCAGTCCTGTGCTTGAATTAGCAGCCCCTTGTAGAGGCAAGCTAGCAGTGCCCTGTTTACAGCTGCTTGGCTGGGTGCCGCTCTAACTAGTGATAGAAGTGTAGGGATGTCTTAGCAAGCCACAGGAAGAGCAACCAGCTCCGTATGTTCTGCTGACAAAGTTTGAGCTCTTAGAAGCCCATGAAAGCTGCTGCCCTGCAGTAAATACCGGTGCATCACGCAAACTGGGGAGGGCTAATTTGGGTGTGCTGAGAGAAGATTCTCCCAGACATCTGGCTTTTGCGGGAAGAGGCTGGGTGAGACTTATAACCACCACCGATTTGCAGTGTACTCTCCCATTATCCATGACATTGGGGGTGGCGTACCCTGATAACAGCAAAACCTGTGTAATGCAGGCACTAGGACGTGCTTGAGGGAGCATGGTGTGTGAGCGCAGAAACACTTGAGTGCAAACCTGCAAGTGCTGATTGATGGAGCAGCCAACTGGCTTCCTCCCCTGTGATCCAGCCCAGCTTCCCTGCAGGGTCCCCAGCCCAAGGGTGTTTTCCATAGTGCCTGGCCCAGGGAGGCTCTCCTTTGCTTGGCTGAGACCCACATCTATGCCTGAAGGAGTTGGTCTCTCAGTACTGGTGCTCCTAGGAAGCTTACATGTAGCCTGTCCTAGAGCCTGTGTCACAGCCAGATGGGAAGAGCCTGGCTGCTGGATGGGTTTGCAGCCCCAAATTTTCCCTGTTGGCTGATTGACTAGATTGCTGACCATTCAGCCAGCCTGTGTGTCTTCTGCCGGGCCCTTGTCTTCCTCACCTTGCCATACAGCTTACAGATTGCAGGTTTTGTTCATCCTTGAAGGCCAAAATAAAATCATCTCATGGACTGAATCCAGCCTGCCAGCCACAAAATGACTGAAGCAGCCAGAATCATTCTATTTTATCTCCTGTCCTTTTTTGAGACAGATATCATCTTAACTGTTTCAGGCATGGAAACTGTAGCGTACAGGGGTATTTCTGTAGCTGGTTACAGATTTTGGTAGCTAATATAAGAAGTACTTTATTCATCATGTATCTTTACAAGGGACTGGTTGCCGTCTGCTTAGCAAGGGCAGCTGCCAAGCTGGTTCATGACAAAGAATTTGCGAGAGCAAAGCGAGATGCTAACTGGTGTTTGCATCGGTTAGAAGAGGATGTTAGCTTCCTTATATTGCATTAATTTAAAATTGCATGGATGTTCAGGTATGTAGGATTTGAGGTAGGAAAATCGGTACAATCTGCTTCTGATATTATATTTGGGGCTTCTAGACTGTAGGACCACATAGAAGCATTTGTAGTTTTTAAATTCGAACGACTGTTGAAGTGAACCTTACCATACATTTTAGCAGCACTGTAGGACCACATAGAAGCATTTGTAGGTTTTAAATTCGAATGACTGTTGAAGTGAACTAACATCCTTACCATACATTTTAGCAGCGTACACCTACTGGAAAAAAACAAACCCTACAGTTTCCTCACACCCTGGAAAGCAAGTAGTTACAAGGCTCCAGAAAACCATTTTGACAGTTTATGAAATACCTCACCCTGCTCCCACATACTTCACAGAAGATTTCAGTCAGAGTTTTTTCTTGTGCTAGCAGCGTGTTTCCAATTCCAGTCAGAAAGATGTGAATGTGCAGTATCACTTGGAAGCACAGAATAGTCATTGGTTCAGTATTTTCAGATAGGACTTAAAAGGAGATAAGTATTTTGCCTGCATCTGTAACAGCCTTCTGGTGGGTTTTTGATGAATGTAGAAGGTGTATATGTATATGTGAAAATGTTATGAAGTGCAACGAAGAAAATAACTGAGTTTTGACTTTGTCATTTGGCATATTGCAGCTATTACCATCATTGTCTCTCTATGGGCTTGATCCACAGAGGAGCGAGGCTGGCATATCAAAAGATATTCAAGGTTCTTTAAAAAGTGCAATAAAATCTTAAAAAGAAAACCAGTTGGCATTCCGTCTCGCTTGTTGATTAAAAAAAACAACACCTGACTTAAGAGATAACAACATCTGTCAAGGGGGTCATCTCATATTCAGGGAAAAAAAGTTAAGACTTATCATATGCAAAGGAGCATTCTTTTACTATCTCATGCTTTGATTTGATCTCTGAGAAATTTTGTTATCAGTCTAGCTGGAGAGATTTGCACTTACCTTGCATGTGCTGCGAAGTTAAAATAGCAGATAATTGAAGGGGGCATCTTTAAAACAGGAGTGCAACCTAAAATCTGACTATAGATTTGGGAAAGCTTTTTGCAACCGACCAGTGAACTGATGGAGTGTGAGAGGTACGCAGAATGAGACAAGCTCTCTCTTTGATCAAGATTTATTGGGCCAGCAAATGGGCCAGCCAAAGAAGTGCTAACCAGAGTAGTTTAAGATGACTTTGTATGACTTTGTGTTTTAAAAGAAAAAAAGATGTTTTGGAATTATTTACAATTATCATATTTGTGTTTTTATTCTAGTGAGTTATCTGGTCAAACTTTTAATGTAAAAAACAGCATTTGTCTGTACAGTCTCCTCCTTACAAGAGTAAATATTATAACAGGGAGGAAGAGATTGGCAAAAAGAGGTTAGGGTTCAGATCCAAAGCCACTTGAGAATCCTACTCATCTTCAAGGGCTCTGTAGTACTAAATGTTATGTGATAAGAGATAGTTAAATAACAGTTACCTTATTGCTGTGATTCTTGTACTAATTATGCTTCTTATTGTGATTAATGTCAGTAAAATCCTAAATTTCTTAATTGCAATTCTTTTCAGAAAAGGAATGTTTGTCCACATGTGTTCAGAACATGCAGCAGTCCGATGACCTTTCTCCCCTAGAAATAGTTGAGATGTTTGCTGGACTTTCTTGTTTTCTCAAAGACTCCAGTGATGTATCCCAAACGTTGTTGGATGATTTTAGGATATGGCAAGGATACAACTTCCTCTGTGACCTCCTCCTCAGGTATGCAAAAGTGCTTGAAGGAATGCAGACAGATCACTGTGAGCTTTTTCTGAAAAGATTTCTGGATAAAGAATAGGTGAATAGGTTTGAACAAAAAAGTGGTTATAGTTTATTATGAAATTAGGATACTAGGACCAAAACTTGAAATTATGTGCTTCTCTCCATTTATGAAACTACATTATTTAACTTTTTATTCATTGGTATTGGTTTATTACTAAATCTTTCTTAGCACATACAGAAACCAGATGCTTAAAAACAACTGGTACTAAAGATTTAGAAAGAATTCAGAAAATAAAATCTTGACTGTAACTAGTGATGTTTGGGTTTGGTTGGGTTTTTTGTGTGTTTTGTTTTAACATACTATTGTAATGCAAAATAATATAATTAAATGCGGTGCGTGCTGCTTAGTATTGAAGAGACATTTTTGTACTTAATCTCTAATACCAGAGTGCTGGAGAGAACTCTCATGTTACTAGGGAATCAGTGTATATGTATTTTTTAATTTGTATGTTTTATTAAAGGTACTGCTAACCTGCTAATGCATCACAAAATATGGTAATGAAAATGCTTGCCCAAACAAAACTTGGATGCTTGATCCACCCATGATTTTATTTCTTTCTTGAAAGAAACTTCATTCTTTTCTTTCTCAGCACATTAGCGTCTGCTGCGTTATTTGTGTAAAATCTATGGTCAGTCTGTGTTGCTTTGTTGGGATATGAAGTTCTGAAGAAGCATGCTTAGCTGTTGAAATATATATGTGTTTTACAAATCTAAGACAGAAACTGGGAAATGATGTTTATGAGTGTACACCTTCTGAAGTATACTCAGGTCAAAGATGCTTAGAAACAAATGCTATAATGGCCGTTAATGAGAAGTGTTAATGTTGTTATCTCCCTCTTTCAAGCCATTTATTTTGGGTGCTAGGATGCTAGGTTTTGGCACCCAAGCATTTGAACTAAATTTTGTGCTACATAGTATGCTTTTGGGTTGTTTGTTTTAAACGGATACCAGACGTAGACATGGCATTTGTCATTCTCAATCACAGTTAAAATTATTCATAAATATCTTCCACGGCATAAAAGCTAAAACACATTTTAAGGAATTGTTACTGTTCTTGTAGTATAAATGGTGGTTTTGAGTATGTTATGTTTACTAAGGCATGCATTCAAAGCAATGTAATTCAAACTCAGGTGTTTTCCAGAAACTGTTTAGGTGCAATCTGAGGCGAACACGCTGTTGTTAGCAATTTCAATTTCAGGTACAAAAGCGATCCTCTGTAGGTCAAGTGTTTTAAACAAACTGTCTCCTGAGCTTGCTCATCCTTTAAATCAAAGAATGAGAGTTCCCTGACAGAGGTATAGGAAGACTAGAGGTTTGCATGTCTGATTGAAGAAGGAGAGCACCTGGGTTCTTCAGTTGACATCAGTAAAGGTTAAAAGTGTAGGAATGCGTTATCCTGACTTCTTCCTGGGGTGTCTCTAGAAAAATTGCTAAGCCTCTTGTGGATATGCCTGGGATAAGGTGAACAGTGCACACTGTGTGGTCTGTTTGTTAGCAATTTGTGTATTGTAGAGGAGGTGGAAGATGGTTCAAAACATGACTGCTGTTTTGATGGCCATATATCTTGCTGTTTCTTTATAAGTTTTAGTTTATTTCATTTTCAAATCAAAACATAATTTGTTTCAAAAAATTATCTTCTTGGACAAGCCTATGTATCGGTCAGTGTTGAACAACAGTAATGTGTTCTCCCTGGACATGTTTTGGTTCAGACCTACTGACAGAGACTTGTTCAGCCCTGGCACTACTGCAAAGCTGACTGTCACATAGGGGTATGAGATCTGGACAGTGGGTGTCAAGCTGCAAAGAAGAAAGCACATGTCCTTCAGCATTACCAGCTCCAAAGGAAGAAGGTGACTTAAGAAATTGCAGGAGGTCTGTGAGGACCAAAGAAGTGACTGTGTAATGTCACCTCGATAATGTGAAAGGGCAGGGCATGTGGAGGATTAGTAGAATGGCAACAGGTGAGCTAAGTGCTTCTGTAATGGCTGTTTGAAGGAGGTTCAGCTACATGCCTGACTGAGAAGAAGATGCAGAATGAGCTGCTTCTAAGGGCTCCCATGGTCACTTGTCAGCAAGAAGAAAAACAGAGCTCAATTGCATGAGTGAATAGGAGACTGTGGTGCCCAGCTTTCTCCTGAGATATATAGAGACCATAGAGTTAGTAAGTAATTAAATGTGGTTTAATTTCTGGTGAAGCAGAAGGAAAATTAGGATTGTTCTACGGTTCGGAGTCCGTTTTTAGGATTTGGTCTGATGGTGTGTTGCCAGTGGGAAACAATGGTTGGGATGGGATGTTAGCATTTCCATCCTCTTGTGTTTAAAGGTAAGGGCATGCAGTTCTTATGAAGATGCTTCATTGTGTGCTTCCAAGTGTTAGGCTTCTACCAAGATACCATTTCATTCACATAAAATATTAACTCTTAGTGGCAGATATACAATCTAGCAAGTTAATTATGGATTTATTTAATGACAGACTATCTAAGTATTTTCCTATCCAATAGCTTCATGTTTGTAAGAGGATTTTAAAAGTAATTTTCATGTCTGTGCTGCTTTTTATCAGAGTATTGAGTTCAAGGAAAGATTTATGAGGTGAATTTCTATGGCAAATAATGTATGCTCTCATAAATCCAATAATGTTTGACTGAATGGTATGAAATATGAGCAGAGAACATGTAAAATACTGCAGGAACAGGGCAGTAAAAGTGTGGTCTCTAAATTATTAGAGTAAAATGGAAGAGATATCTTGTTAAAGTGATTCGAGTTGAAATAAACTAGTGCTGCTAACTTGATCTGTTGTATTTTCTTTAGATTAGAACAGGCAAAAGAGGCTGAATCTAAGGATGCTTTGAAGGACTTAGTTAATTTGATAACTTCCTTAACAACATATGGTGTCAATGAATTAAAGCCAGCTGGTGTTACCACTGGAGTACCTTTCCTACTACCTGGATTTGCGGTCCCACAGCCTGCAGGCAAAGGTGAGTCTGCTTGCTTTCTCCCTCTCTCTGTTTTTTAAATGTAAACAACAAAATACAGATAAGCTGTGTACTACACAAACTATATGCAATTGAGTCTAGGTTCTTTTATGAAGATTGCACATGAAATACTTAGTTTTGTTGGTCTCAAAGGTTCTATTTTGGGGTTGGTACCCAAAGAAGAAAGCGTAGGGCTTTTGTCCTTGAGGACTAGAGGCGGAATCAAACATCTCTCACTGCACAGCAGACAGTTTCTATGTGGACATTTTAAGAGGTTATCATAATGGAGATATGCACTGCTTTGATTTATGGTGTTCTGAGATGCTCTTACTAAACTGATGTGAAACACTGATGTGCTGGTTTGATTAATTATATTTTTTTCCCTGCCAGATTTGCTTTTAGATAGTTTTTGTAGGCTTAGGCAAGTGTAACTTGTGAGCTGAAATCAGTTGTTTCATGTTAAGTGTTCACAGAGTGGTGAAATCTGTGGTGTGCTTCTAACTGCAGTCAATTATTATCTGGAGATAAGGTTGAGGAAGTCTGAGGGGAGAAAGGGTTTTATAAAAATAAACTAATTTTTCGTGTCCTGTATATAAACTTAAAATTCAGGTAGGTCTTGTACACAGCTAAGGAGTTTGGACTTTAATAGTGACCATGGAGCTAGTTAGTTACTTGGACTTTTTATGGCATTTAGTAGTACCAGGGATACAAGAAAAAAATTTGTGATAGGGTTATATTGATAGATTTATAGGCTAATGGATTTACTTTCACTGTTTCTCTTGTGTATCTAGGTTCCTTGAACAATGACTTCCTTTCTCTGGTATTGACAGAGTTCATTGTTCATGGGACTTGTTTTCCCTTTGCACTAAATAAAGAAAGAAGGTGATAGTCACACTCGGAGCTTAAGTTCTGCATGTTTTGATAATAATATACTCATTTTTGCTTAAGCTAATCAGCTTTTCTGATACAATAACATGGGAGAACCATGGCCCTTATTGCAATATCCAAAGGAATGATTTTATTTAATTTTCTAGTATTTGTCACGACACTTCTTAGTTCCTTTCACCTGCTTTTCGTTACGTTGGTAAGCTGTCTTTTTATGAAGACCATATTAGCTCATTTTTTTAATTACTTCTATTTAAATCTTCTTAGTTCTTGAACTCTAAAGAGCTGGTTAAGATTTGGTTTATTCGGGGGTCCTTGTAATGATCAAAGATAATTTATTAATCTGCTTGATTGCCTGGAACAACTGTTGATACTAAATTAGAATATAAATAGTTGGATCTGTCACTACCTATGTTCCTGTCACATTTAATAAGCTCTGAATCCCCTTTTCAACATTTTTCATTGTAAAGAAAGCATGCAAAAAATATCCTTTTAGAAACAAATGAGTGGGACTTGTAGCATTCATATTCTTCCAGTATCTGAAATTTTTCTGTGTTCGTTTTCAAGGAATTTTCCTGTTGCCCTCTGGAGAAATACTGTCAGGGAAGGTGGTGAAGCTAGAGACAAAGTGACTGAATTTACTTTTAAATTGGGCAACTTAGTATATAAACAATGAGGAGAGTAGCATTCCACAGAGCATATGTAATAAATCAGGATTCTTTGTCTCTGAAAGGGTTTTTAAATCAGGTTAAAGGTTTGCTTATAGCTTGTGTGAAAATAAGATTTTTATTGTTACGGCATCCTAAATGCTTTGTTTAGAGTGTGTTTAAGTTCTCACTCTTGATTGTTTGCGTTTTTAAATTATTTTTGCTGTTAGTTGTTTTCTGTATCATGGGATTTGTCTACTGTGACTCATACTGTTCCTACAGAAGTTAAAAAAGTTGGCTTTGAGGCATCTTTTTAGTCAAATAAGAATAGTATCTGCCCATAGAAAATTCTGGGGGTCACAGTGAGTGCTCATAAACGATGCATTCTTTGGCTAAATGAATGAGATTTTATTCAACTTGAAGGTACTTGTCAAAAGAAATTTGACCGAGCTTTTAAAGATGTGAGATCTTTGTGTGCTAATATTATAGCTACCTTATGCTTTACAAGGCCTTCCCTTTGTTTTAATTCCCTAATCGTTAACAGTACTGGACCCTGCCAAAGCTTTCTTATTCCCAGAGCTGATTCCCAAAGCCAGCTCTGTGCCACCTTCCGATACCAGTATGGTTGTTCACACGACAGTTAATCCAGACCTGAGCAAGAGCAGCTTCTCTATGGAAGGAAGGCAACTGCTGGCCTTCTGTTGCCCTGTGGAGTTTCTCTACACATAGCTCTCTTCTTCTCGCAGGCGACTGCCAAAGAGTGGAAGCAAGAGGATAATTTGGAGGCCATGCATGTTGTCTAGCTTTGAACCTGGCTGACGAGGATTTGTCATTGCTTATTGTTCTATTGAGTGAGGGGATACAATGGTTGTGATTCTAAACTTAGCCTGCCGAATACTTGTAGAAGACAGAGTTGCATTCTGCATTATGGAACATAGAACATGTTATTCTTGCTGTAGTGAGTTTTCTTATGGCCTGGGTAGATGACAGGTGGGCTTTGTTTTGTCTCTAGAACTGTATCCCGTTGCGTGTTTTAACAATAGGTCAGCTTAATTACCTGTTTTAAAGAAATGATCTTTCATTTAGCTGCTTATGTAAGCACTGACTTTCAAAGATGAAGATGCCATCTTAATAAACAATAGATTGTCGGATTTGCAACGTAAGTGATCGTACAGAGACTTTTTTGAAGAGTCAGTTTTAATAACAATGTTTATTACACATGACATATACTGTTATTTATTCACGCTTATTAAAATGCATGGATCATTATTAAAAAGTGCACTCATTGTTTATGACAATTAAGACCTTTCTCTTTCTGTTTTCCTCCCATCCCACTTTTTTTCCTGACTTAGGTCACAGTGTGAGGAATATTCAAGCATTTTCGGTCCTCCAGAATGCATTTTTGAGAGCAAAAACCAGCTATCTAGCACAAATCATCCTTGATGCCATCACAAATATTTATATGGCAGACAATGCCAACTACTTCATTTTGGAATCGCAGCACACATTGTCTCAGTTTGCAGAGAAAATTCCTAAGCTTCCAGAAGTGCAGACCAAATACTTTGAGATGCTGGAATTTGTTGTCTTCAGCTTGAATTACATACCCTGTAAAGAACTGATCAGTGTGAGCATCCTTTTAAAATCCAGCGCTTCATTTCAGTGTAGCATCATTGCCACGAAGACACTCCTTAAGTTCACCCGTCACGACTACATTTTTAAGGATGTGTTCAGGGAAGTGGGTCTTCTGGAGGTGATGGTAAATCTTCTTCATAAATATGCAGCCCTTCTGAAAGATCCCACTCAAGCACTGAATGATCAAGGTAGTGTGTGCTCTTCCATTTTACTAATACATGTGGTTTTGGTTGGGAATGGTGGAGGCTATCACTTAAGAGGAGGAGCAAGAGTCTGAACATGTACCTCAAGGGCTGAGTTCTGCCAGGGGCTGCTGTGCCATCTTAAAAGTTCATTGGAATTGCTTCTCTCTGAACGTCGTCGCAAGAAGCTCGAGGCAAGCTTTAATGAAAGATGCTGTATGAATGCAAAATACTAGGAGTTCTTATTTTCCTTTTAAAATGTTTGGTTTTGATGTATTGGTTTAATATTTGTTGCTTAACATGAAAGGAGCAAGTGAAGGGGCAATACATAGTATCTATACTCTTCCTTGCAAAAGCTACTTGTGCATTTCATTGTTTAGCCCCAGCTTTGAAAAAATGCTATAGAGCAAATATCTGAGCGCTTAATAGGAATACATATTCAAGTTTGCAGACTTCTTTATAAGTTGGGTTTACATTTTTATAAGAGCATTTTAAAAAAAAAAAAATTAAAAAATTAGTTATCTCCAGAACTGAACAGCTTAGAGATTAGCTACACAGCTGCTGAGCCTGCGAAGCAGGTGCTGCCAAGTGCCGTATGTGCATACATACACACGCACAGAGATTTTTATTTTTTTTTTTTACATTCTTTATTCAAATTGCAATTGAGTTAGTGTGCATTAGTGATACTTATTTTTTTAATCATAATTGTTGGATATTTCACTTGGGTTTATTGTCTGAAGCTTCATTAGTGAACAGTAGCAACTGATTAAAGTTAGAAAGCTTTGTTGCCACCAACTCCATTGGAAAACATATTCTCTAGTTCTTGTAAATAAATGGACCAAGTGCTACCTGGGTGCGCGTGCCCATGTATTGTGGCTTGCTTCTTATTAGAGTTATTTAAAAAAATGTTTTCTTCTGGAGTGTTACTCTGTGTTTAGGACGCTACTTGCAGGGTTGGTTCGTCTGTTACACCTGTGGAATCATCAGCACATTTACTCTAATTATGTGAATGTAATTTTGTGCTTTTGCATGGAATTCCTCTTTTCAAGTACTGAATACCGAAGAAGAACAGATCCTGTTAAGTCTTGAAGTGTGGTGTGGTTTTTGTGGCTTCAAGAAACAACAGTTGGGGATGTGTACACATAAAGCTGCAGTGTCAGCCACTGAACTCACAATGCTCAAAAGCTTCTGTTTAAATTCTTGTCTTTATAAATGAATTTTTGCAATGATTCATAGTTAAGATTTCTCAGGAATGTTATGTGTAGACTAAATCTTGATTTGCTTTGGAATATGGTTAGGCTGCGTGTTCTCTGGGAAAGCAAATAAATGTTGGTGGAAAGTATCAAGAAGCATCTTAGCAAAGAGTGAGTTTTACTTTGACTTTGGCTTCTGAAATTATGTTTTAGGGGATTCAAGAAATAGTTCATTTGAGGACCAAAAGCAACTGGCTTTATTGGTTATGGAGACCTTGACAGTACTACTACAAGGATCAAACACAAATGCAGGTAAGTAGAGACACCACTGTCAAAATATTTATAAAAAAGTAACTCAGAAAATCATACCTAAAGGTAGAAAGTCAAGACTACTTTGCTTTCAGTCAAGTAATCAAACACATGAAAATATACTTTTTCTCTTGCAGTGTTTTTCTGAAAGAGATAATAAGCAGCATAAACTAGAGTGCATAAAATAAAGGAGTACAAGATAGTGTTTATTTTTAACTTTAGTTTCTTTGCTATTGTTAACCTGAAGGTAACCACCACACCCAATCACTCTCCTACAATACTATAATAATTTATAGTAGGGCTTGTAACACAGGTTGTATATAAAAAAATTTAAGCATATAAATAGACAGGTAATTTGCTGTTGACAGTGTCACCTCTACTTAAATGTGATTAATAATGCTTGCATCTTTAGTGAAAAATGACTTGTAGCTTTTAAAGGCATATTCCCAGTCAGTATTTATAAATAGGGTTCTGTTATGAGTGTCCTTTTCTAAATCAGGCAGGTTAATATTATGCTTCATTAGCCAAGACTTAATGACATCGAAATAGTCAGTATGTGTGTCTCGCATTAGTAAAAGCTGTCTCTGAGAGCTCAAAATAACAGATTGAGAAAGGATGGTAACTGTTTTTAAACCCTTATTATCCGTTCTATGAGACCAAGAAGAAAAGGAGCAGGCAGGGGGGAACAGGCACCACCCTGTGGAACCAGGAAGTTTCTGGTCTTAGAGGCCATGAAACATCCTTATTTCAGCAGTTTGGATTTTTTTTTTCCTTTTTCTCAATTCTGACTGGTGTTTTCTCACTTGTGATTTTGGTTTTGTTTTCACTGAAGTAGGAGAAACTACAGTCTGTGACAAATGCTTAAGAATGAAATCCTGAAAGTTGTCCAGCTTGGTTGACAGCTCACTGTTTAAACATTAGTTCTTGCTCTAATGACGTAAAACTTGTAACTTGTTTATTTTCTGCTTTTGCCTGGGCAAATTTTTTTTTATTTACATTTGCATCCAGTGTTGGAGTAACCTCCAGTGTTGTCTATGCCATTTCCCTGTTGTGCTTGTTTTCAAGTTCTGTTGCATCTCAGCTTGTGGTTTCAAACCACTTTTGAAGATGGCTTTTGAATTCTGCCCACTGAGGATTTAAAGCATCTACCAGCTTGGCTTTGTCCACGTACTTGATAATAAAGTTCTTCATTCCCTGAAGAAAGGCATGATTCATGGCACTCAAGATTAAACTCCAGTTGTATGCCCTTAGTCACAATAGAAGGGCATTGCAGCAAAGCAGAGGTTACTGCAACCTGACATTTCAATGAGTTACACATTCAGTCTTGTCATGATTACATTTAGACCATTTGGTCGGGTTGCTTTTGCGAAGGCTGTGGATGATACGGCTCGAACCTTTGCTGAACTGGAGATGTCTCCTTTGCCACTACCCTTTTGTCCACCAAGCTACCTCTCCTGTCAGTGGAAAGGAAAAAAAACATGATCTTTGATTTACTAGATGATGGTTCAATGATGAACTGAAAAGTAATTGAATTAGGCTGAAATAAGAAGGTTTTAGGGAGGAATTGATATCGATTACAGGTAAATTGCATGAATCAGTTATGTACTTGTACATTTATCACTTGGCTTTGGTGTTGCCATGTAAGAAAATAAGAACTAGAAACAAGTCAGAAAGGAGTGGCACAAAGGGTATATGTGGAGCTTCCATAGGAGAAATTGGGGAAAAAAAACCCAAACCCAAACCAAAACATCAGGATTGTTTGATTTCTAAGGATGAATGACAGGGGGTGGTGTAAGTATGTGACTATAACATCTCTGAAGAACTGAAACTGCCTCGTATTTTAGAAGTGACAGGTCTTGGTTCACAGGACTAGACTGTATGTACCTCTGTGGCGTCAGGATCTGTACCTGAGCCTTGCTCCTGTGAGGTATGGATTATGATCTGACCATGGTAGTGTCCACCTGCCTTGTGACAAATCTTTGGCTGCTGTTAAATGGCGTTCCTGACCTCACCTAGGAAGCTTGAAGCAACCATCAGTACCTCATTGCTGCTTCTCGGTACTGAGTTAATCTCTGAGTATCCACCAGAGAAACAACAGAGGGTAGTGTAAAATGCATCAGGACTGTGGGATCTCCTCCACTGAGGAGATGTGCTTTGCATGTAAAGGGATGCAACCAGTGTAACTGTCTCGGGGGCTGAGGCCTCTCCTTTTGCCTTGTCCATATCTCATCCAAAGAATGTCAGAGAAAGCAGGAGGCAGAAAATTGGAAATGGATAGTGGGACTAAGGTTTGTTATGTACATTAGAGGGAATAAACATTGTCCTGACTAGCTGGTTACTCCTGAACTTGGTCATTTAAGCTGCTCTTTTAGTTTATAGTCACAAGGAAAATGATGCCTTTTGATGTGGTAGTGCAGCAGCATTGATCCATTTCCCTACTCTGTTTTCATCTTCAGTAATTAATAGGACAGTAATCTAGGTGCTGACACTGTACTAAACACACATTATATGTACCATATATATTCCAGTTCAGTTTTTATGGTGGTTTTCAGGATCAATTTTCACTTAATTTTCAGTGAATATTGCACTCATGTTCTTCTGAGTATCCAATAAGCTTGAGAACCATTATTTGACTCAAGCTTTATCTCTGCAGAGATAGGTCTTGCCACAAGAAAACTTCTGGAGAATGTTACAAATCTTGTGGGTAGACCGAATCATTTCTCAACCAGTGCTCCTAGTTTGCTCGTCTTGTCCAGAAGCAGCCTAGTTATATTTTTGGCAATGAACTAAATGTAATATAAACACTGTTCTTAACCAAAGTAGCATATAGTCTTCACTAAAGATGGAGGTTTTGCTGTATTTTTTTTTCTTTGTTTCGTTTTGTGATTCTTTGAGCTCTAGCATGAAAAGAATAGCTACTATTGGATTAACAGAATTACTGAGGAAATTCTTAGGACTGACCTGCATCCTTGTACTCAACACCTTTGGTGAAACATATTGTTGGAAAAATATCATTCAAGTTCTATTTTTATTTGTGATAGGAGAGGAAAAATACTAAGTCATTAAACATTCATAGTGCTAAATCTCTGCCATTCAATCTGCAGAAATGAAAATAAACACCTTTCATGTTTTGTTGTTGTCATTATTTGTTACTGATTGTATTTTTCATACTTCTTTTTTTCTTTTCCCCTTTCTGAGTAGGTATTTTCAGGGAGTTTGGTGGTGCGAGGTGTGTGCACAACATAGTAAAGTATCCCCAGTGCCGACAACATGCCCTGATGATCATCCAGCAGTTGGTGTTATCACCTAGTGGAGAAGATGATATGGGCACTTTGTTGGGACTTATGCACTCAGCTCCACCTACGGAACTGCAGCTGAAAACGGACATCTTAAGGGTAAATGAAGTACTGCTCAGGACTCTTGCTCCTTAGCCACTGTTTTCAAAAAGAAAACACTGAGAAGGGAATTGGATGAGATGGATGGTATTTGGCTACTGAATGTAGATTGTTTGTGGAGTTGAAATGTGTGCATTTGATGCATGGTTTTTACTTTCTTCCATCTGTCCATAGCAGGTTTCAGAATCAGAGGTGAAGGCTAGTGAGTATGTGTTTTTAACATCATCACTTGTAATCAGCCTCAGTAGATAGGAAGTGAGGTTTCTACAGTTATGATAATCTTCCCTGATGGAGTATTATTCAGTTAAAAATAATGAGAAAAAAAGCAAGCATGTAACACGTAAGTTTATTTTCCATGCTGGCTTGCGTTTTCCTGCGGCAGACTTACTTTATTTTACCAATTTGTTAGTTATAAATGCTGAATTAGTTAATATAAATGTAAATTGTAGTGACCACAGTAAAAGATAAAGCTGAAGAGCTTGCTTGCTTAAGCAAAATAGTGGAATGGCATGAAAGAAAGGCTGTGAGTGGAGGCGGAAGAGAGAAGACTCTCATCTGTTTTCTATCGTATTAGGTTTTTTGGCTGCTAATCCAGACCCATAATTTCTTCTCAGAATAGCTAATGTTATTTTTGTAAATTGACATAACAATGTTATTTTAGGGTAGAAAAGCTGAGGCAAGTAGTAAGTAATAAGTAAATGAGTCTTACCAGAGAGAACTCTTAAGACATCTAGGCTCATCTCTATTAAAAGAAGCTGTAATATTTCTCTGGCAGATGAGCAGCTTCATATTATTCCAAAAAACAGAAAGGAAATCTGGTAATAAAATGATTCATTTGACGTGTTTTGTCTATCAGTGTCTTCAGTCATTCTTGAGCATGTCTCATTCACGATACTTAAGGGGAGAGAAAGGATATTGCAGATCCCCGACAGATTTAACATCCAAAGTCAGGGTTTCTGTCCTTCGTCTGACCTGTTGTATCTGTCTTCCATCAGTGCTGTTTTCAGAAGTTTTGGTTATGGAACTGACAGCCCAGAATGATGCAGTGATGTGTCTCTTGCTGTTTATCCAGGTTTGGCAGGAAATGAGATACTGCCTTCAAAGGAATAACAGTCTAACTATTTCACTACCCATCCTCTGGGGTGGGGGGGAAAAAAAAAAAGGCATGATTCTAAAGAAGTAAACTCTTGGTTGTGAAAGATTCTCCCCACCCCCTAGCCTATTTTTCTATATCAACACCAATTTTTGTGTTGTTTTGCAGTGCTTTGTGTGGGGAGACTTTCTTCTATATTCCATATTCATATGTGGGTCAAACTTCCCACATCCCCTGATTCACTACCTAGTTTCATGTAGTTTCTGCTGGATATACTGTGGCTTTGTATTAGTTCAGCAAGTAAAGTTTTATCCATTTTTGTTTCTCTCTCTCCCAGGCTTATTTTTGAACAGCAACTCTTAAAATCAAGTTTCACTCAATTCAGAGATTCATGGGTTTCATTATAGAGGAAAGCTAAAACTAAGTGTGTTTTTTGAGATAATTCTTTGCTACCATTGTTACCTTTGAGTGCTGTTGTGGCTTCATAGCTGCCAGATGCTTATGCATTGTAGTTTTCTGGGAGACCTTTGCTGGGATGCTCCAAGGTTTAGATTACTCATTGCTACAGGCCCACTCTTGTTTGAATTTGTTTGTGAATTATGATGGCAGAGTAGATTCCTTTCCAAAGCTATATTCTCTGCCTTATCACTAGGGGAATTACCTGGAGATTTTGCGTTCCATTCTAGGCTTGGTCAAGTCTTTTCTGTTGGCAGGTTTATTTATCTCCTTAATTTCTTATTTCTAAGTTAGGGGCAATGCTTTACTTTTTTCCCCCCACTCTTTCTCTTTTTATTTTGTAAGCTCTTAAGGATGGGGACTCTTGCAGTACAAAGTTGATCTTTAGAGACTTCAAGCATTACCAAATTCTGACAAATCACGTGAGGATTTTGCTAGCATACCAAACAAAAATGTTCCTACCTTTTTTCAAGCTGTTTGTAATGCTGCTGTGTTTTTTTTCTTCTTTGTCTTGATTGTTTCTTTTGTCCATAGGCCCTCCTCTCAGTGCTGAGAGAAAGTCACCGCACAAGAACTGTTTTTAGAAAAGTTGGTGGATTTGTGTATGTCACATCTTTACTCGTTGCTATGGAAAGATCTTTGTGCTCGCCACCGAAGAATGGCTGGGAGAAAGTAAACCAGAATCAAGTGTTTGAACTGCTTCACACTGTGTTCTGCACATTGACTGCAGCAATGCGCTACGAGCCAGCCAACTCTCATTTCTTCAAAACAGAGATCCAGTATGAAAAACTGGCAGATGCTGTTCGATTACTTGGCTGCTTCTCAGACTTGAGAAAAATAAGCCCCTTGAATGTCTTCCCTTCAAATACACAACTATTTCAAAGACTTTTGGAGGATGACCTAATATCCCTGGATTCTGTGTCACCTACACTAAGACACTGCAGCAAACTTTTTATTTACCTCTACAAGGTAGCAACAGATTCTTTTGACAGGTATGAACTCTGCTTTTTGTTTTTCTTTTTCTTTTTCTTTTTATCATCCTGCCCTACCTGCCCCCTCAATCCTGGTGTTCCCCAAAATAGTTTTCTTCAAATATGTTCATTGCAAGCTTTTGTATTTCCATTTTAATCTATTTCTTTGTTCCTTCACTCCAGTGAGAGGAATATAAGGTGGCAACATCTGACCAAATATTGACTTAGATTGCTGGTGTTCTCCAGGGTATGCAGCATTCTCTCTGATGTTGAATGTTTTTGTCATCGCAGCAATTAAGATAGAGATGTCAGTTTATGGTTATATTGATGTATTGAAGCAACCTGTTGATTGGCAGCAACCTGGCAGACTGTCTGGTTGCTTTATCATACAGAACTACTAAATTTTTATGCTTTTATAAAGTCAAATGAAAACTTGATTGTTGAGTGTTACACCTTAACTTCATGTTTCCTCTGTCTTCAAAGTAATTAGATAATAATATGATGAATTTAGAATCATAGATCATTTAGGTTGGAAAAGACCTTTAAGATCATGGAGTCCAACCGTAAACCTAACCCTGTCAAGTCCACCACTAAATCGTATGCCATGTCTACCTGTCTTTTGAGTACCTCCAGAGATGGTGACTCAACCACTTCCCTGGGCAGCATTTTCCAATGCTTGACAACCCTTTCAGGGATGAAATTTTTCCTGATGTCCAGTCTAAACCTCCCCTGCTGCAACTTCAGGCCATTTCCTCTTGTCCTATTGCTTGTTACTCGGGAGAAGAGACCAGCACCAACCTTGCTGCAGCCTCCTTTCAGGTAGTTGTAGACAGCAATAAGGTCTCCCCTCAGCCTCCTTGTCTCCTTACTAAACACATCTAGAGTAGACATCTTGTTTTAGATGGATTGGCATGTTCTTTAAAGTTCTAGGTACTCTGTAAATTACTGTGTTTTAAATTTAACTGGGAGATGCTCCCAGAGTTAAACTAGAATTTAAATTTGAGATTTGAAATGAACAGTGATGTGTGTCTTAAAGTTGATTCAAAATGACAACAAATCTTATGGAAGTATATGTTGAAGATTGATTTGTCTTAAAGTAATTCTCACTCATAGTTCAAGGTACAAAAACGTAAAATACAGACCTAAGCTTTGTATCTGGGACCTTGGAGCTTCTGCACCCCAGCTGTTTAATGCATGTGACCCTGTTTTAATAAGACAGGCCACCTAATCAGTCAAACACAGGGTCTGATTTTCCAAGTCTTGAAGGTGTAGCTGCGTATGTTGATATTAATAGAGCTGCCAATTGGTCAGGCTTTCTTAAACTAGGTGACTAGTGAAGTACAAACTTCATGTTTTTGTTAATAAACGTTTTGCCTTGGCAAAACCGCCGAATCTTAATGCTTTTCTCTTGTTTAAAAAAAAAAAAAACAAAAAAAACAACCCAACAAAAAAGACCCCAAAACCCAAGTACAGAAATCAATTTACTTGATCTCATTTTGAAGTATTATTAGAACATTCTGATGGGGGAGGAAAGTGTGTATTAAGAATGTGTTGCATGTACTGTAGAAGTTATAACATTGGCTAACAGTAGAATATGAGAAATCAATGGGGTAAGTAAATCCCATGGTGGTGTTGCATAAGCTAGCTCATTAAGTTCCTTTTTTTTTTTTTTTTTTGCTGTCATCTTCAGTGACTGCATACTCCCTTCTTTCTTCAGTTTTCTGATCATCATTCTTTGTAAAGTTTTACGTTGATTTTTATTTCTTACCTCTGTTGGCTATAGTTAATTTACTGAGGCTTTACTTTCTCCTCTCAATTTTTGCCGTGTAACATTGAAAGGTGTTCTATTTTGCTAGTGTGGTCACACTGGTAAACCTCTGGAGAGTAATGAACAAGCACTGCAGTCATGCCATAAAACAAGTACATGCTTAGCATGTCCGTGTGTTAACCTGATGCGTATCATTCCGTAGCGTCCTTTGTCATCCGTGTCGTTTCTGAAGAATGGATCCTAGTAACCATTTTATTGGTGCTTTTGTAAAACTAACAAGCTTATGGCCTCTGGTTTCTTCTCTAACCTCTCTGTCCTACCCCTGTCTGTTTTGTCTGTAGTCGTGCAGAACAGATCCCTCCTTGCCTGACAAATGAGACTTCTCTCCCCTCTCCCTGGGGTACGCCAGCTTTGTCCAGGAAAAGGTACCGACCCTTCAAAGAGAAGTTGATCTTGCTTCTGATTTCTCTCACTGTTGTGTTTCTTAGTCTTGTTTTATTTTCTCTCAAGTTGCTATTTTTTTGAGGTGTGCATTTTCATTTGTGTGTTTACTAAATAAGAGAAATGTAAAGGTATGTTTCATAGTGAATCCTAGGTAGCGATGATAACAGATGAGATTAAAGATGTCACCAGACTCCTGAAACACTTAAGTTCATGATTCAAAAACAAATAAGGTCTAGTATAAGAAATGATCTAAGGGAGGTATAAATGACGCTCCCGGGAGCAGTTCAAAGAAGTTCAGACTATGCTAGTAGATTAATTAACACAGCAGGAGGATTTCTTTTTTTCTTGACTAATTTTTCAAGAAAAGGTACTTCCAGTAGGAAGGTGGATGGCTTGTTAAGGTGCTCATTTGTTAGTAATTGCACAGAGTACAAAAATAAAGAATGAACCTGTCAGTACTTGACTACCAAATGATGTAGAGGCATGCTAAATTTAAAGGTTTGGAAAGAAAGTACAAATGGCATAATTCAGAAGTCCTAGCACCCACTCTCCCTCCCAAGCTACTATCTTCTTATGCATCTTAGTGTCTGGTGGACTATTTTTTCTTTTTTTTTTTTTAAAAATTAAGTTTACTAATTCAACAACAGTGTGACTTACAGGCCTGTGCAAATAATGAAAAGGAGATTTTTCCCAGAGACCCCAGGGAAGGAGGCAGCCATTTGTTATCTGAAGATGCAGGTTAGGCAGAGATTTGCTTTTGAAGACTAAAAAGACATTTGAAAGACTGTGGGTTTTCTGAGTTGCAGGTGCCATATGTGGAAAATACAGTCATTCTTGCTTAGTGTATGGCTTAAAATATGCGTTGAGTTTCATGTTTGGAATGTAAAATATTTTGCAAAGGGTAGCAACCAAAGCTGGTTCTGGAAACTGCTTTGAAAGGAAATGTTTGTACTCAAGCAGGTTAGTAAAGAGAAGCCTTTTTCTGTCTTGCTGAGTGACGTTACCGAAGTCATACCTGGGTATTCTGCAGGGACTGGCTTGGACAGGGCCACTTTCCCAATAATCCAGCACCTCTTAGACTGCTGTTTCCTTTTTTTTCTAACACTGAGGCATTTAGGAACAAACATAGCAGTTGCAGTTCACAGAGAAAAACCTTAGCTGCCAAACTCCTTTTCCTCTCATTAACTCTGAAGAAACTTGAAAGAAAGCAGTGTTTCCTGTGGAGGCTTTTTGCAGCTTTGGCCCCGATATTAACCTCTAGCGTTATGGATTGCCCTTTCCTTTACTGCATTTTGCTGTTCTCCCAGGTGTAACGGGCACAGCTGCTCAGGTTCATTGAATTACTCATTCACACAGGTATGCGAAGGCTTGCAGCAGAACGCATGCAATGCCTGCCAAACAGGAGCTGATTCCAGGGTGTAATGAATAAAAGAGTGCCAGATGGGTAGTTGACACAGCCTGGTGATTAAAATATCAATATATGTGAATAGATATGTTGGCTTTGTTTGTTTGTTTGTTTTTATTGTAGTACTGAAAATGCAAGCAGTTATTTGAAAACTGTGTGGTATAGGTGAGGTAAAGATTGGATAGTTTAAAAGGTCAGTATCCCTGTGGGGTACTTTAGGCAATTCGAGTAAGCACCAGTATAGTAAGGTACTTGCTGAGGTAAAGGAGTTCGTTTGACATGGATCTTCACAAGAAAAAAGGCCTCTAGGCGATAACGAGTTGTGCAAGACTCAAAGCAAAGTGGACATAAAGAATGATTATGCTGGCCGGGGTGACTTTTCAGATCTTTTCTGTTAAAGCATGTTTTCAAGTAAAAAAAAATAGGCTAGGCTTTTCAAAAAGTCTGTTTGAGCAGCTGTCTGCTTTCTCACGGTTGTTCAGCGTCATGTTTGTCATTCCTAGTGAATTCAGTGCCAGTAGCTGGGATCTTCCTACTTTCAGAAATAAGCAACTGGGGTTTGTAGTCCAATATTATTTGATTTTTCTTTTTTCTCTTTTTAAATGTCAGAACAGAAACAGTCAGATTCTGTCAAAGTTGACTCTTCTGAGAAAAGTGTTTGCTTTTCTCTTATTGTTTTCTGTCTCCTTTGCTTTGCTTCCCTGGGATCTCTGTTGTTGCTGTGGCCTGGTTTTCTGCCTTTTGACTTGTAAGACATGTGCCTGAGGGACAGCCTTGTGTTGTGTGGCTAAAAGAGCAAGCAGACACAGTGCACGCAAATAGTTCTTACAAACAAAAGCAGTACCATTCTGGTTTTGCACACAGTCTAGAATGGTTCTAGATACGTAGATATGCTAATATTTTGTCTCAGACATGTCTGCTGCTTCTCAAAGTTGTATTTCCATGAGGAGTGGTGTCCTCCAAGTGTTATCCTTTATGTAAACAAGGTAGGTAGGATTCCTCCAGCACGTGCATCGGGATGGCGCTATGTAGCTGTCCTCCCTGTTACCAGGAATGCATTGTTGTTCCACCCTTCTTGTATAATTTGAATCAAGAACTACAGCTTTTCTGGTTGTTTAATTGCTGTAAATTTTGGTAGAAAAAACTTAACTGGACAGGGCATTCTCATAATTTTATTTTTTTGGGGGGGACTGTTTTGGGCCTGATAGGGTGAAGTAGAGTGTAGCTTTGACTTTAAAATACTTTTTGCCATTGTTTTCACAAAGTTTGGAAGGTGACCCCTCTTGGGGAATTATATGCAGAGGGTTTATCTGTGATGAATCTTACTTATTTCTTTCCAGATGAAAATGGTGTTACAGTTCTCATCAAGGGTTGTATTTAATTATATAATTTAAGTTTGAATCATACTGAGCAATGGCTCGGGTTTTTATTAGGCTCTCCCTGTACTACTGTGTTATAACCTCACAGTTTACCTAACGAAGTGAATGTGGTAGTGCAGATCAGGATGCTTGGAAGTAAAATTTGTGCTTAAAAGTGGACAGAAGCTTGATCTGCAAGAATGTCTTGGGGAGTGGAATGTCGCTAGACTGAAGAGCATTCTTAAATACATATTAATATTTAGTTTTTAAACTGTATCCTATAAAAACTTGCATTGTGGTGTTCAACATGACATTGGAAAGAGGTAGCAGTTTTCTTCTTCGGATGAAGACCAGTGGTGTTAGGATGCATGAGAAACAATTGCCCGTGTTTCAATCTCTGCATTAAGACAGACAAGAGGGTTCAGGCAACACCTCTCTATGATGGTATTACCAGTTGTTCTGCTGTTCTTAATTCCATTTAATTTTAAAAGAGATGATGAATTCTTCCTCTACCTGCCAGATGTTTCAGTCAGTGAGTCTGCTAGAGAAGTTTAGGAAACTGATAGTTAGAGAGTTTGTATAGACACTAGAAAAATTGATTCAGGCAGATCTCTTTTCTTAGTGGTTGGTTACAATAGAATTGCCATACTATTTCATGTTTGCTATAACATTAGCTGAATGAGTATCAGTATTTTCATCTTTCTTCAAAAAATCTCTTTTAAAAATTGTTCTTGGATTATTCAGATGCCGAATTGTTGTTGAACTGCCATGAGCCTTTTGAATAGGAACAGTTTTGTTGGAATGTTATTTATCCAGCCCATTTTCCAGCAAGCACAAGAAGATTGCACTGTAATTCTTAGTATCCTGCCTTAGGCTAGATATTCCATTGCCTCAGCCTTCCCCCCTAAACAACATTTCTTGATGGGGTAGGTGCGTGTGTTCAAGATACAACCTTGAAAGTGCTTAGGACAGAATTACGCTTGCAGCCTTCTTCATCTCCCACCGATGTCCTGCTTCTCCCAGGAGAAAAGATTTCCTGGTTAGAAGTGCCTTACAGATGAGGCTCAGTGAGTCTCCAGGTGTTACTTCTGTTAAGGTTAGGGGTTAGGTAAATCTCTGTCACTGAGAACAGGAGAGAGGAAAAGCCTCTTTCAACTAATTTGATAGGAAGACGCCCATTTTTAGCTGGTTTCACTTCTTGTAAAACAGCAGGCAATATTTGATTTTTCAAGAAAAATTGTTACATAGAATTTGTTTTCTTTCTTCTTACAGATAAGCATGTATAATAAACACTGTAAGAATATGGGTGGATTTGGTTGTGGTGGGGTTTTTTGTTGTGGTGAGCATGAGCCTTTCAAGCTATCATTTGTTTCAAAAGTACCATCTTGAAAGCATATGTTCAGTCAGCTGCTCATGCTGTTTGTGTGTTGAATCTTGTGCTGAAAGAAGAATGGCATCAAGCTGATAACTCTGAGAATTTCAATGGAAACACGTCTACAGCTCTCAGCGCAAGTGGTTGCTTCTAAGTCAGTGTGTCAAAGCCTGTTTTCTCTGAATCAAACTAAAGTGGCTTAATGGAAAACTAACTTGCTGTAGCAATCGTGGAAAGACTGAGACCATATGGACTGCTGGCATGAGTGTACACTGAGACCAACTTTCTGTTCCTGTAGGCTAATTGGAGATTTCTGAGAGTTTTGTCATAGCACATTTTATAATCAGTTGTTAATGAAAAGCAAATGGGGAGAAACGTATTCAAAGCTGAAATTGTCTCCCAGAACAGGAGTGGTACCTTGCATGCTGCTGTTGCTGTGTGCTGCCACTGCAACTAGAATGAAAAGAGAGAGGCAATAAAGGCAACCTTTAAGTTCTTCAAACTACATAGCACCTGGGGAAAAGACTTCTGAGTTCAAGCATAGTGGAGATATCGAAACCCTTCCAGGTTGTCTTTGGGGAAACATGTCCAACAGGTTTGGGAAGAGGAAAGTACTTGATCTGTCTAACTGAGGGAAGAGAAAGGAGGAGGGGAGTAACTTCCTACAGCTGTTTGAAAAATGCAAAACTCATAATACATGGATATTGTAACCATGTGATGTTTTCTGTCCTGCAGGCATGCATATCACTCTGTTTCAACACCTCCTGTTTGCCCTCAAAAAAACATAGCTGATGTGAAACTCCAAACAGGATCCACATCCGTACAAAGCTCTGATGCGGTCATTATCCACCCTGGTGCTATGCTCGCGATGCTGGATCTTCTGGCCTCTGTTGGATCAGCTACACACCCAGAGGTAAGGAAAAAATTCTGCTGTCTTAGGCTTTGAGAGTGACTAGGAAAAAGGATGGCTGTGGGAAATGGGAAAACCGATGATGTCCTCTTGTTTTGTGCTGAGAAACTAATACATTTCATAGACTAAATGAATTGAATAGCCGGTGACATGGAGGTGGGATAGAAATTGTTTTCTTTCAGAGGCTTTGTTTTGTTTGTCTCTTTCAAACTCCTGGCAACAATGTAAATTGAAAGACATGTCTGAAGTGGCCATCAGGTAAGTTTCCAAGCACTGTGATTAATTCGTGGTTTCCCTGATGTATCAGGTGTTAATGTGTAGTACAGGGAGGACATGGGACTGGACGTTATAGCTCAGCGTATATGTGTTGTTTGAAATAGCTGGAATATGTTCTAGTTCCAAAATTGTACTGCCTGCTTTGTACAATTCCCAAACCAGAACTTCTACTGGTGGTTTGTATATATGAAGGATTTGTTGGACATTTTTTGAAGTTGCGTAAGTATTTTTTGAGATGTCTTCCCTGAAGAACACGGTTTATTTTTTTAAGAAGGAGTTCTGAAAGCTTACAAGAATGACTAGACTTGATTCCTGTTTCTCGTCCTCTACCAGTGATGAGTGTGACGACTTTCTGTCTTCGGGACATTAATTTGGCAGTTATGTTGCATATATCTTAAATTTTGTAGAGATGATGATGAGGAGGAGCAGAATGAAGCCCCAAAAACCCAAGGAGACCTGCTACACCACTTAGGCACACACAGGTCTATGGGGCCAGATGGGATCCATGCAAGGGTACTGAGTGAGCTGGCGGAAGCACTCACCAAGCCGCTTTCCATCATTTGTCAGCAGTCCTGGCCAATGGGGGAGGTCCCAGTTGACTGGAGGTTAGCAAATGGGATGCCCATCTAGCCCAGTCAGTGGGGGTTCATGAAGGGCAGGTCCTGCTGGAATAACCTGCTCTCCTTGAAAACGTGACCCGCTTAGTGGATGAGAGAAAGGCTGTGGCTGTTGTTTACCTGGACTTCAGTAAAGCGTTTGACACCATTTCCCAGAGCATTCTCCTGGAGAAACTGGCTGCTCGTAGCCTGGACGGGTGCACTCTTTGCTGGGCAAAAAAACTGGCTGGATGGCCGGGCACAAAGAGTGGTGGTGAATGGAGTGAAATCCAGTTGGCAGCTGGTTACAAGTGGTGTTCCTCAGGCCTCGGTATTGGGGCCAGTTCTGTTTAATATCTTTATCAATGATCTGGACAAGAGGATTGAGCGCACCCTCATTAAGTTTGCAGGTGACACCAAGTTGGGTGGGAGTGTTGATCTACTTGAGGGTAGGAAGGCTCTACAGGGGGATCTGGACAGGCTGGATCGATGGGCTGAGGCCAATGGTGTGACGTTCAACAAGGCCAAGTGCCGGGTCCTACACTTGGGCCACAACAACCCCATGCAGTGCTACAGGCTTGGGCAAGGGTGGCTGGGCTACAAAAAAGACATTGAGGTTCTGGAGTGTATCCAAAGAAAAGCAACGAAGCTGGTGAGGGGTCTAGAGCACAAGTCCCATGAGGAGCAGCTGAGGGAACTGGGATTGTTTAGCCTGGAGAAAAGGAGGCTGAGGGGAGACCTTATTGCTGTCTACAGCTACCTGAAAGGAGGTTGTAGCGAGGTGCAGTTCACTCTCATTTTCCAAGTAACAAGCAATGGGACGAGGAAATGGCCTCAAGTTGTGCCAGGGGTGGTTTAGATTGGATATTGGGAGAAATTGCATCCCTGAAAGGGTTGTCAAGCATCAGAAGAGGCTGCCCAGGGAAGTGGTTGAGTCACCCTCCCTGGAGGTCACATAGGTGTGGCACTTAGGGACATGTGGTGGACTTGGCAGTGTTGGGTTGATGGTTGAATTCAATGTTCTTAGAGGTCCTTTCCAACCTAAATGACTCTATGTTAAGTTACTGGGAATAGCTTAGCAGTCACAAAAATAAAAGTTCTTAGTACACTCTAAACACATAGAACTTCTAAACTAACTCATTTCTGCTGGTGAAAAGGAGAGGTTAGTTTAACCATCCCTACTTGAAGCGTGTTTCTTTACAATGGTCATGGTTATCCTTCATATAACTTATCCTTTTTCATAAAGAGATGGAAGTGTCTCTTCACACTCACGCACTCACACCCCCCCAACACACACACATGTGCATATATTTAAGTATAGGATGTTTTGTGTATTTACTGCTAATGGTAGCTTCCTTTTCATTATTATGCATAAGGGCGTTCTTTTACTTGTCTTCACAGTTTGCATCTTGTTGAGTTGTGTGCTCTTCTATTTTTCAGCATGCGCTGGATCTCCAGCTGGCAGTGGCCAATATCCTGCAATCTCTAGTGCATACCGAGAGAAACCAGCAAGTCATGTGTGAAGCCGGGCTCCATGCACGACTTCTACAAAGATGTAGCGCTGCTCTGGCTGATGAGGACCACTCGCTGCATCCGCCACTCCAAAGGATGTTTGAAAGGCTGGCCTCCCAGGCTCTGCAGCCGATGGTGTTGAGGTCAGAAAGATAGCACTGAAGTCCAGTTGAGTTGATCCCTGCTGCCTGCGCTGACGCTGGTTGGCTGTAAATGGCTTGGCTTGGTAGAGAGCATAAGTGACCTTCTGTGTTAGTGATCCCCCAGTCAAATAGGACACATGGGTAAAACAAAGCTGAGGTCACTTACTCACTTCAGCCTGTGGTCTGCCTTTCCAGATGAGTTCAGCTTTGCTGAATGTGCATCAGTGAGCATCCTCATGTTCTCCTGCAGGGTGCGGCAGCCTCCTGCCAAGTCTGGAATGCAGAGAAGGGAAATGGGAGCTTTATCAAGCTTGTTTGATTAGTTAAAAGAATGTGAACTATAGAGAGCATGTGTTGAAAACTTAGTTTTGAATGTATCAAATGTGTTTCTTGTAATTATGCATTTGTTTATTTTCTTAGTTAAAAGTTAAGTTTATTACAAGTAATTACTGTCTTTTTTAAGACAGTAAGAATGGTATTAGATTTGATGTCATTCTAGGCAAATAAATAGACAAAACAATTTGTAAATTTTTTATTCTCTTTCTTAGGGAATTTTTACGCTTGGGAAATCCTTTGAATTGTGGAGCTTGGGACAAAAAGCTGTTGAAACAGTACCGAGTGCACAAACCCAGCTCACTGAGTTTTGAACCGGAAATGAGAAGTAGGTGCTGAAGTCCTAGAAATTTGTGTAAAGAACGTTTCATTGACATCCTCCAATGGCATACTTATGTAAAATTTGTAGATAAGCATCTGTAAAAACTTAAGTTCACCCCAGCTTAGTATGAGTGTGAAATCGTCAGAACAATTCAAGTGGAAAAATTTGTAAAAGCAGAGGGAATGTAGTACTCATATTGAATGTATATCTGGTAAGGTAACTATAATTTTTTATTTTAGGAACAGTAACTAGTAAATATGACAGTAGTTTGCTTTTAAGTTCTTGAGTAGATCCTGGGTTTGTAGTTATTTAACAGTAAAAAGAAAATATTTTTCTCAGAAAATTTCATGTGTACATCACGTTATTGAATCTATGTAGTGTCTCTCATGGGTTCAGTAAAGTGACAGATAAAATAACTGAAATTCTACACTTAAGCATATTTCCATTTATTTCAGCTAGAATCAAGAACCTGATTCATCATTAGCATCACTAGTAATGAGAAAGAAATAGAATTAAAAAGAAAACAGGCACAATTTACCTAATCTGGCAGAATCTCTATCTAATAATAATAATTTCTCTTATAAAGAGGTAGAATTTGGAGTTGGAACACCCACTCTTAATTATTTAAAGTTCAGCGGTCCCTTATTAACCATGAATTTTTCATGGTAAATATTTACAATGGTTTTACTCATTGCTCACTTTCGGTATGTTTACTTTCCTAGTATATTAAAATTGAAAAATTGAAATCTTTAGTAGTATGTGATAAGCATGTGTTGAATTATGAGTGCATAGTAACTTAAAAATTTTCAAGAAAATAGACAGACTTGCATCAGCATTAAAAAGAAAAGAAAAAAAAAAAAAAGGTGAGGGGACAGCACCATGACAACTCAACTTCCATTTTAGCCCTGGCATTAACGATGGGAAGGTATTCACAATGTATTTTGATGGGATATTCACTAGATATTCCTAGATGATAGATACACATACGTACATGTATGCAGTGGAAACTTTCATTATACCTTTGTGTGGTATCCTGTAACGGCAGTTCATCCATCTGATAGAATGCTCTGTATTTTATCAGCAATTACGCATCAGCTCTGATTTTTCACGCTGGAAAGTTACATCTGTTTTCCAGCTGCCTAATGAATCAATCCAATAAACTGACTGAATGTCTGTAATCGATGGATTCCTCCAGCCAATCCAAACCTCTCTTCCACATGCATTCTTTCCTGTTATTATCCATGTGTTGTAGAGCTTGGGAGTAGCTGTTCGTGTAGTATAGGAGAGTCTCAGTAAATGGTAATACGGAGAAATTATTGATAAGTTTCCAAAGTATGTGATATTTATTTCTGTGTGTCAGCACAGTCATCATATGGCCAGTTGTAACGCATAGTTAAAAATACCTTAGTTGAAATGTTTGAATTATTTAAAAGGAACTAGAAAGTATCCTGGATGGTACTGAATTACAACCATTACATAATGAAATAAATAAACAAAATAACTGAATTCATGTTAGATCAGGTTCAGTACATTTAAAAAGAGTAGGAGAGATAAAACTTGTCTCTTGGCCAGTGTTTGTGTATTTATTTATTATTTTTTTAATAGAGTATTATCACAGGGGAAAGTACACAATGAAAATTGTGAAAATGTGAGTCTGAAAAGTTTTTAACCTAGGAAAGAGAAGGCAAAGCTAGTGTCTGAATACCACGAGTTACGTTAAATTTCCTAAGCTAAGCTTAGTGACCTTTCTGCGTGTTGGAGTTCTGAGGCTTTTAGCTCAGAGTTACCGCATCTGAAAAACATGAAGCAGAGGTTTTCCTGCCTGTTAAGTCAGGTAGCAGTAATGTGCCTGAAACGGAGCCTCTGCGAAAGGGACACTTTTGCAATGTTAGGTAGTAGGATGGCCTCTTGGCTCTGTTTTTTGGCTTTACCACAGACTTTCTGTAATACCTTGTGCAAGATGCTCGTCTCTCTGCCTCAGTTGAATGTTTTTCTAATGACCGCAATACTTCCCAACTCATAATCTTCTAACTGAGAGGCTGAACTAGTCGATGATGATTGACAGTTCAGCTATTGCATTGGAAGCAGCACTTGAAAAGTCCAAATAAATAGCCTGAAAATGCTTCCCTTTTGCAATGTTGTGTTGTTTCTTGGCTTCCACTGTAGATAGCATGGTTACCTCAATGGAAGGTCTGGGTTCTGACAGCGTCTTCGGTTTGCATGAAGACAGCCACTATCGGATAAGCAAGAGCCTGCTCAAGCCAGCAGAAGGGAGCACAGTACCCCTGACGAGAGTGAAGTGTTTGGTTTCCATGACAACCCCACATGATATCAGGCTTCACGGATCATCAGTTACACCAGCATTCATTGAGTTTGACACGTCTCTTGAAGGGTTCGGGTAAGGTCCTACAGTGCTCTCAAATAACATGGGCCACAGTGCAATATTTTCTTACTTTCTTCTTTCAAAGAAATACTTGTAATTTTTAATGGACCATTTGCAAACCCAGAAACAAATGAATTCTGTAAAGACAAGAGGAATACTTCAAGCCACATAAATGGCATTAATGCCTTGAAACCAAATGCTTGCTTGCCATGTGTGAAAGAAGAAGTATGTATGTATCTAAACATTGATAGTACCCTCTCAGTTCTGGATTTCACGTGCCTTTTAAAATGAAGGAACTCAACATACCCTTGCAGAAACTCATTAGTTGCTAGAATTTGTGACACTTGAATGGCCCAAATGCTCTGAAACCCACTTAAAATTGCTGAAGAACTTGGAAATGCGGAAGAGGGCAAATCAGAAATACAAGTAAAGCAGAGAAGTTGGTTATGCTGAGTCCAGATAACTGGAAAAAAAATATTATTAATTGGAGGTATAGCCTGAATATAATGCTTAAGTCATTTTTTTCTTTTAGCACTCAGTATCACTTTCACTTACTGTTTTTCGTTCTCTGATTAAACACCTGCTGAGTGAGGCACTTTATGAGGATCATGTAATATGATTTAACTTGACTGTTCAGAAGATGAAGACATGATTCCATTCTTGGCATCTGTTTAAGGAACATGTTTTGTCTTTTTGGTTATAACAGTCGGAATAGAAAAACCTCAAAACACTCATTTTGTTCTTTGCTAAGGGGTAGATATCTCAAAAATTGCTATAAAAATTCAGACCAATAGTATAAGGAATAGTATAATTCCTTAATTGCCTGCAGACTGGTCCATAGGCAGAGGCTTGCAAATAGGCCGAAACCTAGTAACTTGGAGAGGGCAGTGTTCTGAGGTACATGCAAGTTGGACAATCGTGGATGGCACCTTGAATAATATGTAATTGTTCCGAATTTCCCAAAAGCTTAAAAACCTTGACTACAAGATTTATTAAAAGGTCTTTAGTGGCACGAACCACCAAATAAGACAACTGCTGTGAAGCCCAAAAGAGTGTGACAAATTCTTGCATGAGACGAAAAGCTCCTCAATGTTTTTGTTAGTCTCTTTTTTAAAAGAATTGTGAGAAGAGGTAAAAATAATCTGTTGTCCATGGCTGTGTACCACAATTTCATAAAACCAGAAACAGCTCCACCTGACAGAATCATTCATCTTGTCTTTTTCTTTCCAGACCTAATATTTATACTACTGTGTTTCTTAAATGTATTTCTGCTCTGACATGGCCTTTGACAGAGCCACTTGTTTCTTAGTGCACTTGTTCCAGTTTATTTGGGATGACTGGTCTGAGAGCAGAGTCCAGCCTCCATGTCTGGGAGCTCTGCTTCTCTGTCATTCTCTTTTCAGCTTTGCAAAGCAAGGATGCATCTAGCCTTCATATCCAGTATAGTCAGGGACAAACTTTTCTTTGAAAACAAATGGTACTCAAAGCTCTGTTCTACATCCTTCATAAGAGAAAAAAAAATGTTTTGGACCTAAGAAGAACTTAAAATAGGTTAGTGAAATGAATTGTCACTGTGGATGCTCCAGGGGATTTGTAGGTGCTACTAAAGTGTCCAAAAGTAATCTACATAATGCAGCTGTGACTCCTTGTAATTTCAACGGGTCACCTAAGAAGGTTGCTATAATCAGTAAAAAAAAAATTAATTCTAAAACCTTGTTGGTCTGTTTTAAAGTGCCAGGGTGTTTCACGAATGCAGCAGTTGGCGTACCCTTGCAAGTTATCTGCGTAGAGAGAACATGTTTGTAACACTACTGACCATGAGGGAATCACCCAGAGAAGAATATTTTCAAGGGGGAGGAAGAAGTATATAATGAGAACTCTAATCAAAAGGAAGATAGTAGTGACCAGAACCATGGACTGCTGTTGCTTCAAGATGGGTGGTCAAGTTAACTTCTTATAGCTTACGTGAGAACAAACTCCTAGCTCTGTCAGGCAACTCAGCTACAGTATACTTTAAACTATGCTGATCAAGTGTAAATGTCAACATAATAATGATCTTCAGCAGGTAGAAGAGCTGTTGTTTTGCCTCCAGTAGGGCAATCTATACAAACTGAAAGCTGAACTGCTGTGGGGATTCATTCCAGCTTGGGTAGGCTGGTCACTGTGAAACCATCTGGGCTCTTAAAATCTTTTCTTACTTAAGGGATTGTTGCTGTACTGTTTATATCTGTTTCTGTTGTATCCACAGCATCGGTGGCTCTTGTAAGGACCAAATGCAGATAATCTGGTGAAATATGATGTTGCTGTGAGAACATACGTAATTAAAATGAAAACACCATAGTATTCAATTACTAGATTGTCTTTGAATATTTAGCTAATCCAGTCTCTTTGAGAGTCCAGAATATCTCAAAGGCTACAGTGAGTTGTGGTTGCCCACAAGGAAGCACCTTATGCTATGGAGCCATGTGGGCATAAGTCTCTGTGCCTTTGCACCAAAGATAAATGCTGCCAAAGCTCTTTGCACTGGAGATACTGTTTAACCTCACAAGGAGAAATCTTGAGAATTCTTTTCTACTTTTTGTGAATAGTATGTATCCGTGAGTCAAGGAGAGTGATGGTGTGCTTATGGTATATTTTCCTAGGCTATATTTGGGTTGTATTGAAGTCCAGTTATATCGACTTTCATAAACTCTAGTGTGTTACTGGTCTTCTGTTTAACAGCTGCCTGTTTTTGCCAAGTTTGGCGCCCCATAATGCACCTACAACTAATGCTGTTACCACAGGACTTATTGATGGTGCAGTTGTCAGTGGAATGGGAACTGGTAAGTACTCAAGTATGACTGTTAGCAGTGTTTTGTATCTGATGTTTAGTTCTCTTAAATTTCTTTGTTAGCCGTGAAGTGACAGTATGGTGTTTGACGTTGTACACTCGTAATTGAGATCTTCTTGTGTGTGTGTTTCTGTTGCTTTTTGCCCCCAAGACAATGAAAAGCAATATAAAATAAAAATGCATGATTGCTTTAAAATACAAGATTTTCAGCAGACGGCTAAATTGTCATCAAGAGAAGCACATGAATAATGAACCTGGATGCATTAAGAACAAGTTAAGGTAGTAGTGTGCAGAGCATAGCAGATGTGGAATGAATTGTAATGCTGTACTTGCAGCTTTGTTCTGCTGAATTCTTGACTGAATTTATTACAGGTGTAGTTACACATGTCATCACAAAAATTCCATCTAAATTGTTTGCTATCTCTTATACTTGTTCACTGTAGGCTGTTCACCCTACAGGAACCTGGTGTGTTGCGGGGCTAACTGAACACGATCACTTAGTTAAAAAAGGTGCTCAGACTAAAAACTAAGTTGAAGGTTTACTGCAGAAAGACAGAAGTAGTGTTAGATAGTAGTTGAAGTCTGTGAGCTCTTTGTTCTCTGGGGGCACCCCAGGAGATGAAATGGAGTCAGGTATATGTGGTGGAGACATCTTCAACAAAGACATCTTCAGCGAGTCACACCTATGGAAGAAGTATCTCATTGTTATATTAGCAGTTTGTGAGAGCTGATCCATTTCTACTTTTTTACATCTAGGGAACTGAAACTGGGTTGTATGGAACAAGCTCAGCTTCAGAGTTGATTTTTGTTTTTAGAACAGGAGGGAATAGTGTGCAATTCTTACTTTAGTTTGTTTTGAAGGAAGCCCCTCTGAGCTACCTTTACGTGACTTTTCCTACAAGCTTGAGTCAGAAATGAAAGTAGTAACTTTGAAGTCCGTGAAGGAAAAGTTTGAGAAAGCACAGCTGGTATCAACTGAGCTGATATGAAAAAAAGATACAGGAACAAGCAGGTATCCTAAGTACTAGCTACTGCAGCTATATAATGGGCTTTCATTTTTGTTTTTAGGTGAAAGATTTTTCCCACCGCCATCTGGTTTAAGCTACTCAACTTGGTTTTGTATTGAACATTTTAGTACGCCTCCTAATAACCATCCTGTGAGACTTCTTACTGTAGTGAGGCGTGCAAACTCCTCGGAGCAGCATTATGTATGCCTTGCCATTGTTCTCTCAGCAAAAGACCGGTCACTGATTGTTTCAACTAAAGAAGAATTGCTTCAAAATTATGGTAAGAATTGTGTCGTGTCATCAGGTAATCCTGACAATATTATGGGGATGTGACAGCAAGTTTATTTTGACCTTAGTATCTAGAAGAATTGTGTGTGGTAGAACTTTTAGTTGTACCTTCACCAGCTCCTAATGGGTTTTGACAATGGAAAAATGCAAAATGTGAACATTTATGTAGAAATTAAGGAGCTTTTGTAACTTACAAAGGAGATTCAGTGTCTGCATATAAAGAAAGATTTTTGCCAAAACCCTAAGTATAGGTTTGTAGGAGGGATTACATCATTGGGTTTGGAAAGTTTTTGCCTTTTATTTGTCTTGTGTCATCCGAGACATCATCTCTTGAGGTGCATATGCTAATTATCTTTGCTTTGAAGAAGTTTGGAAACAGTAAACTAACAGGTTGTGAAAGCTTTTTCAATCTGAATAGTCCCAACGCTGAAGGGCTATTTGAAGGCAATCAGTCATTCATTTCATGTTTTAATGCTATGATAAGTTTTCAGAAAGAGCTTGTAGCTTCATTCAGTATCTGTGATCAAAGGTAGAATTACAGGAGGTGCAGCGACAATCTAAGTGAACTTGGTGAGGCCAGTGAATTTCCTAGAGAGCAAATTTTGGTGCAGTTGGGGGCTTCAGGCTTAGCCATCTCCTGCCTTGTCCTCCATCAGAGCCTCCAAAAATAGTCAGGTTTGACACATTGTTTGTGCACCGTGGCTGTGGAGATGCTGAGAGGATCAGGGCAGCCTTCTGCATATGTTTCAGGCTTAGCTCTTTACCAGACCAACACGCTGGGTTAGAAGCGGTTATCAAAAATCTGTTCCTGCATCTGTTCTTTTCTTTTGAGTGGCAGTCACTAATGAAGAATTTATACAGCTGTTATTATTAACAAAAAGAAAAATAAACAGGAAAGCAGACTGTTAAAGAATATTCCATATTTTCATGATAAGTGGACATTCGCATCGTTAACTGCAGTAGTTTCTCTTAGTGAAAGTCAGGCTCAAAACATGAGCTGAAGACCCATAGTATAAGGAAGGAACTAAACCTCGTAAACTACAAAGATAATGACAGTGTTTTCTTTCTCAGAAGACCAAACTCTTATAAGAGAAAATTACATAAATTTATCTTCATATTAATTGTTTTAGCCTGTACTGGAGCTATAGATCCTATGTTTTAATCTGTAAGCCCTTGTTACCCAACTCTTCAAAAGAGATTGGATTTGAAGAGGCTTTGTCAGAGAGTATCTGAAGGTCTCTGACTACAAAGACTGTTTTTAACTGAACTGGATACTTTGCTTTACTGGAGTGCCACCCTGTTGTGGCTAAGTCATCGTTGGTGGTGTACTGTCAAGTGCTGAGCTGGTAACTACCTGAAGAACTGAGATGGCAGGCCCAGCAGTGCGGGGACTGAAGTACTGACTGTCTATTGTAAGAATAAATGGGGTGGTTTAAGGCTCCTTCTTGTGAGCAAGAATTGTGCTCAAAGGTGTTTAGCTGTGAAAAAGATCTCAAGATTAATTTTGTATCTGAAAGTTAGTTCCAAGTACTCTGCTTTTATCATTTCCCTTGTGCTATTTCTGAAGAAATGAGTTTTCTGCCTGTGCATGTGGCTGTTGGGGTAAGATTAGTGGTTTCTTTTCCTTTGATATGAAAGAATGAAGAGAGATCTGAAAAGCTTTTTTCTGTTGAAGCATTCCCGGGTGTAGAACTTTTGAGCTTTGTCTTTGGTTGGTTGGGGTTTTTTTTTGGTAGGGCTGGGGGGGGTGGTGGTGGTGGTGGGTGGTGTCTTTCAAGTAGAGTGTGGGTCATTCTGCTTTATGATGGAGAAGCTGGTACACCTGCAACCTGATCATTCCCTCTGGTACAAAGTCAAAGGATGCCTTTTAGAGAAATTTAAAAATTGTGTGCTGAGAACTAAAGTGTATTTCAACATTCAGGAGAAGAGAATTCAGCACCTCTTAGTGAAGAAAGACTTGGGAAATTCTTGACGTGTAGGTGGGTGAATTGGAGTTGGGTGGTCAGCAGCTTGTGGTTTGCAGCCCCTGCGCAGAGGCTGGGAGTAGGTTCCTCTGGCCATGTGTTTGGAAGGCAGGCATCCGTCTTCAGCTCCTCACTGTTGATGCAAGGGTGGTTGATGGAGCCACGGATGCAGCTCGCCTCACCCCACAGCAGCTGCTGCTCATGTCAGGTTAGCAGCCTTACCCGGGCTCCACTGCTGATACAGTGGAGGGAAGGCAGGGGTGACTCTTTGCAGTTACAATACGGAATTGTAACAGACAGGATGTTGTGGAGTCTTTTTTTTGACTTGGAAGAAATGTCTCAGCCCTGAGCTACCCTTTCAGTAGCTTCAGCAAATTGATTTTTCCTTAGAACTGCAAAAAGGGAAGAAGAGAAGCCACCATGCTGAGGCTTGAGTTACGAGTACCTGCAGCCTGTGCTTGATGTGTGTCTTGCTAGCCAGACCATGGTATTTGCGGCCTTTATCAAGGAAAAAAATGTCTCAGGCTTTCAACTTCATCTTTAACTTCATTTATGTTTTGTAATTTAACATGATTCTGATGCAGGTGCTTTGAAAGGCAATCTTTTTACTTGTGTCTTCTTTTGTGTGTGACCTAATTAAGCAAGATAGAGGCAAGCTTATACTGGGTGTCTGTGGCCAGGTGCTGGGAGGGCTTCTGTGGGTAGAAACCAGGGCTGCCCCGTGCCAGACATGGACGGTTCTGGCCAGCTCCACAGCACACCCCCTGTGGGACAGCTGAGCCCAGCAGCCAGGCTGGTGGCGCCTTTGGGAAAACACATGTTAGAGAGGGTGAAACGCTGCATGGAGTGAAAAGTAAGGGAAAAAATGAGAGAAAAGTACCCTGAGCTGAGAGCAGAAGGAGGGGAGAGGATGCTCCAGGTGCTGGAGCAGAGATCCCCTGTGGCTTCTGGAGAGGACCACACCAGAGCAGGTAGTGAAGCCTGTGGAGGAGACCACAGTGGAGCAGGGAGAAGTATGACGCAAAAGTCTGGGAAGTATGGGTGCGTTTCTCTTCACGGTGTGAGACAAGTGAAAAATAGCTCTGTAGGTCTGGAGAGACATCTGTTATTTCTTGCTGACTACTGCTGTAAAAACTTTTTTAGAAAAACAGCAAAAGATCTTTCTGTGACTTGCATGGTGGCATGAGAAAGTTAATAAAAGCTTAAGCAAACTAGTCATTCCAGATAAATTTCAAAGGGAGGGTGGAAGGAGAGAAGTATAATTGTTAAACATCTAAAAGAATTAAGGTAAAGGAAGGAGAAATCTGTTGTTGATACTACCAAAACTATACTAGTTTCTTAATGTGCAAGTATCTAAGGTTGTTCAGCCTGTCAAACTGTGACAATCTGGTCTTGAATACTTTCTCAAAAAATCTGATCTTATTCTTTCAGTTCTTGTATTTGAAAGTCTAAAGTCATTCTTGTTAATCGTATGACTTTATCCGTATCTTTTTAATTGTATTTTTGTTAACTACGTGCTTTCTAAACATTTGGCTTTAATGTATTGCTATAGATTGTTTGCATAAAGTGTAATGACATATTCATCTGTTTCAAGCTTCTTACAACATTTCTACTGGTGCTCACCAACTGGTACTTTTCCTTTAGTTGATGACTTCAGTGAGGAATCGTCATTTTATGAAATTCTTCCCTGTTGTGCCCGTTTCCGTTGTGGTGACCTCATTGTGGAAGGCCAGTGGCATCACCTAGTTCTGGTCATGAGTAAAGGCATGCTAAAGAACAGCACAGCTGCGCTCTACCTTGATGGACAGCTTGTCAACACTGTTAAGGTAAAATAATTCTTTAAATCCTCATTTTTACTGGTTGGAGTGATTTCTCTCTCTCTGCGCACATACATGTGCAAAAAAACTCACAGAAAACAAACCAACTCACCCCACTCCCCCTCCGCTGCCAAAAAAAAAAATAAAACCAAACCCAAACACTGAAAAAACACAACATGAGGAGCCTTGCAAAAAGGGGTCTTTGCTCACTACACAGCTCGGAGCCAGCCTTAGTCCTGTTAAGAGGAAAAAAATAATGAATGCTTTCTCAGGCATGAGCAACAGTTAGGCTAAAGTGAAGTGGACACGTTGTATTAAATGTGAGGCAAGTTTGGCACAGCTATGTTGCTGACTAGATTAATTAGAAGGATCATAAAAAGCTGAAGAAGACCTATCCCAGGACCAAGTAGCAGATCTAACTTTGAGTAATAGGGAGATTACAGATTAAGACAGTTTTGCCAATTTATTCAGGTGTTCCTTTCCCAACCCTGTTACTGCCCCAGAAATAACATCCCTTTGTCAGTGATAGCCACTGAGATGTCCAGTGTTATTGTAGATGAAACACGTTTAGTTGTAAAGGTGGAAGAAACACATTTTTGTTGTTAGGTGAAAGAAAAAGAGAAGCCAAAGGCAGAGAGCAGTGAAGAGCACTGTGGGCCTGTCCACTGAGCACAAAGTATTCCTGACCTGTAACTGATAACCTAAGAGCACCTGGCAGATGTGGGCCTTAGGGAGAAATTAGCTAGTGTTACTGCCCTGCTATAGGTAAAACAATATTTTGACTTTGAAAGTTTACCTTTCGGTATTCCTTTTGCAGAAAGAGGACTATAGTAACTTTACTTGTTATGCTAATAGCTGTAATACATAAGCATGTATCTGGCCATACGTGACTACATTCAATAGCTGGTAACAGAATTTTTAAAAGGTAGATAGAAAATGCCTGTGAGATTGCTATTGTCATTATATATAGGCCAGCATCTTACTCTCGTATTTGTTTTATTGCCATCTGAAAATCTTGCCAAACTGAGTTCATCCCATTTGAGCTTTAGCTCTCAATAGTGTAATTACCTAAAGGCATGTTTTCACTGGCTGAAAGAGGAGGAGAAAGAACACAAGTTTGAGATCACCTTACTGCTTTTGCAAAAAATAATGACCATCATAGAGCACCATGTTCTTAGAATCAAGATACAGCCTCGTTCTTTAGTGTTTTCAAGCATAGAACTCCTGTGTTCTTATCCTGTGTTTTCATACGCACCTTCATCTTTTGATAGCCACTTAGCTGCTTAGCTTCCGATCTTTGCATTACCATCTGGTTAATGTTCTTCCCTGACTTTTGCTGTATGGTATCATAATACCATGCGTTACATAGCAAACATTTGGTATGTCCCCTGGTTGGCAAAACGCTTTCCCAAATTTCTGACCTGCCTACTTTCTTTTCACGGTACCCATGCTCTTTCATTAACTTCGCTGTGTTTTTCTCCCTTACAGCTTCACTATATTCATAGTAGTCCTAGTGGGTCTGGTTCTGCCAATCCACCTGTAGTCAGCACTGTTTATGCCTATATTGGCACGCCACCTGCACAGCGCCAGCTCTCTTCATTAGTGTGGCGTTTGGGCCCTACGCATTTCCTGGAGGAAGTTTTGCCTGCCCCGGGTGTTAGCACCATTTTTGAACTGGGACCAAATTATGTTGGAAGTTTTCAAGCAGTATATATACCATGTAAGTACAATTCTAGTAACTTGGTCCAGGTGTAGTGGAATCTTTTGTGTGCATATTGGCAGAAGAGGTGAGAAACGAGAGTATACGGCAGCAGAGAGGAAAAGCTAGCTGTTCATAGGAAGAAGATGAGTAGCTGCTATTGAAGAGGATGATAGAAATCCAAATTACTGGTTTAACGTACTTCTGGTAGTTCTTCTACTGAGATAATAGAAGTGCTTGTGTTCCTCACTTCGGTTTTAAACCAATTAGAAATGCTTAAAGCTGTCATTGTTCTTACTGTATATTATATTTATCTGTAGAAAATGAAATTGGAAAGGCATTTTAACTTGTCAGTTTCTAGTGATAGTGCTCATTTGTAAATCTGCAATGTGTTCTGTACTTTAAACACAGCTGTCTTGAAATGTCATTGTTTATAGGGTCTAAATAGGTCAACTGAGGGATAAAAAAAAACAATAGAGAGGGATTGTGGGGCATCCAACAGTCTTTAAGCATTCGTTGTGAATAAACACGGGCAATTCTGTTACAATTTTTAAGTGTCCTTATTTGAAACTGAGGGGAGTACAACACAAAAAGATGCAAATAAACTTGTTAGAAATGTGTGTCCATAGCCCTGCTTTTAACTATTCAGACAACAGATTCTTCATTAGCTCTGGTAAGGCGCACTGTCGCTAGTGAGATTTTCCTGTTCTGTAGAGCAATTTCCTGTGCAATTAGAGTACCTCCTCATTAACATCAGTATTATGTCAGAAGATGCTCTTTCCTTTACCCGGCAATCACAGGGCTTTTCAGTGAAACATAAATAAAAATGGGGAACATATCAAGTTGTCTTTCCCCATGTGGATGGTAATGCTTTCCACCTCTTTTGGAGAGAAACTATCACCATCTCCAGGAAGGAGGCAGTGAGTGATGAGAGCGGTAGGAAAACAAAAGTATGTACAGGGAGTGCACGGAGTCTTACTTTTCATAGTGAAAGCTTTCCCTAGAGTGTTGACAGACACCCCCAATGTAGATGACGTTCAGGCTGTGAAAGAACGAAGTATCGTGAAAAAGAAGGTAGCTTTCGTTGCCCATCTTGACTGAAAAATTTTATATATAGGTCATATACAGATCTGTGTCATGTACTTGCTTTTTTGACAGCTAGACAAACCTGGCAAGTAACTCTGGATTTAGGTATCTGCTAGTCAATTGTAATTTCTCCTGGAGGGCATTTGGCTGGTAGTGTGCAAGTTTTAAGTGCCAAATTAGCCAAAGCAAATTCTGTGAATGGGAATTTGTTCATTCACTTACGACAAGATCTTCCTGCCTTTATGCTAAGGCCACATTCACCAGGAAGCCCACAGTAACTTAAAAGAATTCTTCATTTCTTAACATACTGACTTTTCCAGCATGGCGGTGTGTCTTTCCCTTCTCAAGCTTTGCTCAGTTCATTATATTTCAGGAGTGGTCTGCTCCAGAACAAAGGGTGTGTTTCTGTTTGGGGCTAAGCTTCTGTTCATGTCCTGTGCGCTGTGCCAAACCTAAGGAGTTTGATAGGGGGGGCACTGTGAATCTCTGGCCCTTACCCTTTTATCTTGGCCTCTCTTTCAAAAACTTGTTTTTCCTTAGTGTGATGATTATTTGTGGGAGTCCCGGAGAAGGGAAGAGCCCTTGCAGTCTTCCACTGCTGTCCTTTACAGGGAAATTGTCTGACTTGCCATTTGCCCATGCAGTGCTGCTTTTGGAAGTTTTGTCCCTGTTTTCAGTAAGTAAGATTGCCATCTTCTGAGAATTTGTCCTCAGTTTAAACAAAATTGAAAACCTGATACACTTTAAGTCTTGGAAAGACCACTCAGAGAGCAGTTGCTGGTTCAGGAGAAGGAATTCCTTTGTTCACTGAAATGGAGGAATGTTCTCAGGGCATGCATGCGAGGAGAGGATCCAATGAGGATTTCATTTACGGGGAAACCAAGACTTCTGAAACTCTCTTAAGTGAGACTTGATAGAGACTTGACCCTGGGTCAACAAATTATGTAGACACCCAGCTTCTTGTTTCAGTGTTAGCTGAGGAGCCTTTATGCTTTTTTAAATTCCGTTAATGTGTTTCAGTAGAGTTGCAGATACCTTTTGACCTGGAATGAACATGCAGAAGTGAATCTATATGTCGAGCTTTCAGGTGCCGAGTTTTGCATGCTTCCTCTGAGCTTTGTAGGCAGCTGTCAATCATAGTGTTTGCAATGCCTCACAAGAAGCATGCACCTTCAGAGCAGTGGATACAAATTGCTAGCGATACGGTTATATATTCTCTTCAATGTCTGTGCCTTTTAGTCTTTATTCAGTCTTGCATCTCTTGTACCATTCTCTAAAGCAGTTTTTCTAGCAAAGCATTGTAAAAAGCCTGTTGTAACAGGCAAAGATGCAGAGGTACCAAATACTCGGTTTTTTGATTACTTTGTTTTTCTTCAGGTGGGAAGGGAAGTGAACAGCCCTTAGGCTGTGTGCAAATTGAGTGCAGGAGTAATGTTGCCTTCCAAAAATTTAGATAAGGAAGCACCATATCTCCTATTGCTTTGCCAGGCCACAGACTGCCAGCTGCCGTTACAGATTAATGCTGTACAGTTTCTTGAAAGGAAAAGTTTGTTGTGCGTTGCCCTTTTATCTTAAGTAGCAGATTCCACGACTTGTATGCTATCAAATTACTCTTTGGTACAGCGAGGAAGACAATATCATATCTCAGCCATTTGTAAAACATTTATTCTATACCTATTCTGCAATATAATTTGCTTAAGATTGTACTCTTGAAACTGAAAAGAAAAACAGTGCTGTTACTAAAATGAACTTTTTTGTCTTTAAGGCAAAGATTCCAAGTCTGAAGGCATCAACCCATCTCCAGTATCTTTGGTACCAGAAGAGAAGGTTTCTTTTGGTCTCTATGCTCTGTCAGTTTCTTCATTTACAGTGGCAAAAATAAGGAAAGTTTACAACAAATTGGATAGTAAAGCTATTGCCAAACAGGTATGTGGGGAAACGAGTTGGTTAATGTGTACTACTTGTTTGTTCCTTTCTTCTAACGTCTTTTAAGGCAATTTGCTCGATGCAACCAGGAACAATAAGGTACTTGTCAGAAGAGTTGCCCATCACTTTCATGTTCTTAAAAAAAAAAAAAAAATTGAGGGAGACTGAGATTTTATTAGCATTCTTGAAATTACTGGTAGGTATGTATCTTAGCACCTTTTGGAGGTATTTTTGCTTTTTAATGTAGGTGGCAATTGTAATCGTGTTGAAAAACAGTTAAGATTATGTTGTTGAACAATATTTCTGCTGTTGCAGATCAAAAAAGTGATAGCTTAGTCCTCTGACTGTGATTCAGACTTGGAAACAGGAATATTGCTTTATATTTTTCTTCAAAGTACATTAGAAGTCAGTGAATTATTTGTTCAAAAGACCATCTATGAAGAAAGGCTGAGAGACTTGGGGTTGTTCAGCCTGAAAAAGAGAAGCCTCTGAGAAGACCTTATTGTAGCCTTTCAATATGTGCGGGGGCCTTATAAGAACAACGGAGAGACATTTTTTACCAGAGCATGTAATGACAGGACAAGGGGCAATGGTTTTAAACTGAAAGAAGGTGGATTTAGATTGGGCATAAATGTGAAACTTTTTACTTTGAGGGTGGTAAGACACTGGAAGAGGTTGACTAGAGAAGCTGTTAATGCTCTATTCCTGGAAGTGTTCGAGGTTGGATTGGATGGCGCTTCGAGCAACCTGATTTAGTAGAAGATGTCCATGCCCACAGGAGGGGGACTGGACTAGATGATCTTTAAGGGCCACTTTCAACCCAAACCATTCTATGATACGGTGGGATTATTTTTGAAATTAGATTCATATTCTTTAAACTTTGGAGACTGGAGATTCCTCTCTGCTTTAGAGAATCTCTTAATGACTCTAGCATAGTTTCAATTTTGTTATATGTTACTCAGTCTTTATCACAGGAGGAAAATACACAAGTTATGTTCAGGCTTGCATAAAAAAAACCCCTCTTCCCTCTAGCTCCTGCTTTTTTTCTTGTTTTGTTCAGCTGGCGATTTCTTCTCATGAAAATGCCACACCCGTGAAGCTGCTACATAACTCAGCAGGGCATTTGAATGGACCAGCACGCTCCATTGGTGCAGCTTTGATAGGATATTTGGGTGAGTTGAGTACTTGAGATTTATTATGTTTAAAAATTATTAAATATTTGTCACTAAGAACTTAGGTCTAGAAAATAAATCATGTAATTGATGAATGTTAATGGTACATTGTTAAATTTATTTAGCATTTTTATATTATATGGACATCTTTTTCTTTAAAATAACATGGGATGCTTGTTTCAGTTTGTATGACTTACCATCGTGAAAATATACTTAATTACTTTACTTTAGGTCATAAACTATTTTCCGGTGCAGTATTTCCTTCACCTCCTCCTCTGAGGTGTCATAGTTCTTGTAGTGATATTATTTTCATAATTTAAGTAACACTAGAATGCAAATTACTTGCATGTATTCACAATGATTTTCTACAGGAATTAGACTTGATGTTATTTTAATTTATGTTCTCTGCCTATGCTAAGGAGTAAGAACATTTGTCCCCAAGCCTGTTGCCACTACACTGCAGTACATTGGTGGAGCTGCAGCTATTCTGGGACTTGTAGCCATGGCATCAGATGTAGAAGGGTTGTATGCAGCTGTGAAGGCCTTGGTCTGTGTGGTAAAGAGCAATCCACTAGCCAGCAAAGAAATGGAAAGAATCAAAGGTTATCAGGTATGTAAGAAATGTCTTAAAACGGATCAGGCTGATTGAATTTCACTGTCCATCCCAGCAGTTCCTGTGGAAATTCCTTGTTCTGTTGTTGTAACCTGAGTTTCTGCTCTTAAGTTTACTGACCTCTTGCCTAATTAGCATAGGTGAGTTATTTAGGATGTCTTTTAAAGGAGAGGATGGAACGTTTTGCTAAGCAGTTGTGCATGTGTAGCTGCTTTGCTGAAACTGAGCCTTTATTAGTAGCAAGGAAGAGCACAGCTATGGCACTTAGATGATTCTTCTCCTATGACTGCGAACCCACCCCTGCAAGCCTGGGAGCTTCTGTCTCCGTAATCTGCCAGGAAGAGAGGAGGATAGGCACACATGAAGAAAACCAAACAAGTGGACTCCTAGAATCATCATTTTGAGGATACTGCACAGATTTTTATAGTTGGTGATGCTCTTTGCCTTCAAGCTGAAGACGTCTTAATTCTCTATCGGGATGGGGAAAGTGCAATCAGTTATGCAGAAGGAATGGTTCACTGACTTGAAAAGATCTTCACGCTTTACTTTTCTCCTGACAAATGCTTTACTGAAACAGAAAGTCATGCTGTGGTTTGGGCAATGTATTTACAAATGTTGTAAAGCTAATGACTAGTATAGTTATGTCAAAACATATTATTCCATGTCGCCTGTTGCAAACCTTAGCTGACTTGGACCAAACAAATCCTTGCACCATAAGCAGTCAGTGCATCATCATATATGACCTTACATTCCACTTGTATTGACCTCAGCAAATAGCATGGTTTGAGAGAGAGTCCCAGAGATCTGTATTTCTTTAGTAATGTTTCAAGGAGAATGGTGAAGCTAAACAGGCCAGTATGTTAAGAGTTTAACAAGTTTGCATCAGAAAACAAGAAATAGTAATAGTACATCTGGGACTTTATTCTTCCCCAACTCAGATTATAAGAAGTTGGATCAGAAATGAGGACTGAAAGGATGACACCTACAGTCATGCCTAGGGCAACAAAGGGTAGCAAGAAAAAAGGAAGTCAGGCTTATTCAGATTTAGTTGTCATGGCTATTTTTCTTCAGTGCCAGAACACCTCTCATTTGTGCATACAGTACTCTAGGGGTGCTATATCTAAGTCTGCCATGTCCACGGTTTCTGTCCAGGAACATAACTGTCTGAGAATGTACCATGTGCTGCCTTAAACTGTGACTGACTCGCAGAGCGCTGAGAGGTGTTTGTGTGTGCCTAATCCTTAGGGTCTAGATACTATCTGCAGTGTAGAACAGATGGTTTATGAGCTGGAGGGTGTCCTGGATGTGCCGCTTTTCTAATCAGCCGTAATGCCACTGTCAAGCTTTTTCATCAAGAGTATCAACTATCAGACATACTTTAAGGGCCATCTCAAAAGGGACGCAGACATTTCATCCATGCTTCTTTGTGCTTAGAAAACGTTGCTGTGTGTTCATAGGCTACTAATTCCTTTTCTGTTTACTCATTCAAGTTGTTGGCAATGCTGTTAAAGAAGAAACGATCCCTTCTGAACAGCCACATACTCCATCTGACCTTTTCCTTGGTGGGAACTGTCGATAGCGGGCATGAGACATCCATTATTCCAAATTCTGCTGCCTTCCAGGATCTGCTCTGTGATTTTGAAGTACGTAAAGCTGCACAGGAAAGTGATGATGATGATGGATAGTGATTAAGTCAGATGCTGATAGCGTACCTTAAATATTGAACAACAGCAAACTAGGTTGTTATCCTGAGAACTTATTATTTCATATATAGTACCGTAAAGCAGTTGAGCAGCAAGATTGTTCGTAACTTTTCCTTTCCAACTTGAATCACTGTAGAAACAATGAATGAGTACCAGAGATGTTTCTGCTTTTTGTTATTTAGAAGGTATGTTTTGTAGTTTTCTGTTCAGCAATTTCTTTTAACCTATGTTCTACTGTAGGACATATATCGAGGCATAAAAGACATACTGAAAATACCAGTAGGAGGTAAACTTCTAGCATAGCACATAGGAATCACTTTATGATACATCTCTTGCAAAGTTAATAGTAAGGCAGTTAAAGTTCTGCTTGCAAGACCTATGAAATAATCAGGTGGTGTTGTGTTACGCTAAGGAAAGTAGAGAAGTTCAGAAGGAAATCCTAGTGTAATAGAGGCTGATAAATGATGCGTAGAAGTCATCGTTTAGTGTTTGCTGCTTTGGCATTATCTGTACCTGACAGACGGAATTAAAGTATTCTGATTCACATCCACTAAAATAAATAAATAAATAAAAATACTGTTACCGCTACTAATCCAGCTATAAGATATTGAATTAACAGCACAAGTCCATCTTGCACAAATGGCTTTACAGAGTTATCCATATCATTTTTTTAGATATCTGTTTGAGTATTTCAAAGCACTCCTGGAAAGTTTATTTAAGGGTCTTGTCTATGAAAAACCTCCTGCTGCTTACTATAGCCTTTATTTTAATAAAATCAACTGGCCTTGTTAACTTCAGTTTTTCAAGAGCTTAAGAGCTTAAAGGTCTTTAATGAACCCAACTTGCCCCCTTGTCAAGATCAACAATACACTATAATTATGTCACAAAGAAAGAGGAAATGCAAAAAGCAGCCCTGAGACTCCTTGTTTTTAACCTTAGTGGGGGTCTAATACAGAGGAAATTTGTCACTCACTGACGTTACCTCCATTTTTTATTTTTTTTGAAGCGTAATATTAAAATTAGAAATCAGCTTGTGCCATGTCTAAACGTAAATTCTTCAGTATCATGTAACCAGTTATTCAACAAACCTTTTAAATTACAGTAATGCTTCATTTGTGCTCACAAAATTAAACACAGACTTAACAGAAGTTATTACATTGACAGGAGGTAATCTTTGTGGTACAGGTCTTAAAGTAGATGAACTGTTTAGCAGAGAGAAAAGTCTGAATCACAGCCCAGCTCCTTTTACAGTGAGGCATGAATTCTGCTGAAGAATACTCTTTTTTTTTTTTCTTCTTCTTCTTTCCCATATAAAGGAACCAGCCGAGAAATTTCATCAATGGTATATAGCCACTCAGACAGCAACTACTGTACAAAAGATCCAGTTTCATACTGTTTAGTTCATATCTGTCTGTTTGGTTTTTTACCCTGAAGACCAAGAACAACAAGAGAACAAATATACTTGAGAGAACAAACAAAACAAAAAATGCAAGTGACAGGTCTGTGAGTCACTAAGAAGAAACTTTCCAAAAGCCTCAGGTTTTGGCTTGGATTTTTTTTTAATGATTTATTTTATTTCTCTATTCAGAAATCAATGACCCAAACATTTCACTCAAATTGGATAAATTAGATGTTCTTACTCTTATACTAAAAAGGGAAACGAAAAGATTTTTTTCTATTATATTAGACAATAAGATAGAATAAAAGAAAAAAACTAGAAAGCTATTTGTTTAAGCCAGTTTTATACACCAGAGTACAAGTATTAATTATGCTTTGTTCAATAGCAAATCAATTTAAAGATTTGCAGCTATAACTGGCTTTTCTATCTTTTATTACTTCTATTGATTGAATAATTGGTTTGTTGGGGTTTTTTTTGTAGAGGATCTAAATCATTTAAAACAGTGTGCAGAAAATGCTGGGTAAAAATTAAAAAAAAATAATCAAAATCGGGGAAGACCTTGGGTTTAATCTTGGCAGAAGATAGTAAGTTATTTTTACAAAGAGAAAATCTTCACTTAGGCCAAGTAAACTTAACACAGCATTTCACATCAGCCTTGTAAACCCCAATAACTCCTTTTGGAATCATTACACCATCTGTTTAAAGAGAAATTCCAGATAGTATGTAACTTTTTTGTCTAGAACTCTTTAAAAGTTTTCACCATGGTACGCTTATGGAGAATAGGTTTGGTACCAATGTGTTTTTCTGTAGTCTTTGCTAGTATATTTGATACTTATCTGAAGTTGAAGAATAAACAATTTAGAACCTTGCAGTGAGTTTTTAAGTACAATGGCCAGGTAAATAGTCATGTAGACGAACAGTTAAAACTCTTCAAGCCTTTCATAACCTTTGGTATACTAATGTCAGTTTTTAATCTTAAAATAGATTTGTGTACAAAACATATCATTGTTTATTCTGTATTTCAGGTCTGGCTTCATGCACCCTATGAGCTTCATCTGTCATTATTCGAGCACTTCATCGAGCTTCTCACTGAGTCAAGGTATGAGCTGATGCCAGCCTAATAATGAGACTTACGGGATTAGGTAATATGTAAAGGATGCTCCAGTTTTAAATTGCCCCTTCCTTTCTTCTCTTCTTCCAGTGAAGCGGCAAAGAATGCTAAGTTAATGAGGGAATTCCAGCTCATCCCAAGACTGCTCTTGACTCTTCGAGATATGTCTCTGTCCCAGCCTACTATTGCTGCTATTAGTAACGTGCTGAGCTTTTTGCTTCAAGGCTTCCCTAGCAGCTACGACTTGCTCAGGTAGCCCAAACCTGTGATAATTCTGGCTTTCTTGTTTTTGTTACGTTGGTGACCTTGGTCAAAAATATTTAGTGGTCATACTGCTGTGGAGTAAGGAACATGAAATGCTCAGGTACTGATTTTTTTCCTCTAAGAACGAGAATGAACTATACGTAGGCAATATTTTTTTTTAAAGGCCTTCATTTCCATGTTAAATTCAGTTTGTATCTAAACAGGTATGACTGAATGATTAAACTGGCTTAATTTTCTGTAGGTGAAAAGCAAAGGTGCTGTATTGCAGCTCCCTTGTTCATGTGAAACACTGAGCACTTTTCTTAAATACCATACTTGAGATGGAGTATAACGATACTTCTGGTTAAAATGCAGCTTTGATTGGCCTCCTGCATGAGAGCTTTAGTTCAAGATTTTTTTCTTAATCATCACTGTGTAAAAAAAACTGTCAGATATAGTACTATGAATTCTGACTGGTGAAAATTTCATAAATAATTGCGATTCATACATGCAGGAGTATTTGAAATGCTTTGACATGAGTTCAACTCCTAGATAACTTACTTTTTCTCATTTCCTATTTCATTATAATGGAAATGCATAAAATATTCCAGGGCCTGGGAGTTGTTTGCATACGAGTGGTCATGTTTTCAGCTTCTCACTTTAAGTACAATTAAAGATATCAGAAGCATCAAACTGAACGTGTTACCTGTCTTTGTTTTAATTATACAGGATAAAAACATGATTCAAGAATAAAACCTCTGATTTTGTGCTTAAATGGTTACAGAACCGATGGTAGAAGCCTGAGTTCTGCTTACTGGAAATAAAAATGAAAAATACTGTATAACTTGGAAAAAGTTATACTAGCTAGGGACCATTTCAGGTTTGTTCCAGAGGAAAGAGGAATACATTGCATCTCCTTTCTTGGAGTAGCACATCATCATCTTGTCTTGGAAAACCATGACCTTGTGTTGCATCACCTCAAGCTATAGGCATAAATGTTATACCAGAGTCGAGTAAACACTGTTTTTGATGTAATACTTCTTCAGCTTTAATGGTTTTGAGAATAATGTTTTGTTCTCCTTTCCTTGACTTGTGGTGGTCCTTTTACTAGGACTTGGTGGTATCTCCCAGTTTTCTTTCTTGAATCCTAACATTTTCAGCCTGCAGACCTGTCTGCGAAGATTCCAGTAATTACTACATGTTAATTTGGGTTTTGGCTAGTAACTTTAAATGGAGACCATTTTCCTCAATCTTCAGATGTGAGAAAGTTGACGTTTTTTGGTATCTCCCTCTCACTAGTGTTATGGCTTTAAGGTGAATTATTGATAGATGAGAGTGCACCTGTCATATCAATGAATGATTTTTTTTCCGTATACGTCAAGGTTTGGACAGTTCATCTCTTCCACTTTACCTACGTTTGCAGTCTGTGAGAAGTTTGTAGTCATGGAAATAAACAATGAAGAAAAGCTTGACAGTGGTAAGTGATGTCATGGCTTAGAAGCAGTAGAAGGGAAGTACTTTGTGAAGTCGTCTTATGCTTAAATGTGTAAAATGTAGAAGTAGTGTCATTAGCAATATTGTAATTTTCTTATAACCTGGCTGCCAGTTAGTTGTGGTACTTCAGTTTTTAGTATTGCGTGCAAAGCAGTGCAAATCCAGTTTTCCTTCATTTAACACTGGGTGGTTTTGTTCTGTCTCTTCCACTTGCTCCTTCAAATCAGCTGTGCATCTCTGCTTCTTTGTGGTGAGAGGAAAAAAGACAAAAATGGATTACTAGGTGCATCTGCCCTCCAGGTGTGGAGGAAGTGAAAGAATTAACTAAGCCTATTTTTTTAGGAAAAAAAAAGTAGTTTTACTGTCCTTCAAGAATGCTAATATTGAATTGTTTTGAGACTATTTCTACCCTTGTTTTCCTTAAGAAAAAAGGCTCATGCAATTGCATTTTCAGTCTCCCTGTGGTTTTAGTCCCATAGTGGGTGTCACCAAATAACCAGAGGGGAGTTCGCAACAATCCTATGTTTCTACATTTATTGGGAATATACTGTTGCACAGGGACAAGAGAGAGAAGTGTTTCTGCTTTACAGTTAGCTTTATTGGTTTGGTTTCCCAAACAAGGTTTAGGCAGTCTGCACATTAATCATTATCCCCCTGTACCTCTCCTGTTCCTTGTGAATACTTTTGTTTATTGCAGTCTCAAAGATGATTAAATTTGAGCTTTTTAGTGAAGAAGAGGAATGGGTATTGGAGAGAGATCCAAACTGGTATTCTCACTACAGGCCAGACGTGATTTTTTTTTTTTTTCCCAGGCTAACCACAGCCTGAGCTGCTTTTTGCCTGCCCTGGGGGACTGAAGAGCCTTGGGGACAAATTGAGGCTGTGGCAGGAATGGAGAGACAAGCTTCTGAAGCAAAGATATGAGATTTTTAGGTTGCTAGTCTTTACCAGTTCTGCTATATTTTCTGCTATAGATGATGTTTTGTGTTCATGTCTGTGGTTTGTGCACAGAAAGTGTCTATTTATCTGTCTTCATTTTTGCACGTTGCCTCAAGTTGTGATTTTTCTTTTTTTTAAATAATGTAAAAACATGGTCCTCCTTTGACAGCATAAGGTATAATAAGAGGGATTCACAAAATAACTCTAAAGCTAGTCGTGATTTGGATGTATCGGTTTGTTTTGCGGTAAGTGTGTTTTTGAACTGATGATGAGTTTAGAGTTCTATCGAAAGAAAAGGAAACTAATTTTTCTCCCCACTTCTTAAATTTGGAGGGGGTTGGAAAGCATCAGGGTTTTTCTTGGGATCCCTCCCCAGATTGCATACGCAAAATCCAACTACCATGTTTTGGGGTTTTGTGGGGAGGGGAGCGATGGGAGCAGGGGAAGGGTTGATTGCTTTTTATGTCTCCACCTGCTAGGAGTGACTAGCTTAGCTAATTTGGACCACCTCAGTTTAGATTATTGTCTGAGAAGCTGTGATTCCCTTTCACCTGTTCTTCAAACTGACCAAACTCTGTGTGATGATGATAATAATAATGGGGCATCAAACATTTCTCAGCAGCCTATAGCAGGCTGACTGCTCTTTAGCACAGCTTCCTCTCAACCTGAGCGGAATCAGGTTGCATTTGCTTATGTATGGAATTTATGAATAGCCTTTAAAATGTCCAACTTCCAAAAGTCTTAATTTTGCCCTTTTTTTTTTTTTTTATATTTAGGAACAGAGGATGATTTTGGAGGACTTGTTTCAGCTAATCTTATTCTACTGCGGAACAGGCTTTTAGATATCCTTCTGAAACTTCTATATACATCTAAAGAAAAAACGGCTGTTAATTTGCAGTAAGTACAAAAAAAACTGAGGTAAAGAAAGGATGTAACTTTTTATTTCAAGGGAGAGAATTATACAGCCCCCATTTGATTCACAAGTTGAACTGAATAATTTTATAGGAACTATTGAATGATTTATGCAGATGTCACTGAGTTAGCTTTGGGTATGCTAGCAGAAATGGAATACTTTATTATTATCTTGTTGAAGGTGTCCCTGCTTATTGCAGAAGGGTTGAACTAGGTGACCTTTAAAGGTCTCTTCCAACCCAAACTCTTCTGTGATTCTATGGTTATTGAGTTGTATGGTGTCAATTGCAGTAGCAAGAATGATAGTACTAAGCAGATGCAAGTAGGATGCAGTGTGAACAAGTGTGGATATCTGGCTACTTTGATTTTTTTTAAATTTTGTTATCTGGAGAGTCAGTTGTTTAACCCTCTGCTCTCTTCACATACTTATTGGTGCTGTTTTCCTCAAAACTTCATGTGTGGCTATAGCAAAAATAAAATCTGTCGAAAGAGAAAATGTGGTTTTAAAGACATGGGATAGTAAATGTCTCATTTGGTTAAAATCAAATGGCTTCAGTAGGGGTTATAGTTAGGATCATTGACCCTAGAATGCCCCTTAGTTCCTTAAAATTGTGTGTGAGGGAACATGATATTATAGTTTCATGAGGCACTAGAGTAATATGGTGAGTTAGAGAAGAGGCTTTTAAACACTGTTAAGTTAAACCTTGGCAAAATACAACTTTCAAGTAACTGCCCAGTAGGCTGTATTGAGTCTGTTAGAGGCATTTTGTGGATGTATGGCATATGTAGATTATGACATGATTGACAGAGTCTTGGTTGACATACAACCCAAACCTGTTTAACTTTTCAGCAATACTGCTTTTAAAAAAAGGGGGGGGGAACCCAAACAAACCATATTCTTTCAAATATTCCCAAGCATCCCTTCCCTTAATAAAAAAACAAAACAACCATCATTTTTGATACCAGTTTATTAAAAAGGCTTGTAAAAACTCTCTACCTATGTATGGCTCAACAAAAAGTATTTGGAAATTATAATTTGTGGACAAATGTTTCCAGTTCAGCATTCCACATTTGTTATCAAAAGCAGCAATTGGAGAAATCTCATGCAATGGAATAGTCCCAGGAGCTGTATCTATTTCTCCCCTTTCTGGTAAACAAACATACTGTAAGTGCTCCATTTAACAAGATTTGGTGAGTAAATTTACCTAAGAATTCACTTAACTCTTCAGTAGACCTAAACTTTCTCTGATCTTGAAGTTTGCCCTGTAGTGGAAGATGCTGATTTTTGCTATCTGGTAGGAAACTACATACTGTAAAATGTGACATCTTTTTTGGTTTTTTCCCCTTTCTCTTCCTCTTTAATTAGAGCTTGTGAAGAACTGGTCAAGACACTGGGTTTTGATTGGATTATGATGTTTATGGAAGAACATCTGCATTCCACCACGGTCACAGCAGCCATGCGAATTCTTGTGGTCCTGTTGAGTAATCAGTCCATCCTTATCAAATTTAAGGAGGGTCTCAGTGGTGGAGGTTGGCTCGATCAGACGGATTCTGTCTTGACCAATAAGATTGGTACTGTGCTAGGTATGGTATCTCAGCCCCCTCATGACTGAAGGATTGTGTGGGGGTGTGTGTCCATATGTGTCGAGGTGGGGGTTATTGTATGAATACTGTCTGGCAGATGCATCCTTTCTGTTATGGTTACCTGCTGTGATTACATGCCTCTGCACTTCATTTTTCTTACAACTCAAAGTTAGATTTCCTAGGCAAAAGGGAGTGGTTTTACAAAACTGCCCTTCACTTGACATTACACAGATTTCATTGTAGTTCAGTATTACCTCATCATCTGCATGAAGCCCGTGTAGCTAATGAGTGTCACCATCATGGTAAGGTTAAGTATGTTCCATGGGCAGGCACATCTGAGCTAGATGCAGAGGTAGCATAGCATGGCACCTTATGTACACAGCTAATAAAGATGCAGTAAAATTTACTTGTTTGTTTACTTTTATTAGTTAGAGCATCATGTGGTGTTATACCTCAGCTGCTTTGTCTAGGGAGTTCTTTGCCAGTTAGATTTACCAGTTTGGATTTTTGCTGTCTTGAGAATTTCTGTGTTCATGGTATCATCTCAGCCTTTCTTTTCCTCTCCCTCTCTTGCATTCTTCTCCACACATGTATGCTCGCTTTCTTTCTCTTATTAAAAACTTTCTTTGCGGGTTCTTAAAGCCTCGTTTATCCAGGTTATCAGACCTTTCCGTTGCCCCGTGTGATCTAGAGTTCAGTGTGTAAAACTTGAGTGCTACAGGACCCATTTTGAGCATCTCTAAGATGTCTGAAATACTTCTCCAAGTGTCTGAAATAACGGATGTCAATTCTGTAGACATGTGTAGGGGCCGTTTCCCATGGACCTGGGTGTTTTAGTCAAAAGAAGATAGTGCTTTTCAGATGAACATCCATTCAGACCCTGATGCAAACTCACTGACATTAAATGGGAGTCTTTCATAAGCATGAATAGGCTTTAGATCGGGGCAGTGGTATTAATAGTACTTTCAACTTAATTTTTGTTCCTAAAATGACTGTACAAGGAGCCACCTCTCTGTGTTGCAGCAGTATATAATCTGCTTCTGTGCTAAAGATTTTTCTGAATTGGTTTATTATAAGGAAATAATTGTGAAGTGTTGTTGGAGTGATCTTGCTTCAGGAAGAGGGCTTTTCCTGAAATGAAAATATAAAGTCCACTTTTCTGCTTTGTCTCTTTGAAATCTATCAAAGTATTTTATACTATCTTGTTATTTTTTGCATAAATTAAACTGTCTATTAAGTCTGTTTATTTACAGTGGTTTCCCATAATATATCCTGCAGGATATTCAACTAGGAACATAGGATGGTTCTTTGCCTTATTAATGAATTAGGAAGGTTAAGGAAAATAGTTTCTCTGAAACCATATTGCACATGCAAACATTTATTGTTAACATACTATAGCATCTGTTTGGCTAATTCTGATTAAGGTCCTGTATTTTATTTAATAAACAATTTTTGCACATACTTGTGCCTTAAACTTTGAAAACCATTGATATTTTAGGGAATTGCTGTTGTTTATTCAGTATCCACTTTAAATGTCCAATAACATAAAAATTTTCTTCAGTCACAAAATCTTTCTAAATAAGATTTTCATTTACAATCACATTTGGAGAGCATTTGTAGAGTTTTCCTATTTTTCTTATTATAGTATCACTTTAATTGAATCCAAGCTAGACCGTGACCAAAGAGATATTTTTAAACTTGTGTCTCATCAAATGACGGTGACAAATTATGTAATTTTCATACCCTGTGTTTTTTAATAAATTGCAACACATTGGATCCAAGATTTCTCATGAAACTAAATATGAGCTATTTCTGTTCAAGATTACTGATGGAATTCCTGCAACTTTGTAGCAAAGATTTCATTAGTCTGATTCCTGGTATGTTTTCTGTTTAAAAAAAATCGATTTCTGGTGGAAAGAATATCTGTATTAGAGCCTTAGAAAAAAAAACCTGATCTCTGGCCATGTCAGAAAAATGGCTCACTGCCTGTGCTGATGCGGAGACTGAACTGTCTCCCTGCCTCCTTCCTCATTTGAAAGTAAGAACTTCTGCCATCCTGGTGTATTTATTTATTTTTTTTTAATAGGAAAATGAAATACCTAGGTAGAAGCAGGGTCACAAAAGGTGAGTTTTATGTCTATGGCCGCGCTTAAGATAAAATAAGAGCATTTAATGCTTCATACCAGCTGATTAATCAGTAACAAAACAGCTGAAACAAGATGCCTCTGAGACACTGGGAACAAAATTAACTGCCCATTGACTTAAATGGGCCATGGGATTGCTGTTTGGTAATATGAATCTGTAACTGAGAGTAAGGTGATACTTCCCTCTCAGCCAGCAACATATCTTTTTTCAGAAACTTGGGTGTTTTAAGTCTGAAATTGTGGGCATGGTCAGAAAATGGATCTGTGTGTATGCAGTAGCATTAGGCAGTCTGTATGGGGCAGTGTCATCTATCTGGTACTGAAAGGCAATAATTTCCATTTTTTTATTGTTAAAAAAAATTAGACATCTGAAGCAGAATTATGTAGTGTGTGTGTGACGGGCTGTATGCATAGATTCATTTTGTACAGTGATAATTTCTGAGGAGTTACCCTGTCGAGTTCACTTCTTGAATAAGAGTGAGCTTCATAGGCATTTCCCTATTAACATTGTTGGCTTTTTGTATTTTTTTTTTTTCATCTTAGGGTTCAATGTTGGCAGGAGCGCTGGTGGCAGATCGACGGTCCGGGAGATTAACCGGGATGCTTGTCACTTCCCAGGCTTTCCTGTTCTGCAGTCCCTTCTCCCAAAGCACACTAATGTACCTGCACTCTATTTCCTCCTCATGGCCCTTTTCCTGCAGCAGCCAGTCACTGAACTGCCCGAAAACCTGCAGGTCAGTGCACCTGTCATCAGCAGCCGATGTAATCAGGGTTGCCAGGTAGGGATTATCTAGTAAGATATAAATGTAATTCTGTCTGTCATGAAAGACAATACTGGATTAACCAGGCCCCCTCCTCCTTCTCTGCAGCTGATTCACAGTTAAAATGTGGTGTTGAGTGCTGAGCTTTTTGGGATGGGAGGACAAGGTACCTGGGAGTATACGGAAGCCAGCCTGTTACGGCATAGCTGTCACTGGTGTCTTTCTGGTCTGTTTTGGGGTCAGATGAGAAGCAGCTGGCATGGTATGGGCATTGAAAAGGGCTTTTTTTTTTTTGCTTGGTTTCTTTGGGTTTTTTGTTGTTGGGGGGGGTTCCTTATTTTTTTAAGTGAGGAGTTGCTGTGTTAAAGAGAGTTCACGAGATTACAGACAAAACAAGGTAGCTTTTATTTCAGAAAATTTCTGTGGTTTTGTATGGAGGCATCTCAGTTGTTGCTGGAAAATGTTTATTGTTCTTATTCTGAACAGGTTGATTTTGGACTTTGAATTGTATGTAAACACGTAGATACTATATCAGAGTCCTAGGAAGCCTTAGTATAGTGCTTTATGGAGAAAAGCCACAATCTGGATAGACAAGGTGCCTGTTTAGAATGGGTGCAGTGCTAACATTTATTTATCAGTGGGAACTGGAAAGTAAAAATTTCAGCCCAGAAGGTATTCTGCCTGCCTGTTTTCTCAAGAGGAATACTTGACAGTGCATTCAGCACTATGCTACAGTGAAGTAGAGTCATGAATCTCATCTCCTGCTTACAGTATTGAAGTGCGGCACTGTTAAATCAAAACTAAATTCAACTGCTTAAAATATTTAGCAGTAGCACCCTTAATGCTGGAGGTGAGCACTTTGTCCTTTTTTTATTTTTTAATTGAGTTAACTTTTTGGACTTGCTGGAAAATGAAACTTGATTTGTTTTCTTCTTTTTTTTTTTTTCTTTCTGTGGGATACCATGTGTGTTTTGCTGCTAGATGTGAGTGAAGTAACCTGAGGTGATTGTGAAGGATTTGTGCTGACAGGTCTCTTGTTTCAAAACACTTAAATGCTTTGAGAAGGTGAGAGTTGCAGTTATGTTAGCCCATGGTTAGAAGGAATTTTCTTCAGCGACACATGACCTTCATATGAAGCTTTTGGGAATAAAGTTTGGAGGACATGAAACAATTCATTTTTAGATACTGCCAAGTGAGCGTATTTTGGGTATAATAAAAAGCATCATCACATTGCATAGGAGAAAGGGATTATTTCATGTCGTCTTTCTTCTCTTTCACCTCTTACAGTTTGATTTAGACTCTATTTGGACATTCATATTTGGAGTTCCTGCCTCCTGTGGCACCGTTACCTCTTCAATACACAATGTATGCACAGAAGCTGCCTTCTTGTTACTGGGAATGCTGAGGAGCATGCTGAATTCTGTAAGCATAAAAATTTTTGCTCGTATTTGAATATTCAGAATTGTTCAATTTTGCCATGTGGTCAAAAGCCAAATTGGAAAAGTTGAGGTTTTGTTAGTGTCACAACAAACCCAGCTGTGAGTTAGGCTCGTAATACTTGGGTGAAAACCATCATTGTCAGTGGGTTATTCCATTTTACTTTATTTTTCAGTATCTGTAGAAAAATTAGTGGCCATGAAATTAATGCTACTTTTCCACAAAAAGGCTGGGCTTTGTGTTTTGCTGCAATTAAAACAGAACAAGAAAGCAGAAGGATAAAATGCCCTTGGCAGAGATCATTGAATTTCTTTCCTGATTAACATCGTGGGGGAATGTTTGAGACTCTATATCCCATCTGCTCAGAGCTGTGCGAGTTGCAGATTTTGTGCATGAACCTTCCACATGCAGAGAAGTCCCCTGACTATTAATAGCCACATGCTGGAGGAAATGAATTTACTGCCAGAAAAATGTGTTGTCTCCTCATCTTTGAATCTGATGTCAAGAGTAGTGAAAGTTGGTTTCTCAGTAGGAAAATTTTGTATTTCCTTGGAGCCAGAGTGTGTTATCTGCAGAAAATTATCTCATGAAATGTTGGAAAAGCAGCACCTGTTCATTTGTTGCTGGGTTGGTCGTCACGTGTTTGCGATGTGCTCTGAGAAGCATTGCTTGCATGTCTCTCCCATGTTAACATGTTCAGAAGGGTCTTCTGGACTTGTAGACTGGTAACGTGTATGTGACCTGCTGCAGTACACGTTCCTGTTGTCATGTGTTCTGTCTTGCTGGTGACCTGTTCTGTCATGTGTTTGATCCTCACGTGTTCAGACACATTTGTGATATGCTCAAAGACATGTGCTGTCTCTTGCCATGCTGTCTTGTGACACATTTGTGATATGCTCAAAGACATATGCTCTTGCCATGCTGTCTTGGGCTGTGTCATCAGGTGTATGTTCACATGTGCCATCACATTTTGGGTTGACATGAGTCAGGTCATGTTTACCAACATGTTTTGAATTATTACATGTTAGGATACATGTTTTGTCTTGTGGTCAGTCATGTGTTGTAAACATGGTCAGTCTCCTGTGATGTGCTTGAACACATGCTCAGGCATACATTACTGTCCTGTCAGGCTGCCATGTGTTATTGCTGTGGGTTTATCACATGTTCAGTCATGTGTCTGGTTACATTTCATCATGTGGTTGCAACTCGTTCCACCCTGTTTTATCATGACATGTCCTGTTGTAATGTTTGTCGTGTTCTGCTATGTATTTCTCATGCATTTATGATATGGTGACATGCTGCCATGTGTCACTCGCATGTTTGTAATGGCTTGGACACATGTTCTCTTATCACATGTTCTGTTGTCACCTGTCGCAGGCACATGGTTTGGACATGTGGTTTATGTGTTTGTTAGAAGTTGGTGGCTTGTTCAATTGTCATGCATTCTGGAAGCAAGATTAGCCACATGTTTGGTCAGACGTTCATCGTATGTGTTCTGTTACATTGGGTCAGGTTTGTCACATGTTGGCAATGTGATTGAACACATTTTCTGTCACTTGTTTGATCAGATATTAGGTCACATGTTCAGACGCTGTGTCTTCAGTTATGTTTTCTAGACATGTGTTTGGTCGTGTTCTGACAAGTGCTCCGACACACATTTGACATGTGCTAGGTGTGTTTTTCACACTTGGTCATGTGCTTGGCCACATGTTCAGTCATTTATTTCTGCTCTGCTTGAACAAGTGCTTGTCCACGTGGTTGATCACATTTGGCCCCGTCTTTGATCACATGTCACCATCACGTGTTTCATTGCATGTTTGACAAAGTATTTGATTGCGTATTTGACTCTACAGCTCCTTTTCCTGCAGCTCCTTTCTGGAATGAGTGTTCTTCAATTAGTGCCATCTGTGCTAATGTGCTGTTTGTTTTTCAACCCAGCCTTGGCAGTCGGAGGAAGAAGGCTCTTGGCTTCGAGAATATCCAGTCACCTTGATGCAGTTCTTTCGATATTTGTATCATAACGTGCCGGACCTCATTTCCTTGTGGATGAGTCCAGAGTTCCTGTGTGCACTGGCAGCAACAGTGTTTCCTTTCAACATACGACCTTACTCTGAGATGGTATGAAGTCCAACTTGTTAGCTGTTTTGTTTTTCTCCTGACTGTTACTTTTGAGGATTTATCAATTAACAGTCACATTAAGATAAAACAGAAGGAGGTTGTTGTAAAGGCTGGGCCTCTCTTGGAATGGAGAGAAGTACATGTTCCACTGAAGGGCAGTTGCTGTGGTGACATCTGAAACTGCATTTTAGGGGGAATGTACACAGTTAATTTGTTTTCTACTGGATCATTATTTTCAATCATATGAATAATGTTAGCTCACATTTACAAAAGCAAACAACTCAGCCTTTTTTTTCAGCCCTCTGCTCTGGAGGATGTGATAAAATCTAAACCTTCTTTTTCCTCCCACTTCCCATTACTTCTTTTGTGGCTTAACCACAAAACAGTGTTCTTGTCTTACCTGGAACTGAGTTCAAGCCAGGAGAGGGTATGAATTCAACTTTGCTTGCGTTGCTGCCTGAAGTATTCTTTGAGCTTAGTGTCACTTACAAATGATACTACTTCTACAATATGAATGGAAAGGACCACAACCACAAACCACAACCACTTACAAACTGGTAATGCTGATTTGGCATTCACCTGTTTAGAGTTTTTGGATTGAGCCTTGTGCATCTGAGCAGGTTTTATTTAACTACTAGGTCCCTTGAAATTTTGTGTAGCTGCCTGACAACTTGAGCTCTTTGCTGTTTGACGGCTCTCTTGACTCCAAATTGGTTTACTCCTCCAACATTTCCCTCTGCCCATATGTGTAGAACTAATCAATCCCTTGTGAAATAGATGAATAACAGCCAGGTTCCTGCAACAAAACACTATAACCCACATTCAGTCTTGAGAGAAAATTCTTAACTGATCTGTCAGCCTTCCTGAGATTGCCATTAAAACCAGAAGAGGTACATGTTTGGGCTTCTCTTAATTTCTTGGGAAAACTCTCCCACTGAAGCAGACCAAATGTTCAAAACAGTTCAAAACATTTGGTTACTTCACATGTAAGCTGGTGATGCAATAAGCCTGTTGAGGGAAATTATATTGTCTCTTCTTGTATTTGGAGGAGAGCATTGCATACAAACAGTCATGCTTTTGGATTTGACAGCTTTCATTATTGTTTGATCTTGTTACAGTTCTCTGGAAGAGCTAGCCCCTCAAAGGTGGTTGTTTGTCAGAAACAGGAAAGCTCTAGCGCCCTCCTCCTCCTTTTTTTTTTTTTTTAAGATGTTTTGGTAAACTGGCCTACCTATAACTGCACTCTGAAGGTATCATGTTAAAAAAAGACAATGGTCAGTTCCTTTTTTGTTTTCTGTTGTGTAAGCTTGATAGCCTGATTTAGTTGGCTTATGTCTTAATTTTATTTTAACTGCTTTAATTAATAACTTTTTCAAAACTTCTCTTTTTTTCAATGAGAAAATCTATTTTTGCAAAGTATCTAGAAATTACCAAAGTACTTCATGTTGGTAAGTGAATATGAAATGTGATCTCTAGCTCCCATAACTCATGCCAATCTTCACTGATTATTGTTTGCGTTTGGAATCTGGAACTAGAGTTTGGCTATTTCTCCTGTTTTGTATTAGGGAACTGATCCTGAACATAATAATCCTGTAAAAAGGCTTCTTAAGAAGCAAAATGTGAAGTGAATTTTAACATGTTGTTTTTCACAGGTCACGGATCTTGATGATGAAGTTGGGTCCCCAGCTGAAGAGTTTAAAGCCTTTGCAGCTGATTCTGGCATGAACAGGAGCCAATCGGAATACTGCAATGTTGGCACCAAGACATACCTAACCAACCATCCTGCCAAGAAGTTTGTATTTGACTTCATGCGTGTGCTGATAATTGATAACTTATGTCTCACACCAGCCAGCAAACAGACTCCACTGGTAGATCTTCTGCTAGAGGTACAGTTTCTTTGGGTTTTGTGTTTGTTTTTATTATTTGAACTTATTATGGCACTGTATTCCCTAAAATGTTTTCCTTTACTTGCCTTTTAAAGTTAGAGGAGTGGTGACCTGAGATTTAGTAGAATCCTGTAAATTGTCATGAAATAAGAGGGTGGAGTGGGGGAGAGGAACACTAGTGTCTGATAAATAGTAGTTTGCTCACCTTTCTTTAACAGCTTGGAAAACCTAAGAAAGCAAACGCAGAGGGTTTAACTCAGCCTTCCTTTGAGAATGTTTGCTGGACTTCTCCCTGCCCCACCAACATTTGTGTATATTGGTGACTATCTCAGGTGCTTGAGCTGACAGTCTGCATGCTGGTTACCTGGCTTTTTTCTTGCTGGGCTCCGTTCTGCCCTCCACAGCACAGCCCTACTGCTGCTTTTGGTTTTGGGCTCCTTAACTTTCATTTGGCCAGTCAAATGGCTCTGTTAGTTGCTGAGCACACTGTGTTAATGTTCTATTTCTATTTTTCCCTCGCTTTAGAGCAGCCATAATCTTGTTTTGGCATCTTAGCCAATATTTCCTTTTGTCTGGAAACACAGGTAGTGGATCACAACACTAGATGCTCAACAGTGACAGCATGAGACGTTGTCGCTTTCTTCAAGTTTTATGTTTGTGGAGTATGATTCATTTGTTAAACACCTTTCAGATCATGACAGTTGTATTGGCTTTGTTGAAAATATAAAAACCCTGCAAATCCCTGCAGGAGTATTAAGGTTTCTGGTTTATTCATATTAGATAAAAAGAAATGGCAGGACATATGGCACTGTATGCTATAAAAATTCACAAAATAACTGTGTTATCTTCCTGTAATTGTCTTTTAAAGTTCATGACACCTGCAGAAAGCATCCTTCTGTTAATACTAAGGCAGGCAATGACAAGTTCAGTTACTGTTTAACTGCACACACCTTCTTCAGACAATGTATTTTGAAATGTTCAGTTCATGACAATTCGCATTCTTCCTTGACCTACCTATTTGTTACCTCGTCTATGTGTTGCTGAGTCTCCCTGATTTTTTGATAGCTGCAGGAATTTGGACCGTGCTTGTATATTTCCTAACAAATTTCCTGGGGCAGTTGGGCATCCCTTTGCTATCACAAAGCAAAAAATGAATTATCAAGAGATGTTGTTATACACAGACATCAGGAAGCATATTTGAGGCCATGTTCAATTGGTTGCAGTTGCTTTACTGCTGTTTTAATCTGTTATCACTGTCAATGTTACTGGCCCCTTAGCATAAACAGAAAATGGGGTATGTACACACTGGTAAACTGTTACAGGGCAAGACAAGGCAGGTTGACTTAATTTTATATTGCTTTCTAGGGCTGTTCAAGTGGATCATTCAGTTAGGTATGATTACATATGGATTGAACAACACAAGGTGATAAAGTGGTTCTCCCCATTAAGTGCAAAGGAAATTAGAAAGGTTTAGCGCATCCATCTATTATAGGACTATACCAAGGCTGCTGCAGTAATATGCAGAACCCCACACAGAAGTGATGTTCAAATTACATGTTTGATCTGTCCCGTTTACTCATTTTTTTACTGAAGGAGGTGACTGTGAACTGAGGAGATCACAGTTTAAACCGTATGCTTAGTTAGAGATTGGTGCATCTTTTCAGAATGTTGTTTTTCCAGTTCCTAATATGGCAGACAATAAATTTACTGGATTTAAATAGGAATAATGCCTACTCTGTAAGACTGCATACAGCCAATGTGTACTTGATGTATGTTCTTAACTTTTTAGATAAAGCCAAGACTTTTACTCAAGACAGAATGTTAAGAGGAAAAAAAACATAGTTCATGAAAGCTGAGAAAAGAGAAATTCACCTCCCTCTTTTTGCTCACTTAGAAATACTTGTTATCTTAACATTGTATTTCTTTTATCAGGCTTCCCCTGAAAGATCAACACGAACACAGCAGAAGGAATTTCAGACATATGTTTTGGATGGAGTGATGGACCACTTACTTGCAGCTGATGTTTTATTGGGTAATATAGTAAAGTTTAATTATCAATTTATTGATGTCAGCAAAAGGTTTTTATTATTTAACTTTTTCTTTATTAGTGTCTTGTTTTGTTACAACTTGATTGTCTTTATTTTTTTCCCTGCCATCTCCTTTCCTTTGATGTGTAAATGGTGTTGCTGTGCTTGCATGTTCCCTCACTATCTTGATTGTGCCAAAGCTGTAAAATAGGTTATTAAAAAAAAACCTAAATGGCATGAATCTTTTGGATGTGTAAGCCAGACAAATTAAAGTCACATCAAAAAGAACTGGAACTGGATCTTGCATCATCTCTCTTGTCTTTCTTGCCTTGGTAGGGGATCTGGAGCTTTTGTCATTTTTTCATGGGTGGGACTTCGGTTTTTAAAAGTTAGCTTTGTTTCCATTTCCTCCTACTGTAGTTTTACTATTAATACACCACCCCAGAAAAAACCTCTGGGATCAGCACTCCATTGATCCAGTTAATAAATGGACAGGAAGAGAATTAGAAGCTTGTAACTTGGATGTCAGCAGAGTAGGTTGTCCTACCAGAGCATGGATTTAGATGATTATGAACTGACCTGTAGGAATATTGCTGCTTGGGTGCCCAGTCAGATTTCACGACGGCCTGCTGGACTTCCCAGGAGTTCTCAGTCTCCTCTGTCTCTGTCCTAGATGTCGTGGGACAGCATGCATTCCTCTTCAAAAGTGGTTGTAAGGCTCTCCCTTTCTTGTGACAGCAATGATTTGTCTTTCTCTGGGTGCAGTGCATTAATAAAATGAATCCAGTATCACGTTGCATCGAGCTTTGGGTCAGTCAGGTTTTCAGCAGAGTCTCCTGCCTTTACAAGTACTTCTGTGCAGCCCAGGAGCAGGACTTCAGTTTCCCCAGACGTTCCTTCTTCAAGGTTTTGCCAGCTTCCTCCCGGTGCAATGCTATCAGTTGCTTTAAGTGCAGATGAGGCAACAAGTGAATAAATGTAGGTGAACTTTCAGCAAAATCAACACCACTGATGACTTTTTTTCTTAATGGAAGTACTTGCACTTTTTAAGTTTCTCTTAATATAGCTGGACTAATGTTTACATACATGCAGCTGATGCGCATTGACTCAGTTTTATTGAGCAAAGCACAGTGAGGGAGAAGTGATGCCACTGGTATCACTTGTCATCTCAAGGTGTTTAAAAAAGTTCTTTTCTTTTTGAAAAAACAAAAGAATAATTTAAAATAGCTACAGGTAGTTCTGCACACATGCAGCTCCAATTGAAAAGGAGGACCATACCTAAATATGATGCCTCGGGGTCATAGCAGTACCATTTCTTCTAGACTCTTCCTGCCCCAGCCCCTCCTTTTTTGGTCTTTGTCACTGTTTATTTCAAGCGTTTGCTTACCATCAAAGATCATTGTAGGGAAGCCATGAGGTTTTAGCTTTTTCTTCGACTGAGTCTTTTTCTCTTTTACAGAAGTCTAGAAAGCACAGACTAATGCAAATGTGTTTATGCAGATGTGGCTTTTTTGATAAATGAAGAAAACTTTGGGTTTTTTTATTACCTAGGTGAAGATGCGTCTCTGCCTATAACGAGTGGAGGAAGCTACCAAGTGCTGGTGAACAATGTGTTTTATTTTACACAGCGTGTGGTAGATAAGCTTTGGCAGGGCATGTTCAACAAAGAATCCAAACTTCTTGTGGACTTCATAATCCAGCTCATTGCACAGGTAAGTGTTCCTCTATTAGCCTGTTTGTGAAAACATTTTCACAGGTTGTGTTAAAAATCCATGGAGTGATGTCACTAAGCAACCTGCTAGCGATGCATGTCAGGTCAACATAGAACTACGCTTTTCTACCCCGGGGCTTTCTCTCTCTTTACTGAGCTTTCCTAGCACATTTTGTCAGTGTGGAGTGTTTTAATATGGGGCAGTTGAGTCAAAACTGCTTTCAGGTGACATAATTTTTTAGAAATCCCCCAAAATAAACAATGAAATTTACCTCTCATGAATTTTGGGAAGTTTCCTCACGTACTCTTATTGGACATTGTTAGAAGACTTTTACTGTTAGAAATCAGCAATATCTTTATAGATGTTAAAATTATAAGTGTATTGTGTATTAATGTAATTTTGGTCCTTGAAATTCACAGAATTGACACTTCTAGTAAAATAATGATTTTGAAAAATGACCATGGGTCAATTCAGGGGAAAATTCTGTGCCAGTAAATTGATTTTCTGCTACTATCTGATCATGTTTTTTTACTTCACATCAGTCAAAAAGAAGATCTCAGGGACTATCGCTGGATGCTATTTATCACTGCCTGAACAGGACCATCTTGTATCAGTTCTCAAGGCCGCACAAAACAGTTCCTCAGCAAGTGGCTCTCCTTGATTCCCTAAGGGTCCTTACTGTGAACAGAAACTTAATTTTGGGACCTGGAAATCATGATCAAGAGTTCATCAGCTGCCTAGCACACTGCTTGATTAATCTGCACGTGGGAAGGTAAATATCTCAGGTGGAAGTTCATTCCAGAACCAGGGTTGTGAAGTATTAAAATGACCTGTTCTCTCTCAGCAATGACAGTCACCTTGCGAATAAGTCAGCAAATTCTGGATAACTGTTTATGACTTTCCAGCCAGTGAAACGCAGGCAAGCTTAAGTGATTCATTCTGAAACAAAATTAGGTTTGAAGAGCCCAGGTATAGAGAACATTCTTACCTCCTTTTACAGAGGTATTTTAAAATACTGACACAAGTGCTTGTCTAACGGTTTTGTTGTTATGCTTTGATAACTTGAAATGTTTTCGAGGTAGAAAGAAACACTGGTGCTAAGTAATTAATAGTCAAAGGGATCTGTCAGTAGATTTATTGTCTATTGAATCATGTCATACAAATGCCGTATCTTAGTACTTGGATGTATAGCGTTGAATAAGTCTAGTCAGGCATTTAATTAGATGTCCGTGACAAGTGCTGTAGACACCTACTTTTCTGTGTAGCTGCAAATGCCTGCCTGGCATTTTTGGTTTTGGTGTCCCCGTGTCCCGTCCCGTCCCCCCCCACCAAGATGTACAGCTTGTGTTTCATTCAAAGACACTGGAGAAGCATCAGCAGCAGAAACTCTAATGTTCTCCATTTATGGCCTTGTCTGTTTTGTGTTTCTTTAAATATTACCATCTTCCTCTAGCATCATCAGTATCCATGGCATGTCATTTTTCATAAACCTTCAGTTTGGCTTGTGACCCCAGATTACTAGAACTCAAGTGGACAGAAGTGAAGATATGTTGCTGTAGTAGCATGTATTAATCTTTGTGATACCATCACAGGGAATCAAATGCTCTAGCTGAGCTTTTTTTTCTTTTTTTCTGGTTGTTGTTAATTCATTGTGTATTTCTAGCAATGTTGATGGGTTTGGACTGGAAGCAGAAGCCAGGATGACAACTTGGCACATTATGATCCCCTCTGATATAGAACCAGATGGAGTCTACAATCAAGATGTCAGCGAAGGTAATCTGAGAGTGACAAAGCCACAGATGTCTGCTAATGCCACATCTGTATGGCATTATATCACTGATCTTTTTACCCCAGTTACTCTTACAGCTGGGGATGTGTGTATAAAAATATATTAAAAATAGATGAAAAACCACTTAGATATACCAGGACAGACATATCCAGAATAAGTTACTGTTTTGTTTCAGTAGCAAGAGCTCTTCATTGTTTTCTGGACACGCACCAGAATTAGAAATACTGCTTTATATGCACTGAGTAAAATACAGTAGAAATGGGTCATTTTAAGTGTGCATCGTGGTTTTGTATCAACTGGACTTTACATGAGCATAGGTAAGAAATAATTGGTATAAGCTGTAAAAATTATTATTCAGTGGCATCCTCAGGATCTTTCACTCAAAGGAAAATTATGAACTAGCTGTGGAAGAAAGGATTCCATGATTTTTTTCCTTACCTGTCTATATATTTAATATTTATACAGATTTGTACTTATGCACACAGTCATATGTAAAAATATTAAAGCGTAATGTATGTATGGAATTACATATGTGGTTATAGACATATAGTTCTATAAGATTTTTTAATCTCATTTTGTTAATAGAAGGATGTGAGAGAAGAATTACAACTAATCAGAGCCAGTGTTTGAGATTTGCAGAGAAAAAAAATGGCAAAATTAACTGTTAGATATTTTCTGATAGAATATAAATGGCAAAAAAAGACAGTCTGTCCAAAGGCATTTCACAGGTCATGCAAGAGGGGAAGAAACTAGAGTATAATTGCAGAAATTATTCAGTTCACAAAACCAATTTTATAAGCACTGTAGAGGGTTTTCTGTTTGTGATCTTGTACCTATGCAGGTCGCCAGCTTCTTTTAAAAGCCATAAACAGAGTGTGGACAGAGCTGATCCATAGTAAAAAACAGGTTTTAGAAGAAGTTTTCAAAGTGACGCTACCTGTCAATGATCGTGGCCAAGTGGATATAACTGTTGCAAGACCTCTTATTGAGGAAGCAAGTTTAAAGTGTTGGCAAAATCATTTGGGTAAGTGTAACTGAATGTCCTGAATGGTAGATTTCCCTGAAGTGAACCGTATGCGCTGGGTGTTTTAATATGGGCTTAGATTTTTGTGTAGCAGTAAGTACTCTATCACCATTTAACATCTCTCATTCAGAAACTGTACTGTGTGTAGGATATACTTACGCTCCAATGCACACAGGGTCTTGATTCAGCACTGTCGGTGATCTCAACAGCATCCTGTGTTTGTGAGTCAGTGCACACCAAATAGCGTATTGTGGATTAGAGTGATGGATTCATTTAGCTCCTTCCCATGAACACTTGGATTGGGGTTACCTGTGTTACTATTCTCAGGATTGGATGTGCCAGGCAGGGAGGAGACCCCCCCTTGAGCATGTCTGGGTGCAGCCTGCAAGCACTCCATCCACTGATGCAGTTGGAAATGTGTGACTGAGCAGTCTTCTAGCAGCAGTGATACTATGACTTCTTCTTGGCTGGGAGATCTGGTCAGTGTAGGAAGCAGCTTTGCAGGAAAATGACCTGGGAATCTTCGTGGACAACAAGTTAAGCACAAGTTACTCTGTGCCTATGTAACTGTTGCTGGACTGAATTAGCAAGAGTTTAGACAGCAGATAATAAAATTCCATAGACATGGCTCCTCTGATGATTACATGGCTCTAAAATAACTCAGGTTATCCTGGATGTACAGAAAGCAATTTTGGAAACTTGGAATAAATGTTTTTGTGGTCTCTGTATTTCTAAACGTGCTTTGCCCCTGGCTGGTGTTTGCTCAAGTTTTCCAGTCTCTCCCTGATAGTCAGAATATTTGCAGAAATGTTTTGAGTAGAGTGAAGGGTCTTTGGAGAAATTATTGCTGTAAGAAAGTAGTAGTGGTTTTACAAAAAGAAAAAGAAAGCTCAGAGGGGGAGTGAACTGAAGAAAGCGTGAGGAACGTGAGCATGTACTTTGTAAATCAAAGGTAACTGATAAACAGTATGATCCATTAGCTGAGTATCAGGAGAACATTAAATTGTTGAGAGAGTTGAACTAAGCTGGGATTTTTTTACTTCGGTTTTAAAGTAAGCACACTGGTCTTGTGGACTTGACTATCAACTAGCATGATTATGTGCACAAAAAGGTGCAGTAGGCCCACCTAACTTCTCCGCTCAATATAGTGCATCTTGCTACCAGATTGGTTAGTGGCGTCATGTTGTTGCTCCTTTTTGGGTAGAGATACAGTGCTCAGCTGCATTTTTTTTTTGCTGCTATCTACTGTTAATAACATAAATAATATAAATTTGTGATGTTTGTAACTGTTTTGAGAAAAAAAGTATTTCTCCAGATACTGTCTCCTTTCTTTGGAATGCTCACTTGTTCTTTAAGGGATGTAAATCAGCAAAATTTAAGTTGGCAGGGTAGAGAGAGGCTAGGTGACGATTTTGTTTATACATAGCTGGTTTTCACCTCTTCAGATGAGGAGAGAATTCATAGCTCATGGACCCTGATTTTAATAATTGATAAAAGGACTAACAAATCTGTTTGCCATGCTTGATTTCAAAATGCAAGCAATTCCCAGATTTCACCTTAATCTTTCCTCATACAGGTAATAAATGTTTGATATGAATGTGAGTGCTGCTGGGCACTCTTAAACAAGTAACAACAAAAAAACCCCAAACAAACAGAAACCACACACACTCACACCCCCACCCCCCATCAATCCCAAAAAAACCCACCTTTTTGAAGCAGCAGAAAAGGTTATTCCGTTCAAAAACAGCAACCTTAATGGGGGAGGGGGAAAAAAAAACCCCAAACACCTAAAAAGTGCTCCCAACACTTTCTCTTTGTTTTTCAGCTCATGAGAAGAAATGCATCAGTAGAGGGGAGGCTTTGGTTCCAACCACACAGTCCAAACTTTCACGAGTTAGCAGTGGGTTCGGACTCTCTAAACTAACTGGTTCCAGGAGAAATCGCAAGGAGAGTGGGCTCAATAAACACAACCTCTCTACGCAGGTAATTTCTGTCGATTAATAACAAACAGTCTAAAATCCAGCAAGGTATGTTCAGGGTTTGTGGTAAATATCCCAATGTAAGGAATCCTGCAGTGTGAAATGATATCTGGTGCTTGGTTGTTTCCCCTTTTTGAATATCCAGACTGAGCGTCTTGCTTCTGTGTGTCCTAATCTAATAGCTGCATCTGCATATCTGTAATGTTAAGCCAAGAGTTAAGCTCTTTGTTGTTGGTGAGACTGCTCAGGTGCTTCTGGTTACATATATGTTTTATTGCTTTGCTAGTCTGTGTCTTAAATTCAGTTTGCAATACTGCTCTGAAATGGAAGCTGTGAGACAGATGCTTGTCCTTTTTTTTTCCTCCTCCCCCCAAGATTATGTGGTTTAGGAAAATCCCTATATGAATGTGTATGTATCATGACTAAACAAATGCTGCTTTGCGCTGTTTTTACTGTATGACCGAGGAGAGCTCATCAAAGCAATATGTGATGGTAGAAATGGACATTCGCCATACAAACCTGCTTGCTTTAAAAATAAAAAAAAAATTTAAAAAAGGCATGTTGGGTCAAGGGGTGCGGGTGTATTCCTGCCACAAGGAAACATATAACTCCTGTTGACTTAATCAGGAGTTTGTTTCCTGTGAAAACTATACGTTGTGAGTTCTCTTTCTGATCTGAAAATTATTCAGTGGCTTTGATAAAGTAAAGAATTGTCAGTGCTCTTAGTCTTTTTCCTAGAAAGCGGGCATAGACGTTAAAATGAAAAGGAAGAAACTCACAAACTGAGCTGACAGGAACCGATACTGGCTGTATCAGTAGAGGGAGCAATAAGTGAAAAAACTTATATTGCGGTACAGAGTGAGGAGTGCTGAGTGTCTCGCAGATTTCCAGCAAACTAGGTAGCATCCACAAAATATTATTTGAAAAGAAATAAGGAAAAGTAGTAATATTTGTCAGTGCCAATCTTTGGTTGTTTGGGAATGTTCTGAACTGTTAGTCGTGTGTTTGGAATATTTTCCAAATGTTTGCTGCTTTCTTTTAAAGGATATTCCAATACATGGGGGGAAAAAAAAAGAAAAACAAAGCCTTAAATACTGTTGCATGCAGTAGTTTGAAATTCATTATCTAAAGGGTTTTTTTGTTTGTTTTTTCTTTTGAGAAGCAATCCTTTTTGAGCAAGTTTAGCAAGGTGATGTATTCATAGGCTTTTCATTCAAACAAAACCTTCTTTTATAAAGTGTCATTCTGTCTGTCCTCTTACCTTTATTTTAGGAAATTTCCCAGTGGATGTTTACTCACATTGCAGTGGTTCGGGACCTGGTTGATATGCAATATAAGGAATATCAGGAGGTATGGTTCAGAGGATTAATTACCTGATGCTGATATTTGGACCTGTTAGGTTATACCGATCCCATTTCTCAGTATGGGGCTTGTAAAGTACTAGGATCATCATAGGTGAAATGCTTGAATGTTTAGACACAGGTGTTTTTTTAAAGGTTTTTAAAATGCAATCAAATAAACTCATTTTGATCTGTTTGTAGATGAAAACTCTTGTAGCAATATTACTACATGTTAAACCTTAATTTTTTTTCCAGAAGCTTAAGTAGTCTTTCCTTAGAAGTGTAAAAAAAAAAAAACCAAAAAAACCTTTACTGTAAAGTTTTGTAAAAAAACCCAAACTTTACTGTACAAACTTTACTTTTATAGTAAGACAAAGAGAATTTTATGGTACCTTTCCCAAATCACGCATTGATAGAAGGTCGCTGTTCTGTGCCTTCCCGAATGAAATCATTGCACCCTGCGGTTTCTTTCAAATGTCCCCAAAGACCTTTGGTTCAAATTAGTTGCTGAGCTGTGTGCTATAAATCTAAAGAAATCAGCTTCTGAGAGAAAAAAGTCATTGAAAGACATTAGTTTAAGAAAAAAAACAAACAAAAACACAACCGTCAAAGGTTGCTTCATTTAACTTTTTTCTCCAGTGTAAATACAGGCAAGAAAGGCATCCAAAACAATTTCTGTTTCATTTTTAAAATACTTTCTCAAAATCAGTGGATTAGTGTTACATTTATTTCATATTTGTCATTTAGAAATAAATTCAATTAATGATACAAACCAAAAGCAGAGGGCTTTTATTCCTTTTTTGTTGAGAAGATTACAATATGAACCCTACTTTTATGTTAACTGACACCAGAAATCTCATTAAGGCATACTAGAAAATGCTACTAGAATTATGAATTATTACACATTTTCTGTAAGGTAGTGAAAATGTCTCTGCCCACATCAGAGACAGGCTTAAAAGCATCCCTCCTGATGCATCTACAAATGTTTTTGTATTCAGCGTCAGCAGAATGCATTAAAATACGTGACAGAAGAGTGGTCTCAAATTGAATACGAGTTACTGCGAGAGCGAGGTTTGTGGGGTCCCCCCATTGGCTCCCATCTTGACAAGTGGATGTTGGAGATGACTGAGGGTCCCTGCAGAATGAGGAAAAAGATGGTGCGAAACGACATGTTTTATATTCAGTATCCCTACATGCCTGAAGCTGAGCAAGAAACAAACTTGCTGGTAAGTATTCAAGATTTTCCGATGAGTAATTTTATGCCCTGTTGTAAAATCTGTGGGTTTTTTGTAAGCTTTTCTTACAAAACATATTTTACTGTAGGTATTGCCTGGTATTCTGTCTGTATGTCCTAAATGGTTGGTAAGGCCCAGTTGTTCCTCATAGTATAGGAAAGGGACTGAATCACTCGGCTTAAAACTAAGTGAACTTGAAGACTAGCAATTGCAACATAAGATGAGGTGTGCTTGCATCAGCTAAGTGATCATGCCAGTGAACAGCAGAGACATCTTTGCAAGCCTCTAGGGGCTGAGAAGTATGAAAACTGTGGGAGGTTTCAGTCCAAGTTCTCGGCTTTATGCTAGATAACACAGTAAACAGTGATCAGAAAAAAAACCCAAACAGGCTATGGACCTTGGTTTGGGTGCGTTTGTGAAATAGGCTTTCATCTATCTGCAAATACGAATATGGGCTGTGTAGCAGAAATGCACGTGGCCTTTGAAAGCTTGGCAGTTAGTTCCTGTTAATTTTGAAACACCATTTTTAAGAAATAGAGCAGTCTTTATTGTGCCTTTTTAGGCATGTGTGCATGCATGCAGGATTTTTTTTTCCTCAAATTGAGTATGAGTGTCGAAGTACTTAAAATAAGCAAACAAAAAATAGCATTCAACTCATTTTAAACCATTAGGTATATTTGTCTGCTTGCAGTCTGACACACAATAGCTGTAGTGACAGTCTAATTCACACAAACGTGCCATCATACATTCTTCTCAAAAGTGTTCTTTCTCTGATGCTTATATAATTGATGCCCTGTTTTCAGTCTGACTTCTCAAGTAGACTCCCTGAGACATCTGATGATACCATTCCTCAAAAGGTAAAGAAACAAGCACAGTGACTGAAAGAATGTAAAATAAATACAACTTTTTTTTTCCTCCTGCATGTTAGGCAATCTTAACAAGGCTTCTACATTTGGCTTTCAACTTGCTCTTTCAATAAATATTTCTAGGCCTAAAGGTTTTTTCAGTAATCGCGTTAGAAGATGTTACTGTACTCTACTCAACCTTCACCTAATAAAACTTTCTGTAGATCTTACCTTCTTTGCTGCACACTAACAGGCTGTGTTGGGCTGTGCTATCACTGTTCTCACTGTGTGAAGTGTTGTGGCTTTGGGATCTGAACTAATGGTCGGTGGAACATGTTTAGTAATGGGCAACACCGTCACTTGGAAGCACTTACTGGGAAAGTGTTTCTTTCTGGCAGAGGATCTGGTGACTGTTTTTTCTCCTTTTTTGGCCGTAATGGGCTGTAACAGGCCTACTTTTGTTAGAGCCTGGATTAATTTTATATCAGCTCACTCTCTTCCTCATTTTTACTATTAATGAAATATGCACATTTGTTTAAAAAATATGAATCCTGCCTTGAGAATAACTGACTTGTTTGGAAGTGGCTGTTCTGCAAGCATTTCAGTATTGTGGTGCTTCTCTGTTAATTACATTCGCAGTCTTGCCCATCACTAAGTACAATGTGTAATGTGTGTTCACTCATTTTGAATTACATTCAACAATAAACTAATACATATAAATGCAACTAATTCTATTATATAGAATATCTAATATAAATTGTTACTGTTTTCCTTTCTTCATGTTAGCAGCGCTAGTTAGGATTTCTCTTAATAGGCTATTAAGTAAGTTGTTTCTACAGAGGTTTTAAGCATCATTTAAGTGGCATTTTTGTGGTGATAAGGAGTGAAGACTTAGTTGAACATAAGTGAGCAAATTAGATCACAGTGCCTTAATTTTTTTTATTTTGGGGGCAACCAATTTGATCTGAAATAATAAATCTCTGTGTTGCTGATCTTAATCTCTTCGTCATCCCGAGCATCCACTTGTAATAAAGCTAGTTTGATTTTTATGTGACATTTAGGTTCCCACTATACTATCATACAGATGAAGCAAAACCAAACAAAAATCACAGTTTATGTATTTTCCAGTTATTACTTAAAGTGGACAAGGGAAAATCTTGACTGAAATGGCCATGGTATTCTACAATTCTACATAATGTAAAGTATTGAACTGGACTTATAATATTTTGTGATTATCCCTA